TTTTTAATAGTCAATAAGATTATTTTGCATTCTAGTAATTTAAAGAATGTTTAAATTAATGCTTGAAAAACTGCATTAAATTAGTGCAGCGACTTAAAATATTTGCACTGACAAACATAACAATAAATTAGGATGTAAAATAAGTTTCTTTAATATTATATGCAGAGTTCAAAGAAGCAATTTTATTGCTACAATAGAAAATTTGAAAGAATTCTTCCCAATTAAAAAATTAACTTTGGAAAGCTTCAATACAAAATATTACACTATATAATCATGCATAAAGAGAAAGTGATGCTTTTTCAAAATATGATATGCAAGAAACAACAACGTAAGGTTAATAAAACTTCAATTTAAACTACTGATTTTCAGAAGTATAACAATGGCGAAATTTTCTGCTGATAATTCTAATTCAATAACCCCCCCCCCACAAAAAGAGACCAAAAACATTTTGTCATAATATATAAGACCAATGTATAATTATAATCTGTCAATGAATAATTTTACAAATATAACAAATATAATCTATAGACATTCATAAAGAGGGCACTTGAAAGGCTCTGAGATAATAACAAAAGTATATTGATTAAAAAAAAACAATCATTGCATCTTCACAAAGCTTTCAATATACACATTACCACACTCTGAAATCATTTTTACAATCAAAGCACTGGCCTTGTCTGATACCTTTTAGAATCTATCCAAATTTTGCTATGATCTCATTTAATAATAAAAACTACTTTTTCCCTCAACTCCTCCTTCACTAAGAGGAAAAAGAAGTATTTTATATCAAAATTAAATGAATATGGTGTACACAAAAAAATAGATACTATTTTTGCTGCAGGAGCTCTACAGTTCATGCAACAACGTACACAGCACAAAAAAAAAGGGGGTGCAGTTCTATATCTTCCCTTCTCCTGGGGGCTGATTGACAAAATCAGCCCCCAGGAGGTGTAATACAGGTATTTTGACATGAAAGACTTTAAAATGACATGCTAATCCCCCCACCATATTCTGATACTACGACAATAGCACAATAGCAATTCAATAGGAAAATTATACAAAAAAATATGATAATAATAAAAATGGAGTATGTAATAAAAAATTGGGAACATGTAATTAATAATAATGTGTTACTATAAAGAATGATCTGTAAAATGGAACTTATTATTAAAAATAACTTAGAGAGGAATTTTTGAAACACCCGTACCTTTTTACATATACATGTAACCCAACATTGCACGTTGCCCCCACTTTTTATTTTTTGTATTAATTTTGTTTACTTTTCATTTGGTCAAAGTAGTCTACATAACCTATGAGTTTATTATAATCACTAACACCTTTAGGAGACAAGATTTGCATGACAAACTAATCAACCTGGTAATTCATTTGCAGTTTCAAACCGGGTGAATGGGCTGGCTATGTAAACTGGAGTGAGCTATGAAAATTGCAGCAAAAGGCTCGTAATTTATCTTATGAAAACAAAATATCAGTCTAATTAAATGTGCTGTAAAGTCTCTGAACACTGGTAGTATGCCCTGGGATTGAATCTTATCAAACGAGCTGGCTACGTTGTTGGTTTTCTATATGTGTAATATAGATAAGAACCAGTTTCCTTAAGAAAGTCTTTTGCGACTTTTAAAGCCATCGTAAGAGTCTGCTTGTTTCTAGCAAATTGTTTTTTCTAGAAACTGAAAAAAATTTCGATCGAAAATTTCAGAAGATGATATTAGAAAGCGAAGCTGCACTACTGAAGTAAGTGTGACAGGTCTGTTCGGAAGCCACATATACAGAATCTATATCTGTTCTCCCAAACTTGGGAAGATTACGTTCGAAATCAAAAGTTACATAAAGAATTGGTTATAGAACAACTTTAAGTGTTTTTAATGCCGGCTCGCCCAGAACTTTTATGCCAATCTTGTTAATATCAATAACCCAGTTATAGGGATTTATGATTACGACTTTAATGACCCAAATAATAGTAAATGGCCTATGGCCATACTTAGTATCCATATTAATCTGTTATGTACCTCTTAATATTGTGTTGTAGATTTACGGTTTAATTATTACTAGTGCATCAAGAGACTCACACTGCTTTGCCTATTATTTATACAAATGTTTTTTCTGCATAAGGCTATAGCCAGCTCATTCCTCCTTTCTCGGCCTTCCCAGATAGCACTTCAGGTCTATTGAAACTTGATGCACATTTTAGTCTTTTTAGAAATTTATCTCTTATTTCTATTCTTATAATTTAAAAAAATGTTAAAAATATGATTTTATTATATATATTTATATATATATAAATCTAAATGTATACTAGTTACTCATGACAGTATTCGAAATAACATATCTATTCTACAAGGGTAGGGTCCTTGACCCAGGCACCCTGGTGCTACACCATTTCCCCAGTGCTTCATTACTTAATTTTTTGCTTCACTCAGTTTAGAGCTATTACGTTGCCCTCTATGGGAGATCTCAACAGTCTGACTAAGGGAAGTTGCAACACTACTGTCACGAAGTTAATCTTATTTGCAGATTTCATGCTCATATTTATTATTTATCATAAATTAATAAAAATCTAAATATATACTAGTTACTCATGACAGTATTCAAAATAACATATCTATTCTACAAGGGTAGGGTCCTTGACCCAGGCACCCTGGTGCAACACCATTTCCCCAGTGCATCATTACTTAATTTTTTGCTTCACTCAGTTTAGAACTATTACGGTGCCCTCTATGGGAGATCTCAACAGTCTGACTAAGGGAAGTTGCAACACTATTGTCACAAAGTTAATCTTATTTGCAGATTTCATGCTCATATTTATTATTTATCATAAATTAATAACCAGCACACTTTACAATGAATATAAGTTTAATTTCATTTTCATTTGCAACATCAAAACACTACATTTATGAATATATTTCTGAAATAAATATATACTTTCAGATGTAATTATCAGAAATATATATAAGTATTTTTCAATATTACATGAAACATATAATAACCAATTCTTTACAAAGGGAAAAAAATAATAATTACAAACCTGTTTGGGATATACTTCAAAAACACAAGTAGTTGGTATCACTTTTCCAATACCATGGTGTCCATTTGAGGAGCCTCCTCCTTTTTGGAAACATTTACCATTTTTTAAATTCCGAATCTATAAAAAATTAACCAATTGTGAGTTCATGATATATATTGTAAAAAATACAAATTCTATAATTATACTGTCTCATTTCACTTATTATATATTAATGTTATACATATTACAGGGTTGCCACTCAAACAGGAAAATAAAATTCCCTGACTTTTCCAGGTATGTTTTAACAAAATTCCAGTCTAATTGCATAGTGCATGCTGGCTGTGCTGAAGGTAAATGAATTATGGAACCACTTGAAAACAGAAAAATTTGCCAATATATATATTCCCCAAAGCATTACTATTGTAACTATAATAGTTGTTTTCCTTAATAACTTTCATTTATAAAAGAAATGAATACTTACAATACATTAAACAAAATAAGAAATGAAATTTGTTGATTTTTCAGTGCAATGTATGAACTTTCTAACATTGGATTTCCTATACCATTAACTGTGATAAAATTATGTCATGAACGACAGTAGTTTGTTTGAAAAAGTATTTAATATAAATTCTGGAATGGAAGTTATTGTTCACAAAATGGCATTGGGAGACCATTTATATCAATCCTATTAAATAATATGTAACTGCCGAACAATCACTTCAGTTATGACAGTTATCACACCAGTCAACACCAGTTAAATTCTCAAAGTTAAAAAAAAAAAATTAAAAATTTTTTATTTTAATTATATTTTTTAAGAATTCAACAGACTTTTGACAAATAAACTTTTAATATGTAATTTTTTATTAGAATTCAAGAAGAAAAAAAAAGCATTTAGAATATTTAAACAAAACATTAATAGAAAATACCAATGGAAAATTAGCACAAAAATAGATTTATTGTTTTAATTCAGCAATTTGCGAGTCAATTGAAGAAATGCTGTTCAATTTGTGTCTTTCTGATTCAAAAATTTTAATCTGCTTGTGCTTTCCTTTGTCCAATAATAGTTTTCTTATGTTTACTATTACACAGCCTTTTATCTTCGACTACTTGATGATATGCATCAGGAGCAGATCTGGCATACCACAACACATCAGGAATTATATTAATATTTACCACACCTCCATTTACTTTTATGCATCAAACAATTCCAGCAGTGTGAACTGTTAAATTCCTGAAGGTTTTCCATCAACATATTATTAACTGAAAAACCACATTCTACTTTAGCACTGCCATGTGATAAAATTAGAACTAATTCTAGAACACTCCAAAATTCTTCAAAATCTGAATTATTAATCAAGTCCTTATAAAAGTGATCAAATCGCATTGCAACATAGTTAACCAAAGTGTCTTTCCAAACATCCTTACTTCTGAATAACAATTTTTTAAACTGTACTTTTGATTTATTTGCAACTGCAGAATTTATCCATTCACTTTCATAGAGTATATGCAGTAACCTCTTCATCTTTTTCTTACATAAAAATTCATTAGACATAATTAGTTTAGTATATAATAAATAAATGTATTTGACTAAGCTATATTTAAATGGGCTTGTTTCAACTATTTTAGATATAAGCTTAACCAAAAAAGCTCTGCACCGAGTTCTGAATTCTTTTTTCTTTAGACCAGACACTCCACTTTTAGCTAATCTCACACCAGCAGCCATACCCACACCTATATCTGGAAAATTACAATAAATGCCCTTATCCAGAATATGTATTTTTATCAGTTTTTGACTCTTGAAAAATGCAGTAAATCTCTTTTGACAAATTTGAAGGGAAGATGACTTGGCATACTATGGAAAGCTGTATATAGAAACGGGTAGATTGGATCAGCTGTCTGAAATTATTTTAGAAATGGATGTAAACTCCTGCAACAAAAATAAAAAAATAAAAGATTTTTGACAAAAGAAGCCTATCTTTAACAGTTTCTCTCAGTCTTTCAACTGACACAGTCTTTGACAGTTTGGATGATTCTTTTCACACTAGGGAAAATATCTACAGCTCTCTCAGCAACAAGTATGTCTTCACACTATCTTACCTCACAAAACTTAGCTGGAAAAGTTATGCAATTATTGATGACATCTGCTCCCTGAGCAGGACTATCTTTATCTATGCATGTTTTTAAATAAGGCACTTAAATTCTAGTTAGTAGCTTTATGCCCAGCTTTAAATGCACCATGAACAACAGCAAACCATGGGACCCAATATCTAATATATGGCAATCATTATTATTAGCTAAATTTTCTTTCAAATCTCTCAGAAATTTAAGATTGACAATTGGTCCATCCAAGAATACTTGGACAATTTCTTTTCAACTAGTTCTGAGGTTCCCTCAAAGAAACTTCTCAGAACTTCATTGGTAGAAGTATGCCACCAAAAAAATGATGTCAGGTACCTTGTACTCACTTTATTCTTCCCACTGCCCCCCCCAAATAAATAAATCAGAGTTTATCTTTATATAAATGATTTTCTTATGCTTTACACTGTCTACATGGCTTGTGATTGCTTTCTTTCCCATGTTACTAAGCATGATATTTTTTAACAAAACGTGCATCCTGCCATGTTAAAAGCTCCTTCAACAAGTGGCAACAAGAGACTCCACTGAGGATTGAGATTAGAATCTGTCAATCTGGAATAAAAAAAAAATGTCTTTTTTGTAGACATTCTGCAGCTAAAAGAAAGAAAGGAATCTATTTAATGATATTTTTAAATAAATTCAAGTATTTTATATTTATTTAGCAGCATAGATAAGTAAAAAACATGCACTAAATTTCATGATGGTATGTCATCATGTTGCCAGAATTAGTTTCACGAGTATGCCAGAGAAAATTGCCTAAAATTTGAAAGTATTATTAACTAATAATAAATAAATTTAGAAGGAAGAAGACACATTAAATGATATGAATAACATTAAAATAAAGTTAATTACTTAAAGATTAACAACTGAATTACAATAATCACCAGTATTTTGGCAAATATAGGTATGTTAAATGATTAGCCTAGATGACCCTAAGAAAGCGCCCGGACTGAACTCTATTTCTAACCGCATGATTAAAACCTACCCCACCAGCTATCGATTTTTCTTAGTAATACTCAGAAATTTTATGTTACAGCATTGCTGTTTTCCTCAAAGCTGGAAGAGAGCACTTAGTGTGCCTATTCCGAAACATGGCCAGTGCCATTCAAATTCTCAATTATAAACCTATAAGCCTCCTATCTTCGTTATAAAAAATTTACGAATTTGTGCTACTTAATTGCCTGAATGATTTTCTCTGGAGCCAAAAAGTCCTTATTGACAAGCAATTTGGTTTCCGAGCAAAACACTGCACAACACACCAGCTTCTGAGGACAGTGGAGTTCATTCACAAAGGCTTTCATAGCAAAATGCTTATTGGCACCCTTTTTCTTGACATAGCCAAAGCATTTGATAGGACTTGGCATACGGGTATTATTATCAAGCTCATGCGACTTGGTATTCTGGCTCAACTTATTCACATAATTAACTCGTATCTCTAATCGTTCTTTCTCAGTACGAGTTAATTCTATCATTTCAGCTCCTCATCCAATCCTAAGTGGCATAGCTCAACGTAGTCTACTTGGAACGATTATATTCAACATCTTTATCAATGACATTCCAAAATCACCCAGTGTCACTCTAGCAGTCTATGTAGATAACACGGCCATCCTAACAAAACACAAACATTTGAATGTTCTGGTTCACAATATTCAGAGTTGTCTCCATAGCCTTGAGCACTGGCTCATTGCTCGGAAAATCATGGTTAACGTTGCTACATGTGCTGCCATGATATTCACATGCTCCCGAATCCCGTAACTTACCATTAATATAAAGTTCTTTGATGACTGTGTCTCCTGGTCAAATTCATATAAGTATCTAGGAGTGATACTTGATTCCAAATTAATCTGGTGTCTTCATATTGATTATACCCTCAAGCGAAGACTGTCAGAACCCAACTTACTCCCTTCTAGGGCGAAAGAGCCCTCTGTCAATTAAAAACAAAGTTTTTCTTTATACTTCCATCATGCGATCAATATTTTTGCATGCTTGCCCCATCTGGGGTGCAGCTGCAAAAACACACACAAAAAAAACTTTAAGGCTTCCAAAGTAAGACCCTGCGTTTTAGTTCTTAACGCAGCCTATTATGTCCGTACTGATGTGATTCATTCGGATCTTAACATTAAACCATATAGACGTTATTAAAAAAACTTAGTCAAAATTTATTTCTCAAAATTGAACAGATTGATAACCGTGCACTTCAACAGTTACCAGCCTACGATCCTGCTATTTTCAGCTCGCAGAAAAGACCTCGCTCCATCATGAGACGCGAATACGGCATCTATCCTCCAGCTAAAAGCCATAGACATGCCCCTCTCTTCTCAGTTTCAGTGCCTGGCCCATGAAAGACATACTACCATGTAATTACTCTGCCATTCTCCTACTCCAGTATTATTGAAAAGTGGCCACCTCTGTATTCTTATCAATCTGTTCACTATTTAATCACATCATGCCCGCTTCTGCCCTGGATATTTCGTCGCGAAAATTTAATCTTTACTTCACTATGATTAGTGACTTTGCTTTAGTATCGCATTTATGAGTTATAAAATTTAAATATATATATATAAATTAAAAAAATACAAAAAAAGTTTAAAATCATAAAACTTCCAAAAAAAAAAAAAAATAATAACTTCATTTTTTCCTATTCCCAAACTTACTCGAGCTAATGTAGCTCCCTCTAGTTTGCATCATGATAACCAATTATGCAATTTTCCTATATTTCTGCTCACTACTTAAGATATTTTTCTGTTATGGAGGTACATAGTTTTGAACCATAGACACTCCATAACTTATAATCATTGGCACTGGCATTATTATTTTACTGAGAAATGACAAATAAGGCATTTATTAAAAAGAAGGTTCAAAGGATTTTGCTTTGTACGAGAATGGAGGGAAGAACAAGCAAAATAGGAAATTTCAAGGGGGAGAAGGACGGAATATTTATTTTTACGATCTGAAGTGTGTAAAAAAAAGGAGGGGCAAACATTATATTTAACGCATTTGTTTCTGAATTCTGCCACTGTTTGTTTCTTGAAAGTAAAATTTTAAAAGTGAATTATTTAAAAATCAAAACTAAATTTCAAATTCAGAACAAATAAATATTTTGGTGTTTATCAAACACAGTTAATTTTTTTAATGCAATTTTTAAAGTATAGATTTTCTTTTGTAATTTGCGTATAATTTCTCAGTAAAATAATAAGTCTGATAATCATAATACATCCATCACACTAATTATGTTTAAAAGTTTAACAGTTCAATTTGATTTTTTTTATATTACACAATAATAGAATTAAAAAAGCATCAAAAGACTTCTTTTAACTTTAAAACTACACTGCATGAATTCTTATCATTGTAACAAGAAAATACAATAGACTGTTAAGCACACATATATTTGAAAATGAAATTCCCTGACTTTTCCACATTTTGACTAAGATATTTAAATTTCCTATTTTTTTTGCTCAATTTTCAAATTCTCTGACTTTTTCCAGTTTTCCAGATAGTGTGGCAACCCTGATGGTACTATTACAGCATACGGAATAGCTCCAAGACATAAGCATATATAAACAATTAAAAACATAACATATTTTTAACAAAAGAGCTATGATCTATGAACAAAACCAATTACTTTTCCAAAAAACCTATCATCTGCAGGTAGAAAATGTTCAGGCCAAACATTTTCGAGATACCATTTGAAACTTTTACATTTTAATCTTTCTCTCAACTGAAGTCTTGAAGCAACATCAACATTTCGATTAGATTTTGCAGCTTCTGAAATAAACAAAATATATGAAACTTATATAAAAGTTATTACAAAGAGAAACACCACAACTCTGAAAAATAAAATTTTTAATTATGCTGAATGAAAGAAAATTATAATAAAGAAGCTATCTTCACATAGAAACAACAACAACAACAACAACAAAAAAAAAAAAAAAAAAAAAAAGACATAAGTACTCATTTTTAGTATTTATATAAATGTTATAAGGTTCTCACATGGGTACATAAGACAGGAACAGTACTTTTAACATTTCGTCATCAATTACTGATTCAAGAAATCATTACATAACGAATTATTTTCACAAGATTAATAATGATAAACTGAAATTCATACGAAGCATGCAACATGTCTGTTGAGTCTAGTTCATGCTTGAAAGAGCTGAACTAACTGCTGCATATCAGTTTTTAATTGATTTGTTCAATGGGGAAAAAGACTGGTAATACAGCATGAATGATATTAAATGTTTTTTTTTCCATACAGATCTAAAGAAAGGGGAAAAAAAACTCTTTCAGATATAAAAACGTCTTAAATAACTGAATGGGAAGAAGCAAATAAAAACAAGATGTGATTAAAAAAATTCCATCTTAGGATACTGGGATACATATACACAAATTTCCATATGCCAGGTGAAGATATCCAAAGGCTGCAAGTGACTTTCACTCACATCCAACTGATATCAAATTTGCATGCAGAACAAAAACATTTAAAAAGATAACTGTACTAGGACCTACTGCTCTAACAGCTCAAAGAATCTGGCAACATGGCAATGCATAACAATAATTTTGAAACATTGAGGCATTTATGATGTACATTTAAAGCAAAATATCTTCACAAACTGAAAAATGAGGTCCTCCCTTTTGCATGGTAATGTGTAACCATGTCAGAAGTATCATGATAAAAAGCTAAATTCCTTTAAATAGGTGACTATGGATTATCTTCCATCTCTCTCTATGTGGCTTATCATTTTTAAAAAGATGCTGAAAGAAAGCATTATGAACTGATATGAAGACAGGCATAAGAAGTTTACACTGGACAATGTCTCACTGTCATACAAAAATTGATACAATCTTCAAGACTTGCAGCACTCGAACAGAAGGCCACTGAATGTTCTTTGGATGTGTATGCATAATACATAGAACAGAAACATGCCAATAAGAATAGCAAAGCATGTACGAGCTATTTGCCTATACAACTTTCAATATTTAATGTCTTGAAATCAGTGGAAAGTGATCATTAATTTTCATTTTACTACAAGAAGCAGTCTAATAAACCTTTCTGTTAAACATTATTTCTTCATCATAGTATAAAAGTTTAGAACTAGACATCTGTTTAATTGTGAAAACTCAGTGAACAAACAAGAAGGTTTAACATTAAAAATGAAGTTAAAAATAGATAAAATTTAACCTCAGACTAACATTAATTTTAAAGAAATGATTTACGTAATTTTTAAGAATATGCTAGCTCTTCTCCAAACAACAAAAATATTCTGGTCTGTGCGAGGGGGTGGGAACATCAATGTCATTTTCTTAAAAATGTTTCTAAATTTAAAGTTAAAAACAAACTTAAACTGAATTTTGCTATTTTTCATTTTCCATAGATACTAATAAAAATAAAGCAGTTATCTAACTTGAAAAATCAATGACATATAAAAATTATATAAATTACCAGGATTCAATTTAAAATAAAATATTTTCCATTCATCCATCCAAGTGGATGCAGCTCGAGCAAGATTCTGATACAGAACCGCACCTACCCCGCCAGGTCTTGGAAAGGTATAAGGTGATGATCTTCGAAAGACATGACCAACATGTGAACAAGGAGCGATTTCTATTGAACCACCACACTGCCAAACCTAATCAAAATGTCATTTAAAAAAAGCATATAATGAAATTTATTCATTCTCAAACACAGGCAAAAAAAGCATATAATTAAAATTGCTATGCATAGTGATTATAGTCAAAAATAGACTAAAGAGCAACATTATTTCTAATATGAAAATTCACTAAAAGAAAAACTAAATAAACAAAACTTTTAACATAATTAAATAAAAATTTGCTTACCCTGAATGATAATTCAATGTTTTCTCCTCCCCAAATATCCATTTTCTCATCATAACGACCAATTTCATTAAAATACGATTTGTCAATTGCAAACAATCCACCTGCCATAACAGGTGTTCTACAGGTAGAGAATATGCTCATTAAAGATATGTAAAATAAAATACATATATTATTATTTTCAGTTTTAGAAATTGATATTGCTCGGAAAAATTTACCGAAATGGTGCACTGGAATCATTCTGACGATTTCTCAATTCTCTTTCTCCTACTGGATACCAACGAAAATGTAATTCCCAATTAAATGCACCCCAATGTAATTCAAAGCTACGAACATAGGCAAATGTATCATCATGAATGATATCAATAACTGGACATACAACACGTGTTCTGTAAAAAGAAAAGACAAAAAGGTAAAAAATAACTTTATAATTAAAAAACTTACAATAAAAGCAAATTGTTACATTTAGTTACACAAACATGTAGATTTAAATTTTATTTATAAGAATTTATACTTTTTATAATTTAAAAAATGAATACAACTTTACAAAAAATTTTCAAATTTCATAGAACTTATCAGTGGCAAAAATTTAAAACATCTTGTAATTCTTACTTAGTAGAAAAGATTACATTACAGAGATATAGTCTCTTAACTCAAAATACAGTTCAGAGTTGGAGATACTTTTATTGACAACAGCATTATCATTTACTTAATTCATTACTTCAATATTCCAAACACATAATTCAGAAAAAATTTAATGGAAAATTTATGCTACACAGAAGATTAAAACTTTTTAATTAAAAGTTCTAAGAAGGCAAGATGTATTCCTAAACAATCCAAGCTTAAATACCTGCTCTGGGCAATTCTTGCTAGAAGTGGCTGCAACCATCCCTCTGAACATTCACAATGAGCATCCAAAAATGTCAGGACATCACCAGTTGCAAATTCTGCTCCAAGAAGACGTGCTCTAATAAGGCCAGTTCTATTTGCAGCTCGAACAATTTTCACACTTACAGGTAGATGTGAAACATATTCATTTAAAGGTTCCTTTAGAAAGGCTGGAATACAAGAGGAATACTAAATTGTGCAAAACTTTTATGATTTTTTGTGCTCTCTCTCTTTAAAAAAAAAAAAAAAAAGTTATATGTTTTTAAAATTATGAAAATTTAATCTAAATTTACATTGATTTCATAGAAAAACTATGCAGTTACATGAATACTGAAACAGATAAAAAAACCCAGTCAGTTTAAGATAGAATTCTACCACATTTTGAATTTTTTTGTATATTTAGAAAAAAACTTAATGTCAAATTAAAATCGAGTTTAGCACACAAAGGCTACTGAGATGCTTCCCCCCCCAAAAAAAAAGAGCAAACATATTCTACTGGCTGCAAGCTATTATTTTTGTAAGAGAAATGCTTGATAGAGAAAAAATAAAAGTCTGCTATAATGGACATTTTCTAAATGTAATTTATTATTATCAATTTCATAAAAAATGAATTTGGATATGATGAATACACTGACATAAAAAATTGCTGTCAAAATCCTAATAATGCAGCAAGTAAGAGTGGTTGCTCCACAATATCTCTGAGGAGTCCACATAGAAAAGCACAGAGCACAACATACAGTCATATCATTGAATTCAATTAATTCTGCAAATAGGAATATTTTCTCTCGTGTAACTGAACACAGGAACATGTTCTTCCTTTTAAGTGATATATAAAAGATTTCTGCATTTTAAGAAATACAAATTTTGAAAGCAAAATCTACTTTTCCTCTTCAAAATCCATACATAGCTATGATAATTAATTTTATATACAGCATTTCTGCAAGCTACAGAGCATGAATTTTTGCATCTAAAAAAATCCATACAATACATTGATGATGATGATAATATACTCTAACAGAAACATTGACTCTAAACTGAGACCGTGCTGTAATAACTGGGCTAAATCTCAGAACCTTCCGAGTTCATCAGCGAGTAATATTGACAATTTCCACAGCTTTACTATTAACAGACTATTATTAGATGGCTGTAGTGAACTTCTTGGCAAGAGCTTATAATAAACAAAATAAATTCAAAACTAAATTTTTATATAAAATCATCAATTTTTAAAGATCTATTAAATCATTTTCATATGACTGCTGTGGTTTTGCTATACTATCTCAATTTGTGAATAACAAGATGGATCACATTTATCTAAAGATACATACTTAACTTACTTTCTCTTCAATAGATGAAAGAGTTTAAAACATTTTTTTGAATGCTCACAGAATCTTTTATAGCTTGCACATTATTTATCACACAGCACATACATGATTTTTAATTTTTGAGTTTACTTCAAATAATTCAAATAATTCATGATATTTATCTCAATTATTTAGATTCAAATAATTGAGATAAATATCATGTGCATTTTATATGATTATAACAATTGCTCTGAATGTGCTTATACAACTTCCAGCAATGACACATATTATATAATATGTAGTGGCCTGTCTGCTCTTTAAAACCTTTCAGCATACTTATTCAAAGATACACATGGAGTATATTTTCTAATGTTTTCATATATATTCTATCAATAATTTTTTGGACACCTGTAATAGAAAAGAAAAACAAAATATATTCAAAAGTGGGTAGAGCCTCCATGAATAGCAATTACAGCCTAAGCCTTCCGAAGCACGCTTTCCACAAGTTTTTGTAGGACGGCTGTTAGCATTTCTTTCACTCGACTTGGAGAGGACATGCAAATTTCATAAGTAATATTGAGCCATTCTTGCACCCCTTAATTTGGTGATGCAACTCACTCCAGAGGTTCTTGATAGAGTTCAAGACTGAGCTCTGGGCAGGCCCGTCCATTCAGTTACAAATCCATGAAAAATCCTAGCCTCAGCTGGGAAAGCCTCCCCCCTCCCAAAAAAGTTTCTAATGTATGGTGATGTCAAACTCCAGCAAACTTTGTTTAACACGTTGAGCGCCACGCGTATTTCTTAGGCAATCCCATTCAGGCCACGCACGCCGCTTAAAAGTGCTGGTATTGTAGGTGCAGTGATTCTTATCGAAGTAGAAGATAGTTTACGTTTGGCCATAAATTATAGTAGACTTCAACAGACAAAAGGCAGCTGTCGACTTATCTGACCAAATGAATGCCTACAACAATCTACTATGTAGGACCATAAAATGGTATCGAAAACTAGCCTTCCAATTGTTACTAAATACTACGGTTGTAAATAGTTACATTCTATACAAATATATCAGGAAGAAGAAAATTGGCATTACTGAATTCCGGAAAGAATTAGCGCTATCCCTTACAAGTTGTGAAAAAGAAAACATTCCACTGAACAGAAATGCAAGAATATCTAAAAACACGACAACATAAACTCCAAAGAAAACCAGGAAAAGGCATTGAAGTACGGAAATATTGTAAATTTTGTAATTATGAAAATACAACAGAAGCTGGTAAGAATAATGGCCAGAAAAAAGACTAAGAGAGTTGTCACATTTTGTAATAGCTGTAATGGAGAACTGTTTTTTATGTTTACCATGTTTCAATGAAATCCATTAGTCCCTTAATGAATCAAAATTAAGTACATTTTAAATAAAATTTCCGTAGTTCCATAAAACAGTGTAAATTTTATAGTTGTATATCATGTTACATGCTGTCAGCCAGCAGCCTAAATGGAAAGTCCAGCGAAGCGGCCTAAAGTCTGGTGTCAGCCACAGATGGCTGACGTGGCGCTAAACGTGTTAAAAAACCACAGCCTTTCATCTGGTGTTTAGATGTGACATCCAAATCATCAAGAGATATTTGTATTTGGATTTTATGGACAAGCTGCAGCACATAAGCTAATGATCTTAGTGATCACTGAATGCTTTCTGCAAATTACAGTGGAACAAAACAGGTCACCTTTGGGCTCTAGAGTAAGGGAAGATCTTCACAGGAAAATAAATCACATTACATGTTAGGGGATTTTAGCAAACTTGAGGATTTGTCAAAAGTGAGGCAAGTAACTGCACACCAAAGTAAAGAGTATAAAATTTGGCAAAGAAGAAATTTTTCTTTTTTTTTGGGGGGGGGAAGGGGGATTAATCTTGGCTTACTGGTTTTGAAGTCTCAGATTCAGAATGCTGAAGTATAAAAGGGAATACTACGCAATTCTATGCTACCCACACAGCGGAATAAATTTGGAACTGGTCCTTATCATTTCTAATATGACAACACAATCATTTGCAAAGGAAAAGCTGTAACTTGACTGGTTTGAAGAAATGATAGTTAATGAACATGACAGGCCAGCCAAAAGACTTGATCTCAACGTAATCTAACATCTCTGGAACCAGTTAGAATGGGAACTGAAAGACAGGTCAAAGTGCTCCAACTGCCACAGTATTGTTTACTATACTGCAGAAGAAATGAAAGAAAACACTTGCAGATATCTACTGAAACTTGGAAACTTTGTGAAAAATTTTCCTTGAAGGCTAGAGTCTATGATTGCAGTGAATAATGAATGCAGATCATACAAATATCATACCAGTTTTAGTTATGAAATTTCCTATAGTTGTTACTATAGTTAAAGCACACGCAAAAGTGCACAAGCATAAATATATACACATAGTATGTACCATAAAAGTTTGAGGTAATTGTATCTTTCAGAAAAAGAAAATGCATTTTGAACTGTGAGACTTGTGAAAATAAAAGTATATGATTACCTCTAGTGCTGGCATCATCAACTAAAATAATTTCTTTTAAAAGCATACGAGGAGATCTATTGATGACACTATGCACTGTTCTAAGTAAAGTCGACCAAGCTTCATTGTGATAGACAATAATTATACTAGTTGTAGGAAGACTATGAACATCATACTGCTTCTGCCTGCATCTAAAAAATAATAAAAGCCAATAATAAATAAAATCAATCTGCAGTTTTGCATAGAACATTCTAACATTAGAACTAAATCTTTCTCCAAATGATATTCATAATCAAATGTTGAATTTTTATAAAGCTTGTTTTGAAAAAACTTTTATTTATTTATTTATTTTTGAAAATATAGTTTAAAATAACAGAAAAATATAGCCAAAAATATATCCTTTGAACTATGTAATTGCATTTAACATGCATAATTGAGTGATGTCATAAAATTATTTAGTAATAATACACCTTAAAAATTACTACAGTTCTGTCTTCTATAACACTCCAACAAAACCCTATTCATCACATAATTTTAATAGCATTACATTTAATAATGCTGCATATAAATATTTAGTAAAATAACTGAAAACTGCCTCTCAGTGGTGGAATAAAGAGGAACTAGTTGGAACTATACGTATGCATGTACATATTTAAGGATTTTAATTAGTTTAAAGAATGTACCAAAATCATTGTTTATACGTGCTACTTATTAAAATATACATATAGAAAAACACACACACACACACATGAAATACGTCAGAATGAAAAACAACAATTTTAGAAACAATTTTTATGTAGCAGAAGAATAAGTAAGAAAAAACTGAGAAACAAGAAGTCATTAAAATTAACAGAGCAAAAAAATAAGTTTTTAGAAATCAGATTAGCATACATGTACAATACAATTCAAAAAAGCAGCAGCACCATATTATTCGAATTAAATAATAAAAATGACTTAAGTAATTACATCATTCTGATTTTCTTTTCTGGTGATATCCGTAAGTTTTTCCCCCTTTTATAAATGGCTATAAAATTCTCAGTACTGGAACTGATTTTTGAATTACAATATCAGTATTAAGAAATCCAAGGATGAATTTCAGAACTATTTTTTAGTGGCAAAAACCTACAACAGCTAGTCGATTAATGCCAGATGTGCCTTCCCATGTTTATTTCCAGTAATGCTCCTATTGATTCTTTCTGAGATCTAAAAGTCTACATAAATACAGCAGATTGCACAGATGCAATATTTTTTCTATTATATGCACAGAAATATAAACTTGCATACTAAATATGCATCAATATACCACAGGAAAAAGATTTCAGAACTTTGAATAAAAAAGTAATTAACCCCTTATGTGTTTTACGGGTGCAGTTTTCTTGCCTGTAATGATTTGCCCGTACGGCATGTGGGAAATCCGATTTCTTTGTCGCTTTCAGTGTTTTGGCCATATTTTTTTTATTTTTGATGTTAAATTAGTGGTATAAATGGCAGTAGTTGTCCACAAAATGTTCGTTTGTGAAGTGTATTCTGTTTGGTCTAAAAGCACGGGCTTTTTCATAAGTTTTGCATTACACCGCGAATTTCTGTCTTTGAATGTTTAGCTTCAAGTATGCATTTTACAAATTATTTGATAACTTCATTTATATACAAGTAATGTAAACTATCTGTATCACAAAATAATGGATGATTCAGAATGTATGGAGCTAATTTCTTATGATTCGGAAGCAGAATCTGAAATGTTTGGAAGTAGTGGAAGCTTTCTGGATGACTGCGACGCTAGTGACTCTGAGGGTAGTACAGATGGTCTCAGCCAAGCAAAGCAATTTTTTGAAATTAATTCTAATAATCCACCCGATCCACCTCCTAGATTTTCTTTCATTAGAAATCCAAAAATTAACTTTAATACTGATATAGCTAACGGTAAACTACAGTTTTATGAAGCTTTCATGAATGATTATTTTCTAGACCTGATTGTTTTGGAAACAGATATGCTGAGCAGTGCATACAAAGTAGTGTATTTAGTAGACATTCTAGAAGAAAAAAATGGAAACCAACATCGAAAGATGAAATACAGGTATTTTTTGCTTTGATTATTCTTCAAGGTGTTATAAGAAAGCAAGTAGTTAAGCAGTATTGGAGAAAGAGGCATTCTACATCTACACAGTTTTTCCCCAACGTAATGTCATATCGTCGTTTCCAGTTAATTCATAGTTATTTACATTTTTCAGAAAAATTTGACAAATTCTCATGAGTGCCCAAAATTAGTTAAAAATCAGGCCTGTGCTAAAGCATTTGAAAACTAGGTTCCAAGAAGTCGTTACCCCTGAACGAAATGTCACCATAGACGAGAGTCTTAACAAAGGAAGACTAAGTTGGAAACAATATATCCCACTAAAACGATCGAGGTTTGGAATAAAAATGTACATGCTTTGTGAATCAAAGACTGGATATGTATGGTCTATGTTAATTTACACAGGAAAAGGAACTGTATTTGATGACAGTTACAAACATTTGAGGAAATCGTTGCAGGTTGTAATGAGACTAATGCACCACTTTTAGATAAAGGATACTGTCTGACAACAGATAACTTTTATTCATTGCCTGAAAGAGCAGATGTCTTGATTAGTTGCTGCACAGATATGTATGGAACATTAACACTTCATAGAAAGGAAGTTCCTAAAGCACTGTGAATGAAAAACTTCAAAAAGGCAAATGCTCGCTTACCAGAGAGGAAAAGTGTGCATTATAAAATGGATGGACAAAAATAGCTGTGTCTCATATATCTACAGTACATAATCCAGAAATGGTTCAAGTACCTATGTACAAGAATGATATAAAACAAAAACCAAGGGTAATTATAGAGTACAACAACACAATGTGTGGCATACATCAGATGGACCAGAACCTAAATACTTATCCTGTGATAAAAAAAGGGGGAAAGAAACAGAAACATTATAAAAATATTTTTTATCTTCTAGACATCAATTTATGGAACGCTTACGTGTTGTACAAGAAGCATGGTGGTAATGATACAAATTCACAGTTTCGATTAGATATTATCAACCAACTAATTCAAAGATATACAGCAGTAGAAGAAAGAAAAGGTCAAACTGGAAATTTACCAACTCCGCTAAGACAGACTAACAGAGAGACATATTTTAGAGGTGATTCCACCTACAGACAAAACACTAAGACCTGCAAGACAGTGCTATGTGTGTTCACTGGGAAAAAAAAAGACAACAGCAAAAGAATTAGAAAAGAGACTAAGTCTTTTTGTTCGAACAAGTGATGTGGGACTATCTCTCGTCTGTTTCAAGATGTATCGCACTAAATCAGATCTTTGAAAAACAAGGTACGTAAATATAGTTGTAGTATTTGTAATAGAAAATAATAACATAGTAGTTGTAATCAGAAATAATTGCATAGTAATTATACTTTTTATATGCACAACTTCCCTGTGAGACAACTATGAGAGAGAAAAGAGAACTTCCAGGGAAAATATATTATTTTATGTCCTGTAAAAAAGTTGTTATAAATGCTTAAAATAATTAGAAATATTACTTTTAATAACATTTTCCAGCTTACAAATGTAAAATGAACAAAAATAAAAAAAGTGACATTTTTTTGGATCCAATTTTTAAAAAAATGAAACTGTTAAGGGGTTAAAAAAAGTGATCTTTGGAAAAGATCCTGCACCTAAGCAGATAAGTTATTACTGGAAATTACAATTTCACATAAAGGACTGTCATATGCAAAAACAAAATATGTCAGGTACAGTTACGGGACAACAGACTATCATAAAAAGCAATATATACATACACACAAACATATATATATGAACAAGATAAGTCATAAAAAACCGATATATTGTTATTTGAAGGTATGTGCTCGAGATTGTGATAATTTAAAATAATCTAGCTCTCATGGTTACAGAAACAGAGAAACAATTTCGAAATTTCCAATTGACAACACCCACTTTTTTCCTGACAAATCGATCAGCATATTGAAAAATCATAAGTGGCGCTGGGAGGATACAAGTATGATGAAAATTGTGTAAAACACTTACAAAGGAGAGCATTGTAAAGGACAACAACAAGATGAGAGGAGAGAAGGGGGAAAAAAAAACTTTTACTGGAATTAAAAGTTTCCAATGTGCCCATCTTCACAGACAATAAAGCATTGCATATGGGAGACTGTTGACAACAATAATGAATGTAACATCACACAGGGAATCTGTATAACTTTGTTTTATGGCATCTTTTGATTCTGATAAATCTCATGGATTTGAGGTGCATACCTTAGGCTTCAGATAACCCCAGAACCAGAAATCCATCGAAGAGAGGTCAAGATATTGCAGTGGCCATGAAATTACAGGAGATGGCTCGTACCTTAAACACTGCAGCACTTGCTGAACACATGTGGCAACATGTGGAAGAGCTTTAGAATTGGAAATCCTGTCTCACCAAGAAGGTGATCATACTCTGAAAGGTTAGGATACTTCAAGATTTTTACACCTGTACTCACAGAGATTGAACCCCTGACAGCCATTTTCACTAGAATGGTAATTTTAGGGTTAATGATTATACACATATTTATATAATATGATGAACTGGAGTAAGCTGCAATAGATCGACAATGGTTTTCTTCATTATAGCTTAGAGACTTTACTGCATAGTTAGAAAGATGACACTCGACGAAGAAACTTGCAGACAGAGGCAACCGAATTGAATCTAATTTTATTGTTGGAAACGAAGTAATTACCAAAAATATATTTTTTGTCACACATGATCATGGGTGTAAAACACACCCCACAGTTTTATACACAGTATCACATTTTAGATAATGGCACAGTTAGCAGCTCTGGTTGCAATCGGCAGCACCAAATGTATATAAATATATTTATATATATATCCACTCTATTAACCGGCTCAGTGATCTCAGTTTCTTTACTCTTATATGTTTGTAAATTGTACATTTTTTGCTTTAAAAATGATTGAATTATGTTGTTTTATCTTCCGGTTAAGGATTTTATGCCTTTAGTAAATCTGTGTACAATATTTTTAGAATTATCAGCAATTTTAAAGTTGTTTAATTGCCGCTAAGCCTGTTTTTCTGGTGGCCATTGATATTTACATTTGAAACAGGAGACTAGTGGATTTGTTGGCAAAGGTCTTTGTGTTAAGAATCTGGTTTTTCCCAATTTTTCCCTTTTAGTTCTTGTAGCTACATAGCTGCATCAGAATATACAATAATTACCAATATTTTAAATTTCATAAGCAGTTTGTTATTTAAAATTATGTTAAAATATCCATACATTAAAAATATATGTAATAATTTGCCATAAAGTTGTAGAAAATTTAAAATTTTGTATTATAATCCATCCGGTCTAAATGAAAATGTGATGAATTTTATCCCGTTTCTTTAGAGTAGATATTTAGTGAGGTTATTTTCTTTTTTAATTTTCCCTTAATTTTAGTAAAATTATAGATAACAAAGCCAAGGGAATGAAGTAGCATCTTGATTGCAAGAGAACTGAAGCTAAAAATGAACAATCATCTGGTATGAAAGCTCACCAAGAGAAGATTTTGGTTTAGGTTAGAAAGGTTTCAGTTCTCAAAATTTTGAGTACAAGTTCTGAATTAACTATGTCTTTATTTAGCATTACACAAGCCATGTGACTTAGAAATGGTGCAGTTTAGAAAAGTTATCACTACTTTTAGAATACAGAGCTGAAATAGAGGAATTAAGAGGCTATTACTAAATTAAATTATAAAGCTGATTTAAATATTTTTTTTTATCTATATACACATATGACTTTTAAGCAAATAAATATATCACAAGAAAGCATAATAGCAAATAAATATTACAAGAAAGCATACTATACATGCTATCTTTGACTATTTGAAAGAAGGTACCCAGAAAAATAGATAAACAAGCTAAAAATGCAAGAGTATAAGTTTGCAACAAACTACTGATCAGATTCTACAATTACACCAACAAAAAATAAAACAGTTAAAAGATATAACAATTAAATACAGAACACTGCATTTATAAAAATGCTTTTTCAAAAACTAGTTAAAGGAATTTTAGACTATTTATTTAAGAGTACAGAATATCTCGCAGTACTGTTAACTGGTACTGCACTAAATGAATCCGTACTCAGTGAAACATTATTTCTATAGGAAAATTAGCAATTCATTTTGATCAAATTTTGTTAGAACAGAAATATTTACGTATTTACCTAAAATTAATCAAAAATAATAAAAGATTAAAAGTACTTGGTGAAATTTACTAACTCTATTAATATTTACTAATTTTGATACTCAAATTACTACCCGTAATATATCCAGGTCTGCATTGAGTGAAACAGCACTATGCAAGGTATTCCTGTGCATTGATTAAAAAGATACGGCATATTAAAAAATACATTTCCAAAATCTCTCAAAAATATAACAAACAAACCAAAAATGTTCTGTATTTACATTGGTCACACCAGAACACATTTTTTTTTTTTTTTTTTTTGAAAAATATAGCCAACAAGAATTTACTGCTTAACTCAGAAATCCACAAAATAAATCCACCAATGTGATGTTATAAATTAAAATAGCTTCCAGAGAAAGAAATAGGAAATTAAAAATAATATGCTGACTGAAAAGAGTTCAATGCAAACTATCTTTTTATTTCAATTAGACAGAAGCTAGATGAAAAAAGGTTGCATATAAATGGGCTCAGAGCATAAAAATTTAGCCTTCAGAAAAATTTTACGTTGTCTTATAGTCCTTAACATTTTTGTTTACTCTGTTATATTTGCTAAAAGCAAAACTGCTTAATAGTTCAGATACTAAAAATATAGTATTTGGGAAATAATTTAATGAAGTGTATGTTAAGGAAAATAATAAAATTTGAAAACTTCTCACATTTGTCTTCTTTCATCAGGCAAACTTCTGTTTACTGAAATTCTGTCACTTGCTAGAAGATTAAACTTGTTAATATGAAATAGGGCTTTACTTTTCTGCTTTTCAGAAGGATGCACAAAATAAGCTTCACCCATTTCACCAGCATTAGGTAAAGGAGAATAGCCATTGGAGTTTACAATTTCTGTAGTTGAAAGAATAAAAATTAAATAGTTTAAAAGTTCTTTTCATCTTAAAAATGTTAAAATTATGATATACAACACAGATTAAAGTGAAATTCAGAATGAATAATAAAGCTTCAAATTAAATAAACAGGGGAAAAAAAGCAGCTTGGAAAAATTAGTTAGGATGACCTTACAATAATCTACATATTACAGTAAGCTAATAACCAGGATAACGTTGCTACATCACCAAACAGCATACATATTTGTAATAAAAAAAAGCACTAAATGTAGTATTATTTGATATATTGAAAACTTTGCCAAATAGAGATTTTAATCTTATCTTTCTGCCTTACAGAAGACAGTAAATATGTGCACTCTTGAACACTTATATACAAGAAAAGTACAAAATTCTTTTCTTTAGAAGGTACTTAATAAAATAATAATAAAAAATAAATAAATGTTCATACATGCTTTTTCTTTTCTTTCTTTTTTTTCTTTTTCTTTTCTTTTCTTTTTTTTTTTTTTTTTTTTGAAAGTGTTAGATTAATGTGAAACTATTGCTATAAAAAAATTATCAGAAATCATAAAATCACAGAACTATTACTTAAAGTAAATCTTAAAATACTCATCAAAACAAAGGAACAATATGAAAAGCTGTATACAAAAAGCTGCAACTCAAATCACATACACAAATTGCTTTAAAAGTTAATAAAAAAACAGATCTTAATCATTTCTTTTATGATTACATACTGAGAAATTATGCAAGAATATATTTTATTTTTTTTAATCATTTTATTAACTGAAAAAATATTAAAGAATGCTGTCTTTTAAATTATTATAACTACATCAAATTACACATTTTACAATTACAGTAAATTTTAATAACATATTAGAAGCTGGAAATAAATTTCTATTAACAGTAATAAATCTAAGTAATTTTATTACAAAAAGGGAGTGAAGAAATACAGTGAAACCTTAGATCATATAGATACAGAAGGCTGTTGATCATTCAAAATATTTGTTAATCAAAACTACTTTTCCTGATAGCAAATATTGTAAAATGTATTAATTTGTGCATAAATTGTTTATTTAAATTTTTACAATTACTTTATGTACAAGTTCATAATAAAAATCCAAAGAAAATAATTACACTTATAATTTTTTTTTAAAAGACACATCAAACAATAAACAATTAAAAAAGCCAAAGACTTTGAACATCAATTGATTCTGCTTCTTGAGAAATGGGCCTCCATCTCACTAAAAGTGAGTCTAATTATAATTTATTTTTTCATTTTATAATATTTCTAAAGTGAGACATGGCATTATAATTGAAAATGCTTATGTTGTGGTTTGTAACTGCTTTATCAGAGTGGTATCATTAACCCTTTCTGAACTGCTGTAATGTTACATGACAAAATGTAAAGGACAAATGTTACCCACTGAAACCTATACATTCTTAATTCTAACAAATGGTGCTCTATGTCTATGGGAACCAAGATAAATGGGAACATGATGCCTGAACTTAGACCCTAGAGTGTTTCACTTGATTCTGATGGGTAGATGGGGGAATTCAGTAATGTAAAAAACAAGCCTGCTGGGTACGCACATGCATTCTGTTTATGTTTCTTTCAAGCGGTTTTCCGAGGAAGAAGTACCTTGGGCATTAGTGCAGTTTTTTAGTTTTTTCTTTTTATATGTAAAAGTCAGTGGCTTTAGCAGTAAACAAAATTACAAAACCGGTGAAATTATTGAGAAACTAAACTATATTCTGCTGTATAACAAAAATACGGAAGAAGTCAATATTAGAGATACAGTTATTACTCACAATCCATCTTATAGAATGGAACAAGAAATTATTTTTTAGGCTTCTCGACATTACATTCTATACTGCTCATGTTTTATGCAATGTAAAAAATGGTTAAAAAAGACAATTATTTTGGTTTCAATTAAAAGTAATTGAACTACTTATAGAGAGAGTCATGTCAAGAACAGAATATGAATTTTAGGCATTAGCTGCATCGATGCCTGAACTAGATGTCGCCTTTCAGAAAGGCATTTTCAGTCTCTAATTCTTAATGGGAAGAAAGAGAAAATGAGAAGATAAATTTTGCTCTTAAACTACAAAGAGGAAGCGAGCTTTGGAAAAAACATCTTACTTTGAGGGCAAACGTAGGACTCTGTGTGAACCCATGCTTCAGAATATATCACACCGAAAAACAATTTTAAAATTTCATTGTAAATGTATACATGTGTGTATATAACTGTGTAGGTTTGTTGCTTTATATTAAATATTTTATGGTAATTCTGCTACAAATAATGAAAATTTCTTTTAAAATTCCTCTTTCATTCTTTACATATGATTACAGCTGCAAAAGTTAATTCATTTAATTCCATAATTCATTAAGCTGACTCAATATGCATACCATTTCATTAATTTGGGACATAATGCGGCATATTCCTCATCCCAGAATCCTCAAGATCAAGTGGGAGGGAGGAAATTAGGCACTATGCCACCTGGTAGACAAAAAATGTTAACACTTTACTGCTGCAAGCCTCATACATACCAGCAACAGACATTCTGACTTTTCTCTACTCACCACCCACTTTGGGTCACCACTCCTGGTTCTCGAGACTTATGGTGGGATGGCTTGATTGGCTTGAAGATCTGACTGGTCATCAAAGTTGCTGCCTACCAGAACAATGTGGGCCACACTGGCCTAGAATAATTCGGTAAACAATAGCAGCTGCTGCACTGCTATTGATATCTCTAGTCTGAGGATTTACCACCAATCTCCCCTTGGTTCGACTGCATAAGCTGATCTTCTTTTGGGGTTTTAAACTGCTGGCCTAGTATTTTTTACCCTGGTGCCAAGACTTGAAGGTACAGTTCCTAGCCAGTACAATAAACGACTGCCAGCGAAAGCATAAATTTAAATGCATTTTCTGTGACATTTGAAGAAGCTGAATTAATTGGAATACAAATGCATTTTTGACAAAATTAGACTCATTCAGTGAGAAACCGCCACCCTGTGGTGACATCACAGAAGCTCAGCGTTACCTCTCATTGCGACAGGGCATGAGATTGGGGTGCTGTCCGGAAAGGGTTACATGAATATTTTTACCTTATTCCATTTTGCACAGATTTCATATATATAAAAAAATTAGAATTAGTATCTCTTATTTCCTCTTTCTCTGAAGACATTTCCTTCACAATCATCTTTTGCTGAAGTTCTTTCAGTTCTGTACTGAAGACATTTTTGTGGTCTTCTAATAACTCTTCCTCTTCACAGTTAACTTCCAAGTCCAAAACCAACAAATACAATTAATTCTCTATTTATAACACAATCTAGCCATAATTTATTATCAGCCAAATTCATGGTCCTGTAAGTTACTTGATGCAGGCCCTTTATTAATGAGAGTAAAGCAAAGGAAAATATTAATAAAATATTTTCAAAAGCCTCTTCAGGTAATTCTATATTAGAAATTACCTTAAAACATCTTTCAAAATCTTAAGTTGCTGCCTTGCATGTTTGTTTTTGAAACAACATTTGTCACTGCCGACTAATGACCATTGAACACCGGACACTCAAGCTCAATTCAGATGCTCATTAATAGATAGGCTGCACATGCATTTTAATGGTTTGCTCATGCAGCATAACATGAGTTTTCACCAGAAATTTCTCCATTTAAACAACCCTCAATTCAGCCAGATAGCTCTAGCATTTCTTGCCATGATTAAATAATCTAACCTAACCTAATTTATTTGTCATCTGAGATGTTTTTTGCACTTTAAATTGCTTTGTGAATCGATTTCTTCATGAAATGAGAGATGTTCATGGCTTAAAGTTCCACTGTTTATCTTAAAAATGTAAATGAAATAAGATGACTTTAAATTATTTAAACAGAAAATAAAAAAGATATATGGAACATGAATCTTTTTTTTTTTTTTATATATAATATTTTTCAGAAATTTGTTAACAGTATTATAAAAAAATTTTCAAGTTAAAAAAAAAAAAATCTGAAAGTTTTCAGATTTTACATTACACCCAAAGGAGCATTTTTTAAGGTTTTGTGGGTTACCTTTATTTATTAAATATCATGTTCTTTGCACTTAAACCATAAAATGCAGTTCAACAGCAATGTCGCAAAATAATTTTAAAGTGAGCCTATCTTTAGAATTTCTGATACACAATCTTGCATGCTGGAGATAATTTTTTTTTTGTTTTGTTTTTTGGTACAGTGTTCCCATTGCTCTCTTTGAAATTGTTGAGTTTGTTAATAAAAAATTAATTAAAGTTTTATAAAATATGAAAAAGATAATGAAACAAATTCCAAATTGGGCTTCCAGATGCCCATATACGGGTGGAAATGTACATTATTCAAAATTTGATGGCTCTAGGTACCATCATTTTATCACAATGTGAGAAACATACATACATTTATGCAGATTCTTCATTATTTAATTTCTTTAAATATAATACAGGCAATATTTGGTGGCAACAGTTTGAAAAGTGAAGCGACATTTAAAGTTTTCAATGCAAAATTACAAAACGAAATTTAATGAGAAAAAAGGCTTTACTAAAATTATTGCTGCAGAAAATAAATGACTGCTGTTGAAAAGCATCCAGTCACTGAACTAGTAGTGCTGGGATAATCTCAAAATGTTTTGATAACATTTTCCTCTTAAATTTTACTTTACATTTGAAGATAAATGGCATTGTACTTCTTTTGTGAACAATGTTTTTCCACTAACTGATTCATCTACATATGAATCAGTTTACTGACAACAATCACTTGAAAAGTCTTGCACTTAACCCGTCAGCCCACGCGCTGGGGTAAAATCCAGCCCATGTATAATCTTTTCTTAGAAAATAAGGGAAGGTCGTACGTGACCTTTTTAATACTTCATGTACCTTTCAAGATCAAGGTTAGGAAGGGGTCATCCAGAGGAATTTTTCCCATGTCCTTGGGATATTGTGTTTTCGGGGAAGGAATGTATAACGGGATTGTAGCTACCCCGCGCATGTACTAACGTTTCACTTCTAGAGAAATACTGATAGAGATGAGTGCGTACGAGCGAGAACAGTAGCGACTATGGGTTCTTCTCGCTAGTGTTGAAACTGATATCAAAATTGAAGATTCCGATTCTGAGTGCGAAAATATTTCTGAAAGTGATCCCGAAACTGATTCTGACCAGTAATATGATGATTCACATGATTTAGGGAGCATATCTTCTTTGATCAGATGATTTTTATGTTTGAAAATTACCCTCGAAAGATGTTCGGACACGTCTGCACAATATAGTGACACATTTACCTGATGTCAAGAAAAGCTTTAGCAATTTGAAAAATCCAACTGAGAGTTTATTGCAAATTTTTGATGAAGAAATAATGGAAGATTTGACAAAATCAACAAATATTTACATTTCATCAATAAGAAACCAATTCTCTAGAGAACGTGATGCACAAGAGACAAACGTAGCTGAATTTAAGCCATTATTTTTCCTATTATATTACGCTGGAGCGCTGACAGCAGCACTTATCAAAGCAAAGATTTGTGGTCAGCTGATGGAAGTGGAATAACTGTCTTTTAAAGAACAATGTCTATCAACTGATTCCACTTCCTACTTTCCTTTTGAGATGTATTAGGTTTGATGACATAAATTTACGAGCAGAGCGAAAGACGACGGCTAGACTTGCACTTATTAGAAATGTTTTTGAAATATTTATCAAAAACATATGAAACGTATATCCTTTATCTGAATATTGTACTATAGACGAAGAATTAGAACCCTTTAGAGAAAGGTGTCAATTCAGACAATATATAAAAAGTAAGCTCCCAAGATATAGAATAAAAACTTTTGCTTTGTGCGATTCTCATACATTGTACGCATACAACCTGGAAATTTATGCAGGTCAGCAGCCTGTCGGACTATATAGACAATCAAACGTGGCATTGGATGTTGTACAAAGACTTATTGCACCTATAAGTGGCACTGAAAGAAATATAAACTATGGACAATTGGTACATGAGCATTCCTTTGGCCAATGAATTATTGAAAAAGCACAAATTGACATGTTTTGGGACACTTCAAAAATATAAGTGGAAAATTCCAGAAGAATTTCTGCCAAATAAAAAAGGCTTCTGTACTCTTCGTGTTTTGGGTTTAGAGGTAAAGAATTAACTCTTACTTCATATGTTCCAAAAAAGAGTAAATCGGTTCCTGTTCTATCTCCATGCATAATGATAATCAAATTGATCCACTGTCTAAAGAGCAGCTCAAGCCCGAAATGATAACTTTTTGCAACTCTACAAAAGGTGATGTTTATACTGTTGATGAATTATGTGGAACTTGATCTGATAAGAAAATACCGCCGCTGGCCTCCAATGGTATTTTTCGGACTACTGAGCATTACAGGTATAAATGCTTCTTTTATTCATCGATGAAATAACGATGATAGTGAATATGAACCGAAGAGCTTTTCTCAAAGATTTAGCATTAGAGCTTGTAAAAGAAAATGTCCTAAAAATGGGCTGCAATTCTGTCTCGCTCGAAAGAACTCAAACCTGGAGTAAAAAGGTTGGCAGGAACACCTTCACCGAAGAAATAGTTCGTAAAAATATATTGCTGCACTATGCGAGGATTGTTCAAAATGATATTATTTGAGTAATTAACCTCAGGTGGGGGGGGGGGTTGGAAAACCTATGTGTTATTTATATTTTTTAATATTCATATTTAGAATCTATTCTTTGATATGAATAATTGTATGACATTATATTGAGTTTTAAGGAAAAAAGCTAGTAAGAATGCAGCCTTTTCATATTCCTCTAGTACTTTATCAAACCACTCTTCATAATAAACACTTATGTTTAAAAAATATGTACATATGAAAACTGATTTTTCTAATATAAGAAATCATATATGCATCATATATAAGTTAGTAATTTTGCATAAATTTCGATTTTTATAGCTTACTTTAGATAACCAGTATGGAAATGTTTGTATAACTTAAAGTAAGGTTATCTCGAATTAAAACTGGAAAAAAGGTTTAACAGAATTCACAAAGCTATTAGTCATTTATACATTCATTTAAAACAAAGAAAATGCATGTATTTATATGTTGGAAGGTGAACTCCGAGAAACAAACACTGGAGTAAAATTTGTCCCGCGCGTGTACTAACATAGCGCAGTGATGCGTGTGTGCTGAAAGGTTAATCAATAAAAAGCCACAGCTCTGACCATAACATTTTAAATAAATTGCACTTCAATGAGCTGTTAGCTATCAAATTGCATCATTATTTTATGCTAAAAAAACAATGTATGAGTATATTTTAAAGAAAAAAAAATAATAAACATTGCTAAAAAATAACAACAGCAAAGAACTTACCATTAGTAAGGTTAGGCGTGGTGTCCCAAGGTAAATCATTTCCGATATAATGTCCTACTATCACATGAATTCCCCTCTTATCAATGTATTCTTGTTGCCTTTTTGATTTTTGGAAAAGTCTAGAATTTTTATGATTATCTTCAACCAGGCCTGGCTGGAGGCTTATAACCACAAAAACTGTAAGCAATAATGGAAGCATGAAGATGAATAAAAGAAGCCGGACTTTCCTTTTTAATATCCGCCATAGCTTCATTACAAAATAATCCCTAAGAAACTGAGGAAAAAATTAAGGGGGTATATTAAGATAAGTCAAGACTATAGAATGATTATATAACAAGTAACAATGCTAAAATCAATTATATAATTTTAGATGATACTGCAGATAATGTAAAATTTTAAATCATGATTAAAAATGGAACAATTCAAATAAAAAGGCTAAGTCAGCAAATAAAATAATTAAACATGCTAAAAAATAACAGATGCATTTTTCATTAAATTGTAATTTCTCTCAGAAATTTATTCTACTTATGTATATATCTAGCTGGTTATTTTTGTCTATATTAGATTTGGTTTACCTTTTACTTGGGGTGTGTAATTATTTAATTATCATCACATCTTTTGCCTTCTAGCTTTCCCATTATTATTCACAGATGATTAACTTTTCTACTCTATTATATTTTTTTATCATTCCATTTTTTTTAAACAGCAGCTTTTACAGTATTCAGGATAACAACTTTTCTTAGCATCATTTCATTTTTTATTATCAAGAGGAGGATTTTAAGATGCAGCACCTTTAAGAAAGTATGGATAGTTAAGTGCATGTATCAGGTTATCAGATATAGAAAATTTAACACATTTTATTGCATCTTCCCCCTTTCATTCATTTTTTTTTATCAGTGGTCTCAAACTGGTGGCCCTCAAAAAAATTTTATGCGGTCCGCGAATACATTTCAATAGCTGCAAATACGAAGTTGCAAAGATTTGAAGTTCGAATGTACATTATTTTCATTACCATTAAAAGCAATCATGAATAAAACATCAGAAAATCAATAGAGTTAATTAATTTACAGAGTGAAATTCAAAGATTTGAAGATACAGGTTTACTTAACATACTCCTCCCTCCCAAAACGCTCAGTTATGAATTTTTACACTAAGAATAATAGCTTTGTTTTGGAATATACTTATAAGTGAACAGCTTTTTTTTTCACAGTTGAAAATTAATAAGAAAATAAATAGACTGACCAATGAACATCAACAATCCGTGATAATTTCTTTCCAAGGCTTTATCTGATTCAAAATGCCTTCAAAATGTCAAGTTGCAGAATAAAATAAAGAAGTTTATAATTATTCACATACAAAATATGCATTTTTATTTATGTGTCAATTTAAGCTTAAATTACTTAATGATTAATTAAACATTTTAAGATTATTTGAAATAAATGCCAGTTTGAAAGTTCAGTGCTTAACTGTAAATTTACTGTGTAACCAACAATGTTTTGCAGGTACCAAACGTTAGATTTCAGATAGAAAATAAATATAAATTTGATTTTTTTTTTCTTCACAGTATTATTGCATGTGAATATTTTAATAAGATTTAGCCGTGAAATTTAAAATATTTTGTATTTTAGTAATACTTTTTTTTAAAATTTTGTTTTAAAAAAAAGTAATCTGGTCCACTAGCTGCTTTCAAAGGGTGCATCTGGCTCACATGGAATTTGACTTTGAGACCTATGCTCCATATCAGCGGTTCTCAACCTTTTGACTGACGCGCACCACCTAAACAAAAATTGAAAACCTTTAGTATCACCTCTACAAAGTACTACTACCACTCTTGAACAAAGCTCTAATCCCATAAATTTATGAGTGCTTTAATTTTTGAATTTAATAGTTAAATACTTTGCTTCTTTGCTTACCACCTATTTTTTTCTTGTGTACCACCAATTGAGAACCCCTGCTCTACATGATATATGCCAAATCGTGAACACTCTCTACACTTCTACAGTACATAAAAAAAGACTTGGAATATAAAAGATATTTTTTACACTTTGGATATGCACATTAGCTTATATTGTAAACAAAATATATGCAAGTCTCTAATAAATCAGACTAGATTGAATGTAAAGTAATAAATAGAGAGCATTATTCCACACAACGTTTATTGACGAACACCAAAGATGAACTGATGCATATACATAATTATGACATCACAGTTTCTTTTTACAAACACTACTGCCATCTACTGGCAATTGGAAGCATACATAGTCATAAACTTAACATATTGAACAATTTTACTGAAAACATTTCTTGCAATAATTATAATTTAGATACAAAGAGCTTTGAATTGTTGTAGGGAATTCAAGAGTCAATGTACTCAGAGTGATAGCCCCATTCTTTGATGCACTAATGTAAATATTGTGACTAATGAAAAGCATCAAAGATGTACACATGTTGAACATCAAAAGTAACAATGCAAGCTGACTGCACTGGAATGCATCTTAAATTAAGGAACAACAGCAGTAACCCTGTGAATTCATTGCAAATTTTATCATGGCATTAATTTGGTCATGAACTTCACCTTTGAATTCAAATTGCTCTCAAGAAATACAAGCAAAGATCTGTACCTGATACTAACACTTTGGATAAAAAATTACACAAAGCCAATTTATGAAAACACATCAGGGAGGAATATAGTAAAGGATATGACAATTCCTACCTTTAAAAAAATGCATGTTTTGGAAAACAGTTCTACTAAACTAATGTTACTCACTGTGCCCCAGACAGCATACCTATCATAACTTGTTTAAAATAAATGTTAAAACCAGACAGCATATTTGTAACTAATTTATTTTATTTATTTATTATTATTATTATTATTATTGCAAAAAATGCATTTATCATGCAACAAAAAGACTATTCAAAATTAGATGCATTATTCATAATAATCTTAATTGTCTGAATTTCAAGAAAATCACTGAAAGTAACTGAAGCATTTTTTTGCCCTCTTCTTCAATACTCTTCAGAAACTTGCATTCTTTGACTTGACAATTATATTTATTGACTGCCACTCAACCTACAACGAGTTTCAACAACAAAAAGAGATGAACATAAAAACCAAGGAAGATTTGCAGAATATTTACTGGCTTGCAGGTGAAACATAATATTGCAGAGGTGGTTTCATTATCTTAAAAATCACTTTAATACTCCTATATTGAAAAAATTATAGCATGCAGCTACCTACTTTTATCTACATAAAAGTCAAGTACAAATATTCTGTGGCTTAATTTTCAAAGTTTGAGTAACTACAGAACAGATATTCTGGTTTAATTTTTTTATTTTATTATTCCTTGTGTAAACTGGTCAGTCTGGAATCACTTTATTTACTGCAGCTTTTACCTCCATGGCAACCTCAGTAACTGATATTTAGATTGCCACAAAATTATTTAAGTGTAAACAAAACATCCTGGACTAGACAAAACACGAGAAAAAATTTCTATTGTAAATATAATTTATTTAAACATAATTAACATCACACTTAATTCCATTTATTTATTTTTTATGCTTCTTTGGCATTAATTGTTATAAAATGATCTATGGAAGAACACAAACCACTTTTTGGATTGAAAAGAAAAAAAAAAAAAAAAAAAGCAGTAACTCAAAGCGGAAACTTTATTTTAATCTTCAAAACCTGCTTGAATGACAAATTTTATGAAAACAGCAGTCTGAGAACTCTACAAAAACGTAAGTGACTTATCATTGTCTTGGAAATTACAACAGAGAGGGAAGGGTGTAAAAGACCCTTTTATTTATCTCAAATAAAAGTTAACAGAAGGCATGGCTCGTGCTTAGATAACCATCCAGCATTTATGAATTAACTCGAAAAGTAAAAGGACTGAAGTTAAACTAAGTTATTGTAAGTTAGCCAAAAAGAGTACAGAAAAGTTGCACACAAGTTGACTCAAAAAACCTAACGTCAGCATGTCAAGCCTAATGGCAACAATAACACAATGCTGCAGATAAACAGCTCTCAAGAGAATCAACTAGTAACATGGCCTTTAGCAGGCAGAACATGCTCTGTTTTTACAATCTAGAACCTTCCTCTAATTACTGTCCTTTTCTACCTCATTTGAACATGCCCAAACAAGAAATTTGCATTTTGGCAGAAAAATGGAAAGCAAGAAAGACAGAAAAGCTAATTAAAATAACTGGTTAATAAAAATAAATGAATACTCTACAAGTAAGACAAAGTAAAATGAAAACTGCTCATCTTTTCGATCAAATCAGAAAATGATTAGACCCATGTTTAAGTTATGCCTTTGGGGGAATGAACGTGCTTCAAGTGAAGCTTGAAAAAGCATTCAAGCATGACTAATTCTCTTTTTTTCACAGAAATACGACAGAAACTTAAGACTGAACATAATGTACAAGAATGTTTGTGCTTGCATATTAGAGCTCATGCTTTTTGTTATATGCTTAACACTCTGATTAGTTATACCTATGTGCTTTCTGATTCAAAGAAAATATATTTTTGAAACATATATAAAAGGCTTTTTATACAGAATGAAGAAAACTAGAACTAAAAAAAGACTTAAGCTTTTTTTTATGAAATGTTCAAGACTGTGTACCTCTGTATATAGGTCTTTCCCTGACTATAGACAACCTCATAAAATTCTCACTAAACTTAAAAAAAAAATTTTTTTTTTTTTTAATTTGTGTTGGGGGGGGTAAATTAAGCAATCATAGAATTTCAAAATTTTACTTAATGCCATGGGTCACTTTTCTTACTAAGAGTTAATTTTCAACTAATCATTCAGAATGAAAATGAGGACTTTGGAAAGTAGATACAATACAAAGTAAGCACCCCACAGTAAAACTATACTAGAGATTGATGTAATTAGCACACCAGGAAAAAGGCATTGGACACGAGTGAGATTTAATAGACATAAAGATGCACAGGATCCTCAAAAACAGAACACCAGGGCAGGCCCGCGCCAAGCCTAATCCGTGCTGTTGTGCAAATGTCTAGCGAGCGCCTTTATAATAAGTTTCTAATAAGTTTGCACTGAATAAATTACTGTTCACAGCATAGTTTACGACAAGGTTTAAACTGTGATCACAAGAGCACAAAAGATGCTCTAGGGCTGATATCTATATCCAAAATTCTTTTCTACACACCGCTATGTTGTCGACAACAATACAGCTAAGAGTTTCAACCGGCGATGCTACACTTCCTCCAAAAGTGTGCAAAAACTGCAGTTCATACATAAGATCTATACTATTTACTATATCCGTTTGATTTTTATCAGTTAATGCTTTTTGCAGTTTTTGACATAAGTTGAGCTAATCTTGTAAATATATATGTGAATGAAAAAACGCAATCCCGATGTGTATGTAAGGGTAAACGCCGGTGCCATAGACACATTTGATAAATTGCTTAATCCTTATTTTGTGTCTACTGTTGCAATTGTAGTAATTTGTGCACCATTTATCTTTTTTTCTGATTTTTTTTTTGGGTGATTGCTTGTTGTTATTGTTCTTCTACATAGAAAAATGTAAGTGCAGTTACATATTATGTTAAATTTAGATTAGCTTTTTAATTCAGAAAAGCGACGATTTGAGCATAGTTACTCAAAATTACTTTATAATAGTTATTTTCTACTTTTATTTTAATTCTACTTTTTCTGTTTTTATTTTTCCTCAGATGTAGAAAGAAAAACAGAAAAAACTGTCTGGGTATCAGAATTTAATGAAGAAAACGAAAGTAAGAGGAAGACTTAATACAACAAAACTTTAAAATTACTCAGTTTTTGAAAAACCCAGAGAATATCCAAGCTGACGCTACTAGCACTAGCTGTCCATCAACGTGTCAGCTACCATTGAAATTACCAAAAGAACCTAATAATCAGAAAGAATTAGAAAGTGTTTTCACCTGGGAATTACCTTTAACTTTGATACAGCCGTTCGGAAAAAACAAAAGAAATACTAGTGAAATCTACAATTTCTGCAGTAGATATGCATTTGCCTGTGCCTGATGATTCCGGATTACATCCAAGTGCATTACTGAAATCTCAAGTTCAAGCCTTAATAGAAAATGGTCTTGGATATTATGAAAACCTGGTTTCCAGTTTCAGTTTTCCAAAAGACAAAAGTGGACGTAAATTTTTTCAGATGTACTTTTGTCGAATCTTGCCAAACAACGAAAGACTTAAAAGCGATTGGTTGCTAAACTGTGCTGAAAAGAATTCTGTTTATTGTTTCTATTGTAAAATTTTTAACAGTTTCAGCAACGTAAAATTGTGTAGTTTTGAATTTAATGACTGGAACCACTTAAATGAACACTTCATGAAAAAATAAAAGTAAATTCCGGAATCTGCATCTTTGGTCCGATTTCTTAAAACGATTAAGAAAGAATAAACCTGTTGATTCAGAATTTCAAAATTTATTTAAAAAAAGAGACTAAGCATTAGCACGCAATTGAAAGAATTATCTATGCATTCAGTGTTTCGCTAAACAAAACTTAGCCTTCCGTGATTCCAGTAACAAATTATTCGAAAGCAGGGGCGTAGCTAGAGGGGGGCATCTGGCCCCGGGCGCAGATTCCAAGGGGCGCCAAACTGATGTTACGACATTTTAGAATTAAATGTTTTCCATCCTTGGCAAGCAGTAGGGGGTGCGAAATCTTCAGTTGTCCCTGGGCGCTGAAAACCCTAGCTACGACTATGTCCGAAAGAAATAATAAATTTTTTAAGTGTATAGAAATGATCACAAAATCTGACGCTATCATGTCTGTATATACTAATAAAATTCAAATTAAAAAAAATATGCCTCATTACCTTGAAAATAAAATTTTAAATGAAACAATTAGCTTATCAGGGGATAATATAAAGCAAATTATTTTAAATAAGGTCAAACATGCAAAATATTTTTCTATTTTACTTGATTGTGCTTCTGATGCCAGCCATCAAGAACAGATATCAATTTGTATGATGTATCTTAATTTAGAAAATACAGACATGAGTACTGAAGAAAGATTTTAGTATTTTGGTGATAAAACCGGTGAAGGATGAACAATATTCTCATTAAAGACTTTAGAAGAAAATGGTTTAGATATTAGTAATTTATGCAGCCAAGAATACAACAATGGTTCAAACATGAGAGGTAAGCAGTTTTCGAGTAATTATGCTGAAATCGTTGTTGCTTTTCCGATTAAAAAAGTTAACCTAAGTTTAACACAATATGTAACTGCACTTACCTTTTTTTTTTTAATGCAGAATAGCAGTGACAACAAGCAATCAGAAAAAAGATAAATGTTGCACAAATTACTACGATTGCAACAGTAGACACAAAATAAGGATAAAGCAATTCGTCGAATGCATCTATCCTTACACACGCAACAGCATCACGTATTTTCACTTTCAAATAAGACAGAAGAGAACACCAGAGACGAACTCCTGCCCTGGTTATAACTTTCGGTCAAATAAGACAGTGTGTTAGGAGGAAGGGGCACTCAGACCTGGCAGGCTCGAGGCTGCCTTAATACAGTTTAACGCCCCAACCCCTAGACACGATCCAAGAAGCCGCTAACCTATTGGTCGAGCCGATGAGCTAAGACCAAGCTGAGTCGACAGGAATACTCAGCAACTCACATCCCCATTCTGGAGGGATAGTAGAAACATTGGCCATCAACAGGGGCCCCCAACCCCGGGCAGCAGAACGAAATCACTTAAATACTGTCAGACAGACCGAACCTCCAATCTGACCTGCTAACATTACATCGAGCTATATAGACATCGGCTTTAGGCGCACCCACGGAGAAACTTGTTGAATGAGAGAAGAATATGAATATGGAGTATTAAGGCTCCAGGCACCCACTGGAAACCTCAAGCAGTTTAAAGGTTCGCTGAATTCGCCTACTCTACTGATGGGGGTGTTTCGCTCCGGACAACCATCAATATCTGACCATATAGCTCCACCACAAACAATGGAATTGACAAATCAGTACCATATGATCCTTGCTGAGTCTGAAACAGCCATCAGCAGCGATGACTTCAGGCCTGTGGAGACTGATTTTAAACACTCGTGGCCGAGTTTGAAAACATCTGGAACTTGGTAGTCAATGGAAAAGAAAAATAGGTAGACACATGGAAAGTGTTCCAAATGTTGCTTTGTAAAATGAAATTCGGGTTAATAATTTGAATGACAGTGTCAGGCCCAGAAAAATGTGAAGTAAGCAAGGAAAGTAGTGCAGTCAAGCTTCTGAAATTAAACATTGAGAAATTTTATGGTAATTATAGTTCACTATTAATATTACAGTAATTGTAGTTCAATATTAATAATTACAAATATTGATATAAGTGATTAAGCTAACATAAATGAAAAATATTATTATATTACACAGCCAAGTAGCAAAGGATAAACTATTATTATTATATCTGACAGCACTACTAATAAGCTATTTTCAAATGAAAGTCCACATACTTTATTCCATATTACACTAAAGTTCTTTGTTTCATTGTCCTTTCCAACACGGTAGATTTCACATTTCATATTACATTTTTACAAATTTATTCTTTAGCAAGAAAGCTTCTAGCAATAAATATATACAGATAAATTTGCTGCCAAGTGAAATATAAAGTTATATCATATCTGGAAAGGTCCCAGAACCTGATTAAAAGAATTTCACATAAATGTACTATCAAAATTCATCAGCAGTATGCCTCTCAAGAAAATCTCTCGGCGAGTGTAAAATGTTATTTTCTTTCATATAATTAAATTGCACGCTGCTCATAACACATAGCATTTGTTGCAAAAATTCTTGTGGAAAGCATATAAACATGTAGTTTATCACTTTCCTGCTCTGTCTGATACATATTTCACATAAAACAATGATATAAAAAACACTTGCAACATCAGCAAAGATGAACTGAACTGGGATGATAAACATCAGCAAAAACAAATGAACTGAAAGCCTGGAACTGATGAATAAATTATATACTGTAACATTCCATTTTCCCTTCTATATTTTGCAAGCCTATGAATTATGCAATGAAGATGAAAAGTAAAAACTTCTATTGTTATACAAAATATCACACAAGAACTGAAAACTCATCTTGGTGATGGCTAGAAGATGATAGACTTTCAACTTGCTCAGTATTTATTTGTAAATGTCTAGATTTTGCAGTAAATATTTTGTGCCTGTAGTGCATGGGACGGAATATTGGAATTTAAAAGTCATGTAATTTTATACAAAATTGATATCATTAACATTTATTTACTTTTATACTGTTCATAATTCTTCAGAAGGTAAAACATTTGATCTCCAACCTCCATAAACATATGAAATATTTATTATACATTCATGAAATTTTTGTTGGCTTGCCTTACATATACGCAACTTTCTTACACATACTTGGTATGCATTATACTCCTTTTTTGCTATGTAAAATAAACAGAAACCATGAAATTCTTTGTACATAAAACTGCATGGAAAACTTACGAATATAAACAACATTTGTTTCCTCAAAATACTCAGAAGACCATAAAAATTAATTCTTCATGTAAACATTGTTTCTCTAACTGCATTTTCCTCATTTAAACTTCAATGACAAATTGCTTCAGACTATAAAAAAAATTAAATTTTGGCAACGCAAACAAAACTTTTCCAGTACAGTTTTACGATTTCACCAAGTGCTATGATGTGAAATTCATTACTCTTTTCATTCTATTACCGCTGCCTAGCATATATTTCACATTTCTGACAACAAAGAATGCACCCATAAAGCAACAGGTTTGCGAAATATCAATTAATATGTTAGAAGGGCTATACAGGAAATGCTTAGCATAAAATTAACCTGACTGCCTACACTCGTTACATATATTACACCATTCATCTCAAATATGTGACTTTTTTATTTAAAGAGCACCTTTTTGTGTGTGTGTTTAACTTGTTAATACAATTCATAATTAACAACGATTCATATAAACTGGTAACTTCCATGCATTTACATAGAAATGTGTAGAAGTTGTTTAAGAGAACAAAAGAGAAAAATATTCTTAAATTTAAGAAATATTTTTTACCTTGAAAATATATATATCGGCAATATAAAATGACCAGTTCACATAACCATTCGCAGTGAGGACTAAATTCTTCAAGCTTTAGTAATCTGAGATTCATACTGTAGCTTTAAAACCGTAAATAATCGAAAACACATTTCGTGCGATGAATTTACTAATACTTCTGAAAGGTAACGCAACCACAATTAACATAGGTCAGCGTCATTTCTGCGCCAAAAGATTTTTTCCAGTTGAGCAATTCCTAAACAATCTGTTCTACCATATGGCTTTCATCGCTTTTAACACTTACTTTAGACCAACTTTTTATTACATGTCTAAAATAGCTTTTCTTTCTCTTTGGCCTAGTATTTGGAAAAACTTAATTAATTTCACATTTTAGATAACATTATGTAATGTTAATGCTTAACATTTGTAAAGCACGGAAATTTAAATTGAAAGTGGGATATCTGCTATTTGCAATTCGATAATTATAATGCATTTTTTTTGGGGGGGGGGGAACAGTTTCAAATTGAATAGTAATTATCAAATATTAAAGCACGAGCATCATTATTATTTACAGATAATTGATGCTTTTTTTTTTTTTTTTAATGGCATAGCTTGGCGATTTTTTGGCGACATTTTGATTGTTCGTTCGGCGATGCAACAAATAGTGAGGAGGAAAACCTGTTGAACGAGAACTCGGGCTTTTCATTTCGAGCACACTCACCCGTGGTGAACTGCATGAAAAGAGCGGATTTGACTAAAACTGTTAAATAGTGCATGTCTCAAATCTCTCATCAGAATTACTGATGCATTGCATTATTTCAAAAAGGAGAGTAGAGAGATGATAACAGCATATGTTGACACGAGTTTTTTAAAATACTGATTTTAAAAAGAGAAGTGCTTATCAAATTTGCATAAAGAAATAGGATTTTTTTTCATAAATTTAAAACAGACAGGATGTAAAATTATAAAATATGTAGTTTAGAGACAATGTAACTTATTGTGAAGAAAAACATTCATTGGTTCTCAAGATGTTTAACTGTAATTTTAAATGCAATAAATTTTGAGGAACTGAAATCTTAGCTTCAGATTTATTTAGAGGTTTAAACTTGATGATTTTAGAAAAGCTAACAAACCAAAACAAAATTTAATATTTCTAAACAGTAATGGTGTATAATTTGCAAATAAAAAAGATCAGTCTCTGAACTGCAAAGAAAATAAATATTAGAAGTAAAAATATACTCTAATGTTAGGGATCCTCCATTCTGATATTTAAATATTTTTAGAATTTTTTAATTTTATGATTTTGTTTGTACTACAGCCTTTTTAATTGAATTTTGATGACAAAAATAGAAGTTTTGAAAAGAGAAAGTTTAATTCTCAACTAAAGCAATTTAGAGTATTTATTTCCTAAGTGCATTTTTATTTTATATCATTCTTCTAGTTAATTAATTCATTTACTAAATTAAAATATATGCATAATTGAAGAAGTTTGCTATTTATTTTTATAAGATTAACATTAGGTTTGGTTATGTGTCATAGAAAAGATACTGGCATGCCATGTTAGACAAGTGATTGTTCACCTGATCTATCATAAGCCTCTTGAAAAAATGAAAAATATTAATCAGAAGGAATATAACCATAAGAGGTAAAAGTAATGAAATGGCTATCATCAACATTACTAGTAGAATGCCTACTTTCTACATTCATGATCCTACTGTGGGACCGCTGGTAAATAAGTTATTCTGTCTCGCTCATTTTTTTCCTTCCAATCAGCTAGCTAATCACATGTAACTCTATGCATTGAAAAATGTATTCATATGTATTTAATAACTCACACATCAAAAAGCTTGCATAACACTGATCCTTAAGAATTTTTTTCAATGCAAGAGGAAATTAAACTTCACTGCTTGGACTCCAAAGCAGATGTGACAGATTCATTTGTGCACTTCACCAAATTCTTAAGTGGAAAAGTGCATTCATTTCCTCATGTGTCCTGGCTTTTACGAATGGCATGCAGCTCACCGTTTCTTTGCAATGTTAGGTCCATAGGAAGAGATGAGATAATAGCTGGTGGTTAAGATAATGGCTACTATTGATAGTCGGAATTTGCCTTTCACTCATACTCTGCTGCAAAGTTGTTTCGAGATGGAGGAGTGTGTATGCTCTTGCGTATCATGCGTGTAAAGAATAAAATTCCAACGATATTTTCAAAGTGTCAAGATGCTCCTAAATATTTCTTCTTGAATCTTGATGTAATTTTCTTCCAAGAAGACTTTTGTAAGAGGGATGCAATTATCTTCTTTTGCCAAGCACTCCGATCAAAACACACTTTGCATTTTCTTGCCATTACATTATGGTTCCTTAAAAATGCTACTACCTGTACCTGCAATTTCATGAATATGTCAATGCAATATAAGCACCTTCATTTAATATGCAGCAGGAGGGACTCATAGTAACTTTTTAAGTCTGCTTGAGTGTTTTTAAGAGATTGTGGTTTTATACAGTTCATTATTTTCCATATTAATGAAAACTAACCAACTAAACCTAATCAAACACAAGAGAAAACTGGTGCTAAAAATTGTTGAGAAATCACAATTTCATCTCTATAAACATTCACAGTGAAATGATACCAAATTGCCTAGCCGTTTGTATTTATATGGAGTTAAATTTTAAGCAGCTTCAAATAATTCCTAAAATTCTCAAAGGATTGAAAATGAACAAGAAGCTTCTCAAATATGTAATTCCAGAAAGTGGCAAAGCACTGTCTGCTAAAGGAAACATCAAATTAAACTTGCTGAAGTTTTGCGTTCAGAATGTTATTTATAACCTTCTTATTCTGATTCTACTTCCCCCCCCCCTTGTTCTTATTTCATTTTCCTGGAACAGCTGAGAAGCCTCTGAGAATTCCTTCTGAAGACCTAAGGGCTTCACACAGCACAGATTGGGAACTGCTTTATGTGGTCTTAAAAAAGAATAACTGAAGGATTCTTTTTCCTTCAATGTTATTGAGTGATATTCTTTAGTGATTTACTAGTGGGTAACATTTTGTACTTCATCAGAGGCAAGAAATAATCTCAGTGTACTTGCTTGTGCAAAAGAAAAATACATATGCATCAGATTATCTCATAAAATGCACTGATTATTGAGACTGCATATATCCAGTTTAGTTAATTATGGCAAAGAAGTCTAGGGCTATCTGCTTAAGAAAGGGATGGAATCCTTCATGGAGATCTTTCCGAGGAAAACTGGCTCATTTACATGTTACACCTGTGGAAAACCACAAAAAAGCCCTTGCAGCCAGTCTGTTCACTTGGAATTGGGCCCAAGTCAGTAATACAGTGTTCAAGGATTTTACCGCTTGTTTGCTGGTAGACCAACTGCATATATCAGAAATTTTTCTATACACTTTTAGTTATTTTATATACATCAGATGCAGACTCAAATACGTTAAACATATATATATATATAGAAATTAAATTACATTAAATACTAAAATTATAACCTTTCAAAGTATTACAAAAATGCAAAAGAAAACATGGAAAACCAATAAAAATAAATTAAGAACTTTACCAAAAGTGAAGGAGTTCCACAGAATGGCTAAAATATTAAAATAGTCAGATTGGATTATTTTTTGCTGTCATCAGGATGATAGATGAAATTATTATTCCTTTGGTTTAGACAGTACAGTCAAAAGTCGTTAATTCGGACACCCATAATCCGGACCTCAAAGCTAAACTTTCTGCGCATGCGTCGTGTTTACGAGTACGCGCAAGACCTTTACGGCTGCGAATATGTGTGTGCGCATACGCATTTAATGTGTAACGGACGGTATAAGCTAAGCTAAAATTATCTAATTCAGTTAATGTTGCAGATTGCGTTGTTCCTAAATCTTCGAATTGTATCCGGCTTATTATTTTTTGCAGACTGTTAGAGCAATTTTATAAAAGTAAGCTTGAACTTTCGATTATGTCAAATAGAATTTCCGATATATATTTACTAATATGTAAAGGATATACAAAGTGAAAGTATGTTTGGAAATCCGAAATCTGTTTATGAATTTCACACGGTGTCGCGTAATGAATTGGAAGTTGATCTGTCAACACTATCCTTATCTTCAGGGCAGATGTTTTTATTTTATTTGGCTTTTACAATGTAGTATTTCATCTAATCCTTACTAAATGTAGTATTTCATCTTGATGTACTCTGTCTTTGATATGATTTAAATCAAGTTCCTCGTCATTATAATTCGCTTCCGATAGTGAAAGTGACCCAGAGGTTATTGAAAACGAAAAAATTTCGATTGACAAATTAGTCGGTATTCTCAACACAGCAATTATAGGACTTCAACAGCGGAACTTTGTAACTAAACAAGAAATTATGTCTGTTTAATGAATTAAAGAGAAAGTATTATCACATGAAATGAAGCAACTTAAACAACTTACATTGAAAGAAATGTTTAATAAAGTAAACAAATAAATATTAAGCTTTTTCTTTTCGTAAATTTTGATATCCTTTAGATCATAATTGTTCTTTATTTCATAAATTATGGTTTCATATTTTTAATTTTGTAATTTCTGCATGCCATCTTACCAGATTTAAACTGATGATCTATAATCCGGAATCGCCGAAGTCCCGACGAGTCCGGATTAACGACTTTTGGCTGTATTTATATTTTTAAAAACTTTTTCAAATTCCTTTTCCTATATATATATATATATATATTAGATCATATAATTCATAATAATTTATAATAAGAAATCTTTCTATATACTATCTCCAAGGAACACAAATTGAATTTTAAACCAGGAAAGATATTTTTTGAATTTATATTAGATATATATATATAATATATATATATAGAATGTATTACACACATATATATATATATAATACATATATATATGTAATACATTCTGTGGATAACCTGAGATTCTTTACTGCATATATGGAATGACAGAGATGTGTAGATATATAACGGAGAAAAAAATAGTTCGTAGTGGTGGCTGCATATTCAATATATACTTTTGTTACCAGATAACCAATTTTAGAATTTTAGAACACATATTCTTTACACATGATCATTATAAGTGTAACATGCACCCCACAACTCTGCACAACTTGTCACATTGCCAGACAATGAACAGATGGAGATACAAGCAGTACGTCAACAGAATGAAAGCAAAGCCCAAAAAAAGCATTACACATCAGCAAAGCATGAGACATATAGTAAAAAGTTTCTTTAATTATTAGATAAGAGCTGTCTCATTGCAGAATTAATAAATTGGCATCATGCAGATTAATTTTCAGATGATGCAGATACATATACTAAAAATCTTAGGATATGAATTAGATGTAGCCAAATTAAAATGAGGAATTAAAAAAACTACTGCTAATATGCAAGATACCAAAATATGAATTATTATTGGAGAAAAATTTATTACTAAACTTAATTAAATTTAATTGCATAAATGCCTCTTCAAGGCTCTATATTGGTGTTACATCATGCTTTCTCCACAGTAACCATAATGCAAAATTTCTTACCCAATCAAGCCTGTCCAAACTCATAAACAATACAACTTTTATGCCTCCTCTTTTGCCACTTTGTATTTCTGCTGGCTAATCTCCATTAATTCAAATGTAATTACATATCTAAAATTGTGGGGAGCATTGTTCTACCAATTAAGAGGATATAAGAAATTCGTCATCCAAAAATAAATTATGTATTATTAGCAAGCGAGTCATACTTTCTCCAAAAATTCCCTCTGGGCATCCACTACAATGCAATTTCCAGTACCTACACAGTAGAAAAGTGAATTGGTGCCTTCCCTAATCAAGTTGTAATCTAATATCAAGTTATCTTCAGCAAAATAAATTATCATATACATATATATGTCATAATAAGAGCAAAGGAAAAATGACGGAACACTGTAGATGCGTGCTTATCCTATATTGAAGAGGAAGTAATCTGATTGCGTCTTATTTAAAGAACTTGGCAATCGAGGCAGTTTTAATTCCATTTTTATTTCCAATTGATATTTGTAGCCACAATCACTTGGCACTCTAGTCATGCCTTTCCACAGAAGATTTACATTTTTGATATTGTTGGGATAGAAAGCAAGCCAGCGAAATTACATATTAGCAGAGTAGAGAGCAAAAGCTGAAGTGCGTAGTTATGAAGAATGGAAGCACGCGAAGAGAAAAGTTTTGGTTTACAATTCAGTGATTGGTCGTCAAGAGGCATCTGGTATTAACGGTTATGTAAGATCGCATGATTAATTTGAATGACGCAATGCAGATAAGTTATTACGATTGTAGAATAGAGAGCAAGAATTACTCTTTATAGTTATATTATAATTCTGATTCATACATTTTTATCTTACATATATATATGTATATATATCAGACCTCTATGCTTTCAAAAAGATGAATCCCATATTTTGAAATAAAAGTAACTGACAGGAAGAATTGCTTCAATAGATTAATTTTAGAAGTAAATCCCAAAATATTCTCAATAGCTTAAAGTATTTCTAACATTTCCAAGCATAACTTCAGCTTTATTGCTTGCTAAGTGTCTTTTAAAGTCTCCTCTTTGCTTTATACTCCTCTTTTAAGTACATAAAAAATTCTGTTACATTAACCATAAATATTTAAAAAATATTTTGAACTAGGTACCCAATATTTGACAATACAAACCTTTTTTATTAATTACAATAATTTAAATGCATTTTTTCTTTTAATCATTCAATTTGTTAAGCAATTGTAAATTGATTATATTCAAAAGATAAGTTAATAATCTTACGTTTTGCGAAATGGCGGCATTGTGCTAACTAGTTATGCATGAGGCATGTACATTGCATCCCCGCCAAAAGTGAACAGTTCTATATCTCCCATTCTACTGGGCCAATTAAAGAAATTCAACTTGTGTTTTTCATGTCTCGAAAGTGCGAATTAGGATATGTATTAGATTTATATATAGAACTGTTCCAATATAGATATTTTGCCACAAAATTGGACTTTTTCTGAAATGACATGTCAATGTTTTTCCATATTTCGATTCTACGACTCATGCCAAGCTGCCAAGTTTTGTAAAAATCGCACGAGTAGTTTTTAAAAAATTAGCTCTCAAAATTTTAGCTCCTCAATGTTAATTGAATTTGATATATATTTATTAATCTCTTTTTTTAATTAAATTTATTTGATTCTTCCTTTCACATTTCAAAATTTAGGTTCATTCCAAATAAAATTCGCCCATTTTTTCATGATTTATTTTTAAAATTCGTATTTTTAAATAATCTTTACTGCAAAAAATTAGTTTTTTTTATTTAAAATTTCCATAGATATACGTGAATTTATATATTGGCACATTTTGAAATTTGGCATATTTGTTGAAAGCGATAATAACATCAAATGTGGTTACGGCACTTTGTTAAAACTACTTGAAAGTAGGAACAATGTAAATTTTTCCCTACTCATGCACAATGTAAAAAGGGAAAGGAAAATAGGTTGCTATATATTAAGAAGTTCGCCAAGTGAATTATTCTTGGCACAAACTGAAAAAAATGCACCAAAATAAATTTTTGAATTTCTCCCTAAATTTTGCACCAGATTTTACAAAATTTAATATTTAGACATAATTTGAGTTGTAGAATTGAAATATGAAAAAAATTGGCATGTAATTTCAGAAAAATTCCGATTTTGTGTCAAAATACCTATATTAGAACAGTGCTTTATAAATCTAATATATATCCTACGTCGCGCTTTCAAGCCATAAAAAAATGCAATTTGAATTTCGTCAATTGGCCCAGTAGAATGGCTGATTTAGAACTTTACTTTTTGCAATGTACATCCTACATTTTACTTAGATGCAAAATACCATGGTGAGTGAATGATATAGCTATAGTAGCATAACTTAACAGTACATAAATTTCAGTAAAACAGCACTAAGATTATTTCTAAAAGAAAAGAAAAATATGACCCTAAATACTAAATGAACAAAAATTCCCAATGAAAATTTTCACATTAATTATATTCTTTCAGATATTTATTATAAAGTTGTGTTTATCAGTGTTCATCATATGACTTAATAAAATGCAGTAATTCACTTCAAATAAAACAAAGTTTCCTCAGTAAAATATTTTATTTCTTATCAGCTCTCCAATAATAAACAGCTGTAATAGTCTAGTAAACATATACAAATATATAATTCATTGCCAATAGCTAACAAACATAGAATATCACATCAATAAAATTAATTATTTTAATCTGAAAATTTGAATCTTCATTCATTTAGGCACATAAAGTACAATTAATAATCAGACTTTATACAATAAATAAGGTATTAAAAAGCTTTAAAAAAGGAGGTATTAAATTAAAAAATAAGATCTGTTAATATTAAGAGATTTATATATATAGCTTTATATATATAAGGTGACATATTTAAAGACAAACAAATGCAAGAAATTCAGAAATGACTTTTCCTTTACACAACACAAGTATCTAAATAACGTAGCAAAATTTATTTAAAGATAATTTTGAAAGATATGGAAGTAAAATAAATTTTTAAAGATGCAGAAATAGAATAATAAAAAATTAAAATTTTGAACAGTTATAATGTTTTGTAATTTTATTACAGAGGAATGACAAAAATTCCAATCTTATTTTTTTTTTTTTAAATAACAGTACACTTTTTCAAGTTTTTGTGTTATATACTGTTAACACTAATACATATTTAATAAACATAAGTTTCTGTTATAGGAAAATTTTATAAACAATTTTTGTGTTCTGTATTTAAAAAAAATTATTGGGCTTTCAGTTCATATAAAAATAACTCGCATAAAATACAGAAGTAGCTTTCATTTGACACTTAGTTTAAATATCAACATAAAACATCTTTTAAATGCCACAACTGCATAATTTTTGCAGATATTGTCCACTGTTATAAGGACAGATCTTGAGTCGTCCTGACTATCATTCACAACCCCTAGAATGATGAAATATAAGAAGACAAGTGAAAAGATTTTTTGAAATTAGAATTAAAATTGCAAAGAAAAAATTAATAAATAAAATAACAGGAAATTTATCGTAATTCGAATTAAAATATAAGGTAGGATCAAAAGGTAATGCATCCTTTTTAAAATCAGAAGTTAAACAGACAGATTACAAAATAAAACACACATACGGACAAGGCTACATGTTTTAGCTTTTTCAACACAGGAATTGAAATGCTCAATACATTTACCCCACAATGTGATCACATTCACTAACAAGTCTTTTTTTACATCAAAAATTTACTTCCTGTCAATGAATACCCTTAACTTTTAACAATAAGTTACAATAAGAAAACAACTAATTTGATGTCTTTAGCCAGACCAAAAAATGCATCATTTGGGGATATGCAATTGCTCATTAAATCATGATGCACCATTTCTTTACGAATTTAAATCATTTTTTCCATTTAATCTCCCCCAAAAGTGTTTTTTAACCTTCCAGCACATGCACTTGGCAATTTTATAGGAGCATGCGCACGTCATATTTTTTACCACATCTATTATTCTACCGTTCTGGGCATGAAAGCCGACAGAAATGTATTGTAACGTCTTAAGCTATTTTATCGACCACCACAAGTTCTGAGAAAGGGAATGACCACCTCGAAAGTTCCCACGGACAGAGCATTTCTTAGCAAATTCTCGGAAAGAGAAAGTGACCAGCAGTCACAAAACAATCTCGGCTTTTTTGTTCCTCTTATAGTTGTTCGAAAGGAGACATTGTTCAATTCCCTTTCATTAGTTTATGGGTTCAGTGTCTCAGACCACCCGGTTTGAGACCCCCAGTTGGAATCAAAAAGTTCCCATGGTCTTTTTCACAGGCTGTCTTCATCATATCCAGTTTTTAATCAAAGTGCTCTCGCCAATCAAGAGGCGCTTCTAAAAATTACGGACAAATAAGGGTCCTAAAAGTTTTTTCGACACGCCCAGGACAACTTGAACAAAATCATGGAATGCAGTTTCAGAAAGAGAGAAAAAGTGAGAGTTAGTTGCAGAAAGTAGAGAGAGAAACCTTCTCTCGGTTTTTTTCCAGCTCGGCCACGAGCAAATTTTTGCTTCGCTCTGTGTAGAGCGATATTAATATCTCTGCCAAGAGATTTACAGCGAGGTAGCCGAGTTTGCCGCTACCTTATGAAGAGCATCCTGCTCGGACACAGCTCAGTCCGGCAACCACCGGCTTAGAGATTCGGTTAATTCAAGACAGCCTCATCTTGAGCCTACCCTCATCTTGAACTATTTCCAAACAAGAACTTTCATCTAAACAAGAACTTATTCACCCTACTGTGAGAACAATATTTTATAAGTTTATTTATTTTTATTTTTTTGCGTATAGCCTAAAAAGACCCCAAATAAATTCAGTTACGCTACCCCTCTTGTCTTTCAAATTCGTCACAGTATATTGATAATAAATTTGTAAAGAAATGAAATATTAACCTTACTATTGCAAAATACAAATATGTCATATTCAAATGAACGTAAATTATTTTTAAATGCTTACATTAGTCAGGTGGAAAGGCTATGATGTATTTCATTATAGAAAATTTAAAATTGATTCTTTAATAACTTTATTTTAAAATCCAAGCCTTTTTTTTCCGTACCATTACTATCATCATCCAAAATTTATTGTTCAGATTCACTGCTGATATTATTTATCTCTATATTTTTCTCACTCAAATTGCTATTGTTCTCACATCCAAAGGTTTCCTTGTCTTCTTTTTCTTCATCAGATAATTCTTGAAGAATGCGAACAAAATCAACTGTTTGCACATATTCCCCCCCCATAAAAACCAGTATAATAAATTAAGAGTCGAATTTATACAAATTAAAATAATACATGTTAATAAATAACACAAAATTACAAAATATTTTAGGAAAAATATATTTTTCGAATTTTCACCCATAACCATGCGCCTGTCATAACTTTTACGAAGAAGCTGCCATGTAGAAAAATGGTGCATATGACTTCCTGTTAGCATATTCTATGATGTGGGTAAGGGTTGAAAGGAGGAATAGAAATGACTTCTAGTTGTCTTAGTTGCGATATTCTAAAAATGTGCATTAAAAACGAAGTTTGTTGTGAACTTTGTGTATGACGCGCGTGCTGGAAGGTTAACAGCATGCTTTTTGTGTTACAGACAATTATTTTCTACAATTTATTTTAGCACAATAATCAGACTAGTGTCTTGCCAAATTGTAACCAGCTACTTGCACACTCAAACATTTGGGGGGGGGAAGAAAAGCTATCTGAACAATTAAAGTATTAAATTTTCAGACTTTTCACCAAATGATTTTTTTAAATTTTAATCTAAAAACATACACATCTTAATTCAAATCTTTCCAAAAGATTAGTTTTATTAACCATCCATGTGGCACAGGCCATAATGTATACATTCAAAATTATTAGTCAAAATACCATTAAGTACTCATACATGCAACTTCAAATGTAGCCAAACAATCAGAGTAATATATATATTGGAAGAAAAAGACCCATGGCACAAATTTAGAGTGTCATTTTGTAATTATATTAAAAAAAAAAAAAAAAAAAAAAAAAAAAAAAAAAAAAAAACTGTTTACTCAAGGCTTTTTGGGCAACTTTAAGGTTTTGTGGCCCAAACCTTGATAGGTTAATTTCCAACAGAAGAGTTCATTTAAAAAGGTATCATTGTTGCAGTTTCAATGGTATCTGGATTACCTTAAGTTAACTAACTCATAAGTAAGACACAATAACACGCCGAACAAATACTAATTCAGAAGTCAAACAACAAAATGCATAAAAAGGAAACACAGAAGTCTTCTGTTGCTCAACATTGTTGGTCCGAAAATCACACTTTCAATTTTTCTGCTGCCAAAATTATTCAAAAAACATCTTCCATTGGAGAACTGGATTTTCTAGAGGCATTTCACATTCATAAAAATCTTTCTGTTCTAGTTAACGATCCTAATTCCAATCCACATTTGCCTTCGGCTTTTAGAGAAATTATGTTTTAGTTCTGGTTTCGCCAACAGATGGCACCACTTGCTTATTCTTGTCCAGGCTTCCTTATCTTATCTAATCATTATTTCCTATCTTGTTCATTTGCGGTTTTGCAGCTGAAGATGATGGTTCGGTAAAACCATCGAAACTAGTCCTGTGAAAATTTTGTGAATATAACGCTGATTTTTGTTGTTTGACTTCTGAATTAATAACTCATAAGTGTTACATTGCTTCAGTGAGTCATTTAGTAAGATATGTCAGAATTTTCATGTAACTGTGCTGAATATAACTCTTGAAGCACCTCAATAATTCTCCACACAGAAAACCTTTCATCCATAGGCCCTGGATGTTTCTACCAACTCATACTAGTATACAAGGTGTCCCATTAACACTGCCCAAACTTCTTAAAATTTTAAGACATTCTTTCCTCTTCAGTGTTCCTCTCTTCAGATTCATAAAATATGCTCAGAGAGCTGCCCATCTACGATCCACAGGTTTTGAGATAAATAAAAGTATGTAAACATATCTGGTGCAAGAAGAAAAAGCTTTATTGGAAACATGAATATCGATACTTCCATATGTTCACATAGAAAGATGTTCAAAATATCGAGGCAAGCATGGGAGAGGTCTGGAATGGCTTACTACACACGTTGCAGCAGCTAGTATCTATCAAAATACATACAGCATGAACTATGAACAATTACATCACTTTCTGTAGTAACTAGGTCTCGATGAATAAATTCCTTCAGATGGCTCCATAGGAAGAAATCCAAAGATGGACCTGGCAATCAAGGTGGTCATAAAGCCATATCCCCAGTCCAATCCAGGAGCCTGGGTATTCCATATCAAACCAATTACGTACAGGAGCACCAAAATGTGCCAGAACTTGGGACCATAGGTCATTTATTGCCATTAACCTGTTCAGGACCACGTCGTGTATATGAGATGCAACGATTCCACCTTTAAATGCCAATAGATGGTGCTAAATGGTAACGGTTTTCACATCAGTTAAGTCATGGGGCTTTTGACTTTCTTGCATGAGCATCAGCTTCTGTTCTGTGCTTCTGGTTTATATAGATTTATTGGAGTAAACAAACTGAGAATCACAGCCCTTTAAGTTAAAGGGACACCCACATGTTTGTTTATTTAGTTTTTTTTTCCCCCCTTCATTTTTTGTCTTTATTTTGATTCTTTGCGTTTTTTGTTATTAGAATTGTCAGGAAATACATCCAGCTCTATGTTTTCTTTTCCCCACTTTGTGGAAAATGCATCTAGCTGACTATAGCAGGTGTAATGTCGCTGAACTCAGACCAGTTGTCCATTTTTATATTTATTTTAAAACTTAACATAAACTTTCTTGGTTGATTTAAAAGTAACTTTACAGCATTATTGAAAGAGGGAAAGATATCAGCTTTCCGATGCGGGATGAATCTTACTTTTTAGGCATATGCTCAGCGAAAAAAAAGCCGCCTTTGTCCTGTGTGTCGATTCTCATTTTGAATTATTCCACATACAGCAGAATTATTAAATTGGAATTTAATTATTTACAAATAATTATTGCTTACTTTTCTTTTACATTTCGAATTTGTAATTTTGTTTTCATGTGTACAGTACTTCTTTTCAGGCTTATAATTACAATTTTAATATTTCGCATGTTTCATTTATTTCTATTAATGTGATATTCTTTATATTAATAAATATTAATAAGTAATACATTATGTACATAACTTCAAAAACTGAGGTCCTTATATTAAAATGCTGATTTTATATGAATTATTTTGTAAAAGTAGGCTTAACTGTGAAAATGCGCGGGCCGGAGGCGGCGTTCCATTTCAGGGGGTTTGGTCCGTGGCTGCGCTTCATTGACCGCGCACTGGTCCTCAAAGGGTTAAAGGTATGCCATCTTAGAAATCAGAAAGGATCATGGAGGAATACCAGGTATGAAAGTGCTGTGACCCGTTCAGGCAACAGATATGCTCCAATCACGTGAATGCCTAGTATGCCAGCCCACACATTAACAGACAAATAGAACTGATATCTCTAGGCAGACTGCATGAGAATTGGACTCAGACCACATAAGACTGTTGTGACTGTTGAAGACCTCCATCATGTGTGAACATGTTTCATCCATCCACAAGATATATTCAATGAAAGCCTTATCGACTTCATGCTGCTGCAACAATCATTTACAAAAATAAATGTGTTGCTGAAAGTCATGAGTATAGCCCCTCTGACAATAACAGCTTGTGCACAGCATCGTTACTTGCATTCAGCTTCCTGGCTGCTGCACGTGTGCTCAGCTCGTAAGTTTCTTCCTCTCAGTCGGCCGTGCGTTTTTCCACCAATATGCAGATTGTGTGTTGGGTGGATGCTTTCAGTATTTCTCAGTCTGTCATCCAACATGTGGATGAGTGGCATTACAAAGACGATATGATAGAAAGCAACGGGCATACTCCCTAGCAGTTCTTAAGGCATTACCTTTACACTGACCAAAGATAAAGTAAAGATTGCAAACTTCAAAAACTGAATACATAATCAACATGCAAAGTGGTGGTCAATTACCAGTAGCTACTAGATGCAGTATTTTAAATACGATTCAAACGAAGGATTTCATGGCATGCGCATGCAGCCTTGACATGCAAGGTGGATATTTTGAACATTTTCCTACGTAAACATAAGCAAATACCAAATAAATAAGCAAAATCTAGTTTCATGTTTCCAATAAAGTTTTTTTTCTTTTTGTCTTGCATCAAATATGACATCATATTTTTCTTTTACATTTATCTTGAAAACTACAAGTATTACATGGACAGGTTTTTGGACATTTTTTTTTTATGTATTCCAGGTAAGGAAGCTGGCTGTGCAGAGTTTGGGCGGTCTTGATAGGACACCCTCTCAGTATGTATTGTACAGTTGCCTGCTAGTTGAACTACTCAGCCATGGTTATACAATTCTGAGCTGCTAATAGAAATTGTTATTCAGATATTTTTTGTCAAATTATATTGAGAAAAGGAACCTCAAGATCCAATTCATCTACTAAATTTCACTCATGTCTTCTAATGAACATAATACTTTAAGATATATTTTAAATCCTATATTCGCAATTTTGCCTTTTTTAACTATTGCTTTTGATATTGTTTAAGTGCTGTATGTTTTTAATATTTTAAATATTTCAATTACCTAATGTTTGAATTATTTTACAAACATGCAAGGGTCTTTGAAATCTTTGTGAGCTCAGGTTTTAGGTAATATTTTCTGTTAGATGTATATAGAAGATGGTATAGTGCCTTTTTATTTTTCCACTTCTTATTTTTTATAGTTGAATGATATGAGAGATTTTGAAAACATTCAGATAATTCTTTTTCCAACTCTGAAAAAGGATTCTACTTTTTGATCTCCCCTCATATTTTAAGTTGTAAACTAAAAATATACAAAGTTCAATTACAATCTAAAATATACTTAAAAATAATATGTTTTTTAATTGACATATATTTTTAACACACATTATGCGTCATCGTTGAGATACAAACCCCATGCCTCTGGATCTTTTGAAATCTGATTGCTTTCTGCGGTTATGATTAGCAACTTGGCCCTTATGTCTGTCTTTCTGTTGCCTGGAATTATTAGAATTTGCAGACACACCACCTAGAAAAAGAAACAATTATAATTAGAATTTGCACAATAATTACCACCTAGAACTTTCTAAATTAAAAAAAAAAAAAAAAAAAAAAAAAAAAAAGATCATATAAACTGTGCAAAACAGTTTATGCTTAAGCAGAATTAGAAATTTAGGCAGAGTTTTTTAAAGTGACTGAAATTCTGCACATTATAAATTTAAATACAAATGGTCTTCATACTTCATAAAAAGTTCTTCTGGATCCTCACATACTACTACTTCCACCCAAACTTTAAAACTATTTTCCTTATAAAATCCTTACCTTAATTTTGCATAATAATGGTTATGGAAAAATTTGAAATATATTGTTTAATTTTTAGTAAAATTAAAAAAAATGATGGTAGGCAGTGTCTTTTAAAGGCTGTTTAAAGAGCTGCTGGTGTTATTAATGCATACGGTTAGTAATGGAAGTGCGAGGATATAATACAAATATTGTTTGCATGAACCACACAACATGATTGTACAGACACTTTCATCAGGAAATTCTTCAAGTAAAATATCCACGAAATTTCTACTTTTAAGACACCAATGTTAAATCATTTTGAAACCACAAGCAATCACAAACATCGCACACATATCAAAATCATTATAGGAAATTGTTTCTTGAAGCATTTATTACATTTTTCTTCTACACACTAATTTAATATTAGGAAAAATTCTAAAAAATTCAATTAATTTGAATGATTTTGCAGATAAGAACAATGAACATGTACAAGATCTTTATTTTGTCATGCCTGACACATGTTCAAAATGCAGAACTGCCTATTTCAACAAAAAATTTAATTAAATAAGAGCACAGAAAATGTGACATAAAGAATGATATAGAAAAGTTGACATTACACTCTTTAGACACACTTAAAAAAATTAATAAGTTATATGTGGTCACCCCTGACTAAAATGGAAGTTCTACAATGATTTTCCAGGAGTTCCCGTGGTAACAAAGTATATTCACGATGAATAGCAGTTCTAAGTTCCTGGACAGAGGTAGGTGGGTTTGTAGTGATGCAAGTTGGAATTCTAGGGTATCTCACATGCATTCTATCATATTTAAATAAGAATATGTGGGCTTGTCCATTAGAAGGGAGTTATTACTGATTGCCCCCTACTTGATATGAGGATAAAGAATCTCATCTTTGTATATTTCCAGCATGCACTTATAGTTGCAATAAAAACGTATAGGTCAAGGCATTTATTCAAAATGATTCTCGCTAAACCATAATCTGAGTAATTTCTAATGATGCATTCCACAGATATTTGTAGATATTTCACAGATTCAGCAAAGAGAACTTGGTTCTAGTCTAGGGTACTCCAATCACAATTATCTCTGCACCACAGCAACCACGAACACTTTTTAGGTTCCCCTGTATTTTGCAATTTAATGAAGATGTTTTGAGTTTTTATGAATTTTTGCCTTGCCACAAAGTGAGAAATGAATTAACTGAATGAGAAATATATCTATAATGAAATCTGAGGAAACTTTAAATAAAGTGCAGCAAAAAATGTGTATAATTTAATAGGTCATGCAAGGAAGTCGTGTGGTGTCCACAACAGATATTTTTCTAATGAAAAGTACACAATGTACTGCTTCTTGAAAATGACCCCCACAAGAAAACACAATCTTTTGTCAGCAACTGCTGGGTCCAAATACAAGGAGCAGAGTCTAATATTCTGAGTGTATACCTAAAACTTTAGCTTATAGTAGATAGTACAAATATTTAATAGATCCTTTTTAATGTTTTACAAATTTTTCTTAGTAACCATGCCATCTAAAATAATCTAACAAATCTATATGCTTTTTGCTATCATATCTGTCTTGGTGTTTCATTTCGTACAGAATAATACAATTCTTGGATAAGAAATCAGTTTCTGTTCAGTTTGACATTTTTAATTTTATACACTTCCTTACATTATCATTAACCACCATGACAGCTTTTTCCTATAAACTCTTTGTTCTCTCACTCAGGACAATTATGATCTACAAGTCTAAAAATCTAAGTAACTATTTGACAAATATAATGCAGATTTTTCATGTCTATATTTTTGGACAAAAATCCTTTTTTTAGAACTGTTGATCAACCAGTCCAATCTTAAATTAGAATTATTTTAAGGATAAGATTTTTACACATTGCATGTAGTTTTAAAGCCCTACATAAATCTTTAATTGAATTATTCAATTACGGCACAGCACACGAGGGCTATCTGCCTAAAGGGAGGGATACCTTCGTAGAGGACTTTCCAAGGGAAACTGGCTTGTATACATGTTACAAAAGGGGAAAACCAAAAAAATGCCCATGCAGCCAGCCCATTCGCGGGATTCGAACCCCGGACCGAACTACCAGTGTTCAGCATCTTTACCGCTCGGCCGCTGGTGGGCATCAGTGTTAACGAATTTTGCTTACTGTGCATGCTCAATGCCATACCACTGGTGTGGGAGGAAATATTGGTGACTAAGGGCATAAGCAACACTACACAAGCCTGTTAATCATGTTGGTTTTACTGTTTCTTACATTCGTGTTCAGCATCTTTACCGCTAGGCCGCTGGTGGGCCTATATATAAATCATTAAAGATTTCTCTATTTACTTCTAATTTGATATTTCTAATTCGATACCGTTTAGAAAACATATAATAACTATGGAAAAAATAAAAACGTATGCTTGTTCAGATTAACTATCATTTAATATATTAGAAGAGTATAAAACTCTACTTCTATGAAAAATATATTTCTCTCCTAATTTTCAAGATTAGCAATAACTTAAGTAACTGAAGAACAACTTAAAGGGGATGCTTTTTTTAAATCTTTAACATAAATATAATCAAAGAAATGATAGATTAACTACTGACTATCCCTTGGCATCGATAATAAAAAATGCCCTGGACCACACAAAGAAAGAAAGAATATATAATTAGAATAATTATATACTTTGAAATTAAAAACTCTAAATAATTTCATTAGTTAGCAGATCTTAAAATTTTAATTTAAAATTAAACAATGCTTTGCTATACAAAATTCTTTTACAAGCACAACATAATTCCAATAATACCTCTTCTAAAACCTCTAGATTCAAGCTTTGCTTGTCGTCGCTGCTCAGCTCTCTCTCGAAGAATTTCTGGATTGGTGCAAAAGTCATTTGGACCTGGTTGTTTTGCAGTTTCATCAGGAGTATGTTGAGACTAAAAATGACAAATTGTATCAATAAATATAGATTTATATGATATGAACAACAGCATGAACATAAATGTATTAGATATTTCTTGAATAATAGGCAAAATAAATGTGCACTTTCCAGTGTTATAAATAGTGTTAAATGTGTTATAATAGTTCCAGTGTTATAATAAGGCTTCAATAATTTTAAGAGCACAGAGGAAAAATCAAATAAAACTCTGAAATAATACTTCTTCGTTCACACTATTTTTGATACAATAAACTTATCAATAATTTTGTGTAATCCCTGCACTCCTATATTATCCAAACATTATTATTAAAAATAGATCTGTAAATAATATAATACAAAGCAAATACAATACATCAATTCTTGGTTAAAATGCTAAAATAACTCTTGACAGACTTTTGAATTGATAAGACAGTGAAATACTAATACAGTCAAAAGTCTTTAATCCAGACGTCCATGATCCGCACCTCAAAGCTACAAACTTTCTGCGCATGTGTCAGCGCATAATGCGTTAACATATGCGCATAATACCTTTACGCATGTGCATATGCATCTACACATACGCATGCGCGTTTAATGTATAATGGACGATATAAGCTAAGCTAAAACTATCTAATTATCTATTTAGTTAATGTTGCAGATTGCATTGTTCCTTAATCTTCTAATTGAATTCGGCTTATTATTTTTTGCAGACTGTTAGAGTAATTTTATAAAAGTAAGCTTGAACTTTCGATTATGTCAAAAAGAATTTCCGATTCTGGAGCTGCCAAAGGATCTACAAAGTGAAAGCATGTTTTGATGTCCATCAAACAAAAAGTGAATTTCTGAAAAAATTGATAACGGCATATCTGTCTCAAAATTATGTGAGGAGTATGACATTAGAAAGTCAACTGTATATGACATAAGCAAAAAGAAAAGGAACTATGCCCAACGACAATGCCCCAATCATCAATCAATTAACGGACAGCAAAATCTGTAGTGTGGTTCTAGATCCAGAAAATACTGCTTCTGATAGTGAAGAAAGTGACAGAGAGGCTATTGAAAGCGAAAAAATTTTGATTGACAAGTTAGTTGGTATTCTCGACACAGCAATTACAGAACTTGAACAAATGAACTTACTGAACTAACTGAACAAGAAATTATGTCTGTTTATAGAATTAAAGAGAAAGTATAAGCACAAAAAACGAAGCAATTTAAACAACTTACATTGAAAGAAATATTTAATAAAGTAAATAAATAAATAATAAGCTTTTTTTTGTAAATTTTTATACCCTTTAGATCATAATTGCTCTTTATTACATAAATTACGGTTTCATATTTTTAATTTTATATTTTCTGCATGCCATTTTACCAGATTTAAACTGATGATCTATAATCCGGAACCGCCAAAGTCCTGACTAGTCCAGATCAAAGACTTTTGACTGTATAATTTTCCACCCAAGATTTCCCATAAAATATTTCTTGATTCTGAACAAGCAGGAACGGTTGCAAGCATAGATGACATAGCCAGTCATCTAGGGTGCCTGCTAAGTTGTCCTCATAAGTGACAACTAAATAAAAGTTTAGATCACACTGAATTATTAAGATGTTTAATTTGTACAGGGCATCCACTGTACTAATCATCTATGACAGAGGGTTGGCAAACACTTTTTTTGGGGGGGGGCGAAGGTGGAAATAGACTGTGAAAATTTTAGGCTTGCCAAAAAAGAGGGGGAAAAATTAAGTGATATTTTTATACATTTTGCTAACAATTTAAAAAAATTATTAATAAATGTAGTATACAACAAGTTAAATTTTGTACTAATGCAATGAAAGTAACTGTTTTTTTTTTCCGAGCTAATATTTCCTCATTCTAGAGTTCAAAATTAGTATTTCCTATCAATAACATTGTTCGAAAATGATCATCTATTAATGATAAACTGTATTTTGACTTTACATATTTCATTTTTGAAAATGTTTTTCCATACTGTTAATTACTTCCAAATACAGACATATAAATACCTATGCATATAATTTCAACTGACCATTCTACCATAAGATATTTACAGAATTGGATTAGATCCATTTCTTTAACATCACTTTTAGTATATTATCAGTTTGAAAATCAATCATTTCAATAGTCTGAGTGGAACTCCATAGTTAACCAGTCAAATGGATTTTGAAATATGGAAATGCCTTTTGCACTTGTATGAAGATCTGAGAAACACTGCTGCAACTGTAGTTTAAGTTAAAATATATGCATTACAATTTTTTTTAGGAATGGGGATTTTGTTAGTAGTGGTTGTGAGCAGTTCTTCTCATTTACAAAATATTCTATGATTTCTTTAGTGACAAAAACATATCAATAAAACTTTTCCATTTCTGACCCATTTCCTGCAAAGAACCTGCTGGTGAATATTACCAGAGTCTTTGACCATTTAGCTTTTACACAAGCCTTAAAAATTTGTCCAACTAATCCTTTACCCATTCCACACACATTTTTACCACCATCAATAGTGACACATTTTAACTGATACCATTACAAATTATACTGTGTTAGCATTTTCTTGACTTCCATGAAAATATCTTTGCCTTTAGTTGTTAAATGCAGGCAACCCATTGCTGATTCTTTAACATCAAACTCAGTATTGGCCCCTCGAATAAACAGCAGAAATTGGGCATTTTAGTAATGTCTGTTGAATCATCAACAGCCAACAAAAGTCACTTGAAATTTTTTGCCTTGTCTTTTAACTCACCCTTGATGTGGCTCCTGATATCCTCAACTCTTCTAACAATTGTTCTTATCAAAAGACTGACAGATAAGAGCAAATCCATTTTCTCTGGGTGCATTTCTTTGGCAAAAGTAAACCTAACTTAAGTAATTCATCATCAGTAAATGCTTTCCATTTCATAGCTAATAAAGGAGACATTCGTAAGATGACATTAGGTACTGCCTTGTTATCATTTTTTACTTTAGGAATAAATTATGCTGTGATGAAGCGCTTTGTTTTAAGCTTTCCAATTTTTGTCATCATTCATTTTCTGAGTATTAAATATTGTTACAAAATGCCCAGCTGCGGTAAGATAGCTTCTTCGCAAAACAGGTTTAGGGTTGCCAGACTTCGCACAAAATCACCCATTTGGCGACAAAATTGGCGAGAACATTCTACAACGAATTCTTACCGGTTTACCCCAGAAGGCAGGTCAAAAGCTACATAAATCCTGCATGCATGCAGAGTAGTGGTTTATCATGAAGTGTATCTTGAGTTCAGAGATTAGCTTGAGATCGACCAAACGAGTTGGGAGCTGTACTTTATTGCTTTGCCGTGAAGCTGTCTTCAGCGTTGTAACCTGAAAGCTGTGTTGCTGATTGTTTCAACATGTTTGTCATAGTTTTTTTATGGCTGTAAATGTGTCTCTGGAACTATTTTGTATAATACTGGCGAATAAACTGTGTTTTGATTTTTCATCAAGTGCTGTCGTCAATAACTCGAAATTCACAAACCCGCACAGCGCAACAATATTGTGTTGCATGCTTCTTTTGGTTCACAAGGTAATTATACTATTACGCAACAAACATGATATTTATTATTTTATTTTATGATAAAATAATTCCCACTCCATTCTCCTTTAAAAGCATGATATTCAAAATTTATTTTTCTCTTCTAACTTCGTCTTGAAAGTGATGTGGCAATAGTAAAATAAATAAATAAATAAAATAAAAGAACAAAATATCACAGCTTGCCAATAATCAGTAAGCATTAACAGACATGGCAGACAATACCATATGTGGTGCTAAAAACTATGAGACCAGGCACTGCCTGTTCTACAGCAAAAGCAAATGATAAAATGCAAATGTGCAACACCAATAACACCACTTTGCAGTCATTATTCACAACTTTTCAGCTTGACTCAGAGTTTAACTTCCTAACTCTCAACTTAACTATCGCATGCGTGTTAGAGTGCATAATCCGATTCTCTTAACATTTTTTTTTTTTTTTTCTGTAAAAGATAATATTTAGCCATGAGCACAATTAAAGCAGGTAGTGGGCTGGATTTGAATCACGGGCCATAGTTTGCTGACCCCTGCTTTAATGCATTAAAAATGCTAGCGCAGGGTTTGACATCAGCAATAGTACGAAAATGCAGATTAGCAACAAGTGCATAACATAGTTGTATTATTTTCTTGCAAGAAAAACTGGAAAGAAATTCAACAAGATCGTTTTCTTACAAAGGAGAACTAGAAAGAAATTCATCAAGATAATTTTGAAGCATATGTTCATGAGCAGAATTAATTTGCCTTTACTATCCTTAGCCAAGTTGGATAGTATAAATTTCTTTTTCACTCTCTTTAGAAAATCAATATTTGAGATACAGTAAGATGATTTTGAAAAGTCAAACCACATTCTAATGCTGAGAGAAGGGGATTAAAATTATTAACTAAAGCACTGCTTCTCAGCCTCTTTTATTCCCCTTTATCATCGTGTATCAGAATGTTACTTGCTTTTTAAAAAATTTCCTGAGACTCTAAGAAAACTTTTGCTTTTGGATAGAAGATAAGCTTTTTCAAATGCTCTTACAAATTTACTAATTTCAGATAAGAACATCACAACTTTGCTACAACTGATACATTAAAGCCCTTCTTCTTTATTAATGACAATGAATCCATATTTTATACATGAATTATTGCACTCACTCTTCAAAGTTTCAAAGTGTTACGAATAGAGTGCTTCAAATAGGGAAGAACTTCTTTAGGTGACGACAAAAGGTTGAAAAAGCCATCAACGTCAGCGACTGAGGATGACTTAAAAGTTGTTGAGGGTATGGTGATGGTAAACAAGACGAATCACAGAACGCAAAATTGACAATACTTTACATATCAATCATGGTTCAACGTATTCCATCTTACACGACAGGGTAAATTTTTTAAAAGTGTGTGCAAGGTGGGTATCGAAAGAATGGTCAGTGCAGCATAAGGCTCAAAGTTTGGAAATCTTTTGTAAACGCCTGGCCCGTTATCATCGCGAGGGAGATGGATTTTTACAACAAATCGTTACTGTAGATGAAACTTGGGTACATTATCCCTAACCAGAAAGTAAGGCTGCAAGCATTGTTCATCAGTTGGTAAGATTATGCTAACATTATTCTAGGACATAGAAGGTGTAGCAGTCTTTCATTTCAAACCAAGAGGCGAAACTGTTAATAGTGAGAACTATAGTAATATGTTACAAACTAAACTGAAAGCTGCAATCAGATCCAAACATCATGGAAAACTTCAAAAAGTTGTCATCCTGCAGCAAGATAATGCTCGGCCACATTCTGCCAAACGGCCAGCTGAGACAATAAAGGAGTTGGGATTCGAAGTGCTGGAAAACCTGCCATACAGCCCAGATCTGGCTTCAAATGATTTTTCATATGTTTGGACTAGAGAAAAAATTGCTAAGGGAAAGAAGATTTTCCACCAATGAAGAAGTAAGTCATTGATGGGGGTTGGTTATGATATTGGCTTCAGGTAAAACCCCCAATTCCCCCCCCCAATAGAATACAGAAATTTGTGAAACACTGGGCATAGTGTTTGAAGACCAGGGAGGTTATGTAGGGAAAAAAAGTATATTTCAGTTTTCTTTTATTAGAATAAATATTTTTCTAAAAAGTCCCTTTCCCTTGTATGTATGTGTATTAGAGTATCACAAATTGTTAATTAAAAACAAAATTATCCCAAGTTATTTCTGTGCAATATGCTGCTGAAAATTAATTACTATAGACAAAAAGTAAGAAATTCAGAATCAATTCCACAAGAACCCAAAAGAAGTAAAATTCAATACAATTAAACTTCAAAATTTCCTATAAATATGTAAAATTTAAAAAAAAAGTAGTAAAGTAAAAAAAGTAATTAAAAAAGTAGTAAAAGTTAATTTAAAAAAGTAGATGTAATATGCAAAATTTAAAAAAAATGTAGATGCTTTTTGTAAGTCTAACATTAAAGGTTATAACAAATTTGCATAAATTTCTAATAAAGAACTTACACATTTACACTCTAATACACAATTTTTACATTTGCATGTACAAAAGTGCCATCATTAATATTTTAATAATACCTCTTCAATTTTCTTGTCTTCTACTACTTCATCTTTATCTGGTTCTCCTTCAGGCACAGGTTCCTTCAAGCCAAGCATCACTGAATCGTATGTGTCATCATATTCATCTTCATATATTTTCATCTCATCATTGAAATCTGTTTCATTAGAACCATAGTTCAAAGTAAGCAGTTTGATGAACTCTGAATCTTGATCCTCTTCCAAACCTTGGTATGTGTTAGGAGTCTTAGATCTATGCAAAAAAATAAATAAATACATAAAAAATCTGAAATGTTTCAGATTTCAGATATAAATCCTCCAAAGGGGCTTTTTTTAACGTTTTGTGTGTTACCTTTATTTATTAAATATCATGTTCTTTGCATTTAAACCATAAAATTTAGTTCAATAGCAATGTCATAAAATAATTTTAAAAGGAGCATATCTTTAAAAATTCTGATACACAGTTCGATGCGCTGAAGATAAAAGAATCCCCCCCATACAGTGTTGCTATTGCTCGCTTTTAAATCGTTGAGTTTGTTACTCAAAAATTTGTTAAGTTTTACAATGAAATCGATAATAAACAAATTCCAAATTTCAAATTTGGGATTTCAGATGCCCATATTAGCGTAGGATACACATCAAAATTGGAAGGCTCTAGATACTGTGATTTTATCACAATGCGAGAAATATACATACATTTATGCTGATTTTTCATTATTTAATTTCTTCAAATATAATGCAGGACTCTAACATTTTGTGGTATAATGCAGGACTCTAACATTTTGTGGCAACAGTTTGAAAAATGAACCAGCATTTATAGGAGTCCGATGCAAAATGCCAAAACAAAAGTAATAGTTCTTTGGGACTCAAATCCCTTTGGACTAATAAAAAGTAAAATTTAACATATAATTTCACATCTTTATTGATTATTACATAATTAAAATGAATTCTGAAATGTAGTTTCTAATATACATAGACTGTTCCTTGTTTAATGCTTCTTACCGCCGAGCAAAATAATGGGAATGTTTCCTATCATTAGAACAGAAGGCCAAATCAGGGTGTTTTTTTATGTTCAGAACATCATGAGAAGTACATAAATGCAAGAAACAAATACTTATAAAACTTCCATTGTGTGTGATCAAGATAGAAGGGATATGTTAAAGAATTAATGCAAAATTTTTCATTAAACTTATGAAGATTGGAATCAAAATTCACAAAATGTAGAAGAAAATGGAAAAAAAAAAAAAAAAAAAAACCTACAATAAAGTAATCAACATTTTCCTAATGCTGTGCAGCAAGAAAGTTCGTCAATTATATGGAGGGATGAAAACACTGCTCATATGTTACCCTATGAGCAATGTGACTGATGTGTTAAATTTCAGTTGTTTGCTAAAGAGTAAAATTTAACAAAAATGATTGCTTACATAATTTTGGACAAGAAAATCAGGAATGAAAAAATTGTTTATAAAAATCATCCCAAAATGAAAAACTGATGAACAACAACAACAAAAAATATAAACAATAAATTAAAAGGAATTATGCTGTACTGACTAGCCAAACCACGATTTGTTTGATAGTGATTATGGATGCTGAGTCATGGATTCATGAGTATGACTTGATACGCTAATTGTAGAGTCAGAGCAGAAAATTAAAGAACCCCCTTTTTTTCTTTAAAGGTAACAGAGCCAAAATGAAAATCCTGGCCATTTCGCCCTTGAGATTTACAGAATTCTACATCACAAATTTATCTTATAAGGGACTTTTTTAAATGCAGTTTACTATTTTTCTACACTGAAATGTGTATGAAATCAAGTACAACATGTGCAACCATAGAATAAGATAGATATATTATTGTTGAAGAAGAAATATTATTTTGCATCATGAAAATATGTCACCACATACAGCATTAATTGTTCATGAATTCTTAGCACAGATTTTAATAACTGTGCTTGATTATCCTTCCTCAGTTTTTATTCAAATAGTTTAATTGTGCTCGAATACTTTCCAAAATTCTCTTGTGGACTTTTTTTTCCCATTTTCAAAAATCAAAATGATGTGACACAGTATGATGTGACATTTAGAAAATGTGAAAAACATCTGCAGCAAACTGATAAAGCCACTGAAGGACCTATCACAAACAAACAAGCAGCACTGCTTCCAACAATGGAAATTGCATATTTTAGTTTATATAGCAACTTTACGCAAAGGCTTTTAGAACTTTCCTCTTCTTTGAAAATAGTTTCAAATTTTGCAGCTCAATGCGCAAAATTCTTGACCACATAAGTCTCTCTTGTACGAGTAATCGTATTTTAGTTTATATGTATATAGTTTTATTACTTGTATATAAAATAATTCAAAAAGATGCCCTTAATAGTATTTCCAATGGAAATAAAGCAGCTGAATAAAAATGTACTGAGAAATGCTGCTAAAATGAAACATAAAACTGTTTAATAAAAATTATACAACTTGTTTTTAAAATCCAATTGGATCTATATATCTAGGATCAATATTTAAGTTTCTCTTAAATGTTTTCAGTCACTAATTTAGGGGATATTTCCTATTAATGGACTACCGGCCCTTTGATCAGCCAGTAATTTATACCCTGAAGATTTTTATCATAGATATCATCTACTAACTGCAAATAAATCTGGAAAAAGGTATAATAACTTAGATATGAAATGAAGATAGCTTTTCTTTTCATAAAATTTCACAAAATTATATACAAATTTTAATGTTATTCCCTTTAAAATACTTTTCAGGAATAAATTTCATTTCAAAACATAATAATACCCCTTCTATACAATACCCCCTCTGGGGAAAAAAGTACTGCTGCCAGATGGATTCAAACAATGTATGTACTTCTCATTTTCAGCACTGATAGGTTGTTGCATATTGTCACAAATAGATGATATTGAATACTATGAATGCAACTTAAAAATTTATGTTCAATTTTCACATTTATTTTCTTTACTTTAAATTTCCACAAATATTTGGGATCATTTCTTAAAGATTTCTTATAATTATGTAGAGTGAAATTATTAAACCCTAAGTTGTGTAAGGTATGCAACAAAAATGCTTTGGAAAATAGCTATGAATATTTCCATTTGAATTTGTTTGTGTACAGTAAATTATTCATTTAATAAAAAAAAGCTCATATTTTACTTTATTAATGTATTTAATCTTCTGAGCAGTGCGGGGTTTTGGACCCATCATTAAGCCTTTCTAAGCTAAATTTAAATATTCATTTAATTTTAGTCCCAATTTTCATAAACTTACATTTATTAAGATGACATTCATATTAAAAAAGAAAGCAAAAAAAAAAAAAAAAAAAAAAAAAAATCTTAAATTATAATTATGTATACCAAGTGACAATAAATCTCATGACTGGATAAAGGCATTCAGGGCACTCAGAGGGTTAAGTTGATTGCTATAATGAGATTCTGGTAAACCCATGTTAGTTACATTGAAAGAAAAACTGTAATAGCTAATGGAAAATCCCTTTGGACTTCTCTAAGGGTCATTATCTTTTATATCAGAAGGGTTTATATCAGAAGACATTATTATATCAAGAGCCATTCAGTTGTATAAACCTTTCTAATTTAGGAGGCAAATTTTAATAAATGCTCATAAATTTTTATTTAAGAAATAACTCTTACATAAATAATGTAACAAAATGTAATATATTATAAAATACAGAAAAAAAAAATATATTTACTTTTTCCCAATATGAATGTTTTTGAGATTTACATCTGTTCTTGAGAATATATCAAATTCATCATTATCATATATATTTTTCCTTTCCGATAAAACAGAATAAGTCTTGACATTTTCAACAACCTCATTATTTTCAAATGTACTATCCCTGTAATTAAAAATTATAATACAATTAAAAGCTAATAACAATATATTGTAATTCAAGCACCATTCTAAATACTTTAAAACATCACAATCAGAGAAATATTTTAAAATTTTTTATTAATTTTGAGTTGCACAGTTCTTGTTTCTTACTATACAATTTCCAGATATTATTCAAAACATTTCCAAACATTTGCAAATATTTGAACAACTACAACAAAGCACTTGAGGCTTTCCTGACTAAGGTAAGAGATGATTTCATAGAGGACTTGTTTTAAGTTTAACATGGAGAAAGCCTTTAAAATTCCATTCCAACAAGCCTACCTGCAGCTAATGGTAATGTAGCTGAACACTGGTAGCTCAATCAGGGTTTGACTCTAGGTGATCAAGCTGGTTGCATGGACATTTTTGTGGTTTTCCTTGTGTGTAGTATGAATATGAGCCTTTTACTTTATGAGACAGTCCCTCATGAAGACATCACTCCTTTTAGGAAGATAGTTCTTATATGTTTTGCCATAATCAAATACACCAACCATTCAGACAAAAATATGACTGAAGCCAAATCTAGGATGAGGTACCAGCATTCAGCAATTTTATCCACTTAATCACTTACAAATTCAAATGTATTTTCAGACTGTTTATAGCTTTTATACATTTGACATCTCAAAGTGATCACCAGTCAGAAAACTGCATAAGATAAAACAGCTGTTTTATAATCTGAAAAATATATTTTTAAATGATTTTATTAATAATGTTTTATGATACTGCTAATCAAAATTAAAAGTTAATCTAAAAAATATGCTCACTGATTAAGTTTTCAACAAATGACCAATAATGAAATTATGTTCATTAATTACATGCAACTGAATCCAAAATGAACACCTGTATATAACTTAGTGCATGAAAAATGCGAATTCGACAACTGAAAACCTGTTACACTATAAGGAATCAGCCTTTTATTAAATGTAATTCATCTTACTAAATGTAACTGTAAACATCAATAAGACTTTAAGTGACTTATTGCTATGTTTTAAAAATACTACTGAGACATAAGAAGGGTGTAAATACCCTTTATTTTATATTAAAATAGATGAATAAAAGGTATACATGGTGCTTACAAATCAGCCAGTGTTCATGGCAAGAACTAAGAAGAAATTCAAATGCAAAACTAAATACAGACATCTAATAGCCAAAAGTTATGCAGAGTAAATTAATGGTGAAGTTACCTCTAAGACTTTCATCACTGTGAAATTACTATCAGCAATTATGATGCATGACCGAAGGTATGAATTCTTATCTTAGAATAGCGCTCCTAGCAATGTAGCCTTCATTAGGGAAAACATGCTCCGAGTTCATATTGTTACGAAATGTCCAGGGGCGATAAGATAGCTTTCTTCACAAAGCAGGTTTAGGGTTGCCATAAAATGGCAAGATAAGGCAGTGTTACCCCATCTTGCGAGAAATCACCCATTTGGCGACAAAATAGGCGATACACCATGGACGGATGGAGAACCTTCTGGGATGAATTCTTACCGGTTTAGCCCACAATGTCCTCGAACACAAGCCAAAAGCTATATAAATCTCTGCTGGTATGTGTAGAGTTAGTTAGTCCCAGCAGCGTCCATCGAGTTGCTAGTCAGTCAGTGAGTGCCAAGTTGATTGTCAAGAGCACCAAAAAAGTGTATCGCGGTTAGTGCATCATTGAGAGAGTATGTTGAGCTCCGGGACTGACTGAACCGAGGAGTCAGGAGCTATGCTCTAGTGCATCATCGAGTGCATTGCGAGTTGTAGCGTGGAGAGTCTCGAGAGTACGTGGAGTTCCGAGAACGACAGAGCAGAGTCGGGAGCAGTACTCTGGTGCTTTGCAGTGAAGCTGTCTCCATTATTATAGCCTGATAACCTTGAGCTGTGTCGCTGATTGTGTCAGAGTGTTTATAGTTGTTCTTTGACAACTGTAAACATAATTTTGGAGCTGTCCTGATTAATATTGGCTAAATAAAGTGTGTTTCGATACTTCATCAAGTAGTGTCATCGTTATTCATTCCAAATCCGTATGAACGTGAAGTGAAGGAAGAAAATAACATAACAATATTCTGAAACACCTCTACTTAAATACAGGAGAGCTAATTTGCATTTTGATGGGAAAATGGTAATCAAGAAATGATAGTAAAATTTCAAAACATAAAATAGTTAAACAAATTTAAAAAAAACCTTGCGATACAAAAGTCACATGTCAGAATTTGGGCATGTAGTGTTGTTTAAAGTTAATATATTTCTGCCAGTGGTCAGTTTTCATGAGTTATATACAGTCAAAAGTCGTTAATCTGGACTCGTTGGGACTTCGGCGATTCCGGATTATAGATCATCAGTTTAAATCTGGTAAGATGGCATGCAGAAATTATAAAATTAAAATAATGAAACCGTAATTCTGAAATAAAGAACAATTATGATCTAAGGGTATCAAAATTACAAAAAAAAAAAAAAAAGCTTAATATTTATTTGTTTACTTCATTAAACATTTCTTTCAATGTAAGTTGTTTAAGTTTGCTTCGTTTTTTTTACATGATAATGCATTCTCTTAATTCTTTAAACAGACATAATTTTTTTTTGTTCAGTTACAAAGTTTCCGCTGTTCAAGTCCTATAATTGCTGTGTCGAGAATACCGACAAATTTGTCAATTGAAATTTTTTCGTTTTTCAATAACCTCTGTCACTTTCTTCGCTATCGGAAGCGAATTATAATGACGAGGAATTTGATTTAAATCATATCAAAGATGGAGTACATCGAGATGAAATACTACATTTAATAAGAAATTATAAGCCAAATAAAATAAAAACATCTGCCCTGAAGATAAGGATAGTGCTGACAGATCAACTTCCAATTCATTGCGTGGCCCTGCGGCGTTAAAGATAAACAAAGTTTAGATAAACAAAGGATATGCCTTTATCCATTTTTTGTAGCAATTCCACTTTTTGTTTAATGAACTTCGAAACATACTTTCGTTTTGTAGATCATTTACATATTAATAAATATATATCAGAAATTCTATATGACATAATCGAAAGTTCAAGCTTACTTTTATAAAATTGCTCTAACAGTCTGCAAAAAATAATAATCCGGATCCAATTCGAAGATTAAGGAACAACGCAATCTGCAACATTAACTGAAATAGATAATTAAATAATTTTAGCTTACCTTATACTGTCCGTTATACATTAAACATGCACTCGTAAACGTATTTTGCGTACGCGCACAAGCATATTCTCAGCCGTGAAGGCCTTACGCACATGCGTCAATGCGACGCATGCGCAGAAAGTTTGAAGCTTTGAGGTCCGGATTATAGATCATTCCGGATTATGGGTGTCCGAATTAACGACTTTTGACTGTATATGAACTTCGTTTAAGTGAAATGCAAAAGTGGTGGTTAATTGGTATATTCAAAGCGTTGCTTGTTTAAAGTTAATATATTTCTTACAGTGGTCAGTTTTTATTAGTTGTATATCAAAAACTTCACAGAAGCAAAGGGAAAAAGTGGTGGTTAATTGGTATATTTAAAGTGAGAGGCAAATACAAATAGAAATCACCCAAGAACTGAATATTTCTCAGTGTCCTTTCAAGAACTTTGGAACACTTTTTGGTACAACTCTGATATATGCCCTAATTTCACCAAATGTGGCGATATGTGTTCTGCACTGGTTTTTGGCACGATTGCGTGTTGTATGGAAAACTTGTTGACGTTGAAAAATCTTTCGCTGGAGCTAGTTGGTTCGCGAAGATAGTGGATAAAGATAAAATGGTGGAAGTTGTTGAATTGAAATTCGGCCAAAAGAAATATCATCGTGGCCATCCTGTTGAGGGGCATTGGGTATTTGGAGGTGTGGAAAGAGGGTCTGGAAGATTATTTTTAGTGGTTGTGCATGATAGAAGTAGGGATTTGTGATTATTTGCGAATCAAAGTATGAATTTTCTGGATAGTGTGCCTGGCTGTCATATAAATACGATAGTGATTACGTGGCGGCATGTTAAAGGCGGTATGAAATTGGTATTTCTGCTGTTCGAAAAAGCATTAATTTATGGTGCATTTTATTTTATTCTGGTTCTTATTTTGTAGAATGTTATTTCATTGTTTTTTTTAGTATGACTTCTGTCGTTAGTTTGTTGTTTTTGAATAGTTTGAAATTTATTTAGTTATTTTGTTGATTAGTGCAGCATCTAGACTGTGCAATTCGTAGATGTTTTTTAAAGTTGAAATAGAATGCTGTGTACATGGTATTCTTTGATATTTATTGTTGTTATGTTAATTTATTAAAGTGAGGTGTGCGTAGTTCGTAGATTCGTTTGTTTCCTAGATTGTGCAATACAAAGATGTTTTTTTAAGTTTAAACAGGATGCTGTGTACATGGTATTCTTTGAAGTTTATTGTTGTTAATTTATTAAAGTGAGGTGTGAATAGTTTGTAGATTTGTTCGTTACCTAGATTGTGCCATTCGTAGATGTCTTTTTAAGTTAAAAATATTGCTGTGTATATGGATTCTTGCATAGATACTTTACGTTTTTGCTATCTAAATTTTTTGTTTTTGTTTCGGATTTTTAGCTTAAATTGTATGTTCAAAACATGGTTTTTGCATCTGCGAAAACCGCGTTTGGAGACATTTTAGGCTTAAAGTTCGAAATGTAGACAAAAATTTAAATAGTAATATGGCAGCGTGGAGTTTACAGTTTCTCAACAAAAATGTTTGGTGAGAAATTTGGCGACTTGAGTGCACATATCAGAGTAGTTCCCACTTTTTAAGCAGAGAATCAATTAGCAGACAACCTGGTGAAAGGTGGATAAAAGCAGCAATTGCATTCAAAGAATGTTTTCTGTCATGTCTACTACAATGTTATTTAATAATCTTCAATGAAATGCTTTTGGATATTACTGTATTTCTTTGCATACTTCCCTCTCTAGCTTTTTAGCATCAGGTTTTTAAAATTTTAAAAATATTCACAAAATTTTACCCTTCTTAAATGCATTTTAGAGAATGAGCCCCTCTAAATATTAAAATGGATTCCTCCAAAACAATTAATTTCATCCTATTAACAAAGATGATTAATTTCTTCTTATGAACGAAGACAAACCCTCACAAACTACCTACGAAGGTTGAACCTTTCCCTTCTAAAGTCTGAACCTCATACCATACTAATACACAAACAGATTACATCAAAACAAACATGAAATTACATTCAGTCTATAATTTCATTAAGTCAACTGCACATTCACTTTCTCTAATTATTTATGAATGATTTGAAGCTTAAGGAGTAGCAGAGACAACAATAAGAATGGGCAAGATTCAAGTTACAGGAAAGTAGAAATGAAGATATCTTATTACATATTGTAATGCTAACATTACTATATATTCGATTTGGAATATTCTTTTAAAGAAATAATATTGCAATAGTTATCTGTAATTTATCTATGACTACTTCTCATTTGTTATGTTCTTACTGTAACCACCTAAATTGGAAATTAAATTATTCCCATAACTTTCTCCTCTCTATTCTTGGAAGATAAAGTTAGTACAAAAAGGGGGAATCGCGATATGTAGGTACAGCTTAAAATCACACAGGCACATAATCTGATAATGGAATAATCTACCCAGCAATAAAAAATCAAAATTATCATCAAAGAAATTTTACAATCTAACAAAATTTAGTATGAAGATGAATTCCTCCCCAAAAAATAGAGATAAGAGGAGGGGACCTATTAACACCAATAGACATTTTAAAGTTTGTTTATTTTAAATTTAAAAAAATTCATAAATAAATGTTTTCATCTGCATTTAAATTCATACAGTAATACAGTACTCTTATAATTTTTTTTCCTTATAGATCTTATAGTTTGCTGTTATATTAGTTGATTTTTACTCATATATCTTGCTGAGTAAAATGCAAAATAAAATTTAATGCTCAGTGTTAAACATATAAGAATATTATTTCTTATTTCCATGTAACTAATTGATTTTTTCACTGCTGAATACTTCATTTCAATACAATGAGGGTTTCATTTTGCCACCACTTTCTGCAGTATAACAAGGAAGCATTTATTAACCATTTGAATGGCATGGCATTTTGTATCTGCTCATTAAGAACTGTATTTAAATGGTGTTTATTAATCAAATTTGAATAATTACTGTTTTAAGCATTGCTTTGATAAACTTTCAGGTCATTAAAAAAATTTAAATTTTTTTAAAAAATAATACAGTAAATGGTTAATTAATAATTATACAGTAATTAATTTAAAAGTTATACAGTAAATGGCAAAAGGAGGGGAGTAACCCTTGTGACTAGAAAAAAAGGTGATCACTGGGTTAAATACAGGATATTTGATACCAATGGTGCAAAATTTCATTAAAATTTAACACTTCCAGTCACTGTAAAAAGGTACTTTACTTTTATTACATTTTTTGGGGAGCCGAGAATTTAATTAAGCGTGAATTGAAAATTTTAATATAAATATCTAAACATAATAAAATAAATTATTAGTTCTAGGAACAAAGAATTGCATCGCTGTTTTCCTAAAAGAAGAGACGTGACGTTTTCATACAGAAGTTTCTATACAAGTCTTACACACATTATGAATGGGAAAAAAACCCATGAAAGCTATATTCAGCTAGCAGATTCAATCTAAATTACAGAGCATATTATGGAGCAACTGCACTGTAACAGAACATACTAAAAACCTTCTGGCTAAAATTTCTTTAGAAACCTCATGTGAGGTGTTATATTCCTTCATCAACGAACTTTTTTAATATATCATTCTTTTTCCCATTCAGTGAATAATACATGCATAAATTTTGGTGCCATTTTGCTTATTAGCCAGCATTATGCAGAACTCAGAAAAAGGAAACGTTAATTGCCTGTTCCTAATACACAGTAAAATAAAAATCTGTGCAAGCAATTAAAACATAAATAATGTAACAAATACCTTTCTGAATTTTTGTTCACATAGAGACAATCAGGTAAAGAATTATTCAACAGTGCATCAATTACTTTTTCAGCTTCAAAGGAGTAATACTTTAAACATTGCTAGAAGAGAACATAGACAGTAATTATAAGAGCAGTTAAAAATTTCTTTAAAAAAAATTATAAATTAATCAAAAGTACAGCAGACTTCCAATTAACAGGGATAAAACTGAGAATAACATCTGTGGTTAACTAAAAGCCATGATTAATCCGACAGCAGTTAAATACCATGAAAGAGGACTAACCTTTATTATAATTAACAGAAAAATGCTATTAACAATCACCTGTAGTTTTAAGCAATTTGTTTTGGAGAACAAGTTTACGTACATAAAATCAGCATTTAAAACAAATTCAGTACACTTCAGAACTACTTGCAGTTTCATAGGAAACAGGCATGGAAATTGCATAGGAAATTGGCATTATACTTAATTTATGGGATACAAATTACAATTTATTATTAGACTGTGCATTATTTATTATATATTGAGATGTGAATAAATACAATTTCTAAATATAGGTGACACTGTCTGTTACCTGTCGTTATTTATAACATTTTTTTCTTATTTTTGCACTTCCTGTGGAAATTTTGTTTCATTCTGATGGTTTGCAATTACAGATTTTCACCCTTCTGCAATAAACAAACTTAATTTTTTTTTTGCTCCCAGTTAATCAAGAGTTCAGTCTACTTCACTTCAAGCCAGTTAATATCGCAAAACACATGAAAAATTTAGAGTGGTTAGCAGACATACTACATATTTCTATACGTGGATGTTAAAAGATGAATAATTTTATTATAAATTTCACATTTTTAGTGTGACAGTACCTTAGATATCAATTGCTCTTACTACATTCATAATAAGTAATGTACTAAATTCAAGTATATTACTAGATGTTTAATAAAATTACTTTATGATTCACTAAAAACAGGATATATAATGAAATCTACATGAAAACTAAAATGATTTTTTTGAAATAATAATATTTAAATAAAAATAAATAAATAAGTAGTTAAAAGACAAAGGATAAACGATATCAACCATTAAAAAACTACTTTTAAGTAACTCAAAAGCAAATAAATCAATAACTTGAAAAAAAAGTCTAAGATACTTAACAATTCAACAAATTCCATTAACCCTTTCACACAGAAGTCACTTAATATACATTGTTGCATGCGCGCGGGTTCATAATAGATTGGATGCATACAGATCCAATGATAGGTTAATAAAACTTATTTCTATCAAAAGAAACAACGTTCTGGAATTTTCCACAGAAATACTTGTACAGGTGTTCACAGTATTACAGAGTACAATAAGTAGTTACACTTCAAATTACTAAGAATGTTAAACATGATGCAATGTAAAGTGCACCTAAAGAGAAGCAGATAATTTACTTCTCGCTGAACTAACAACTGGCAACAACAATAACTGAGATCAGATGCTCTCACCGGCCTTATATAGTTTTCACCTGGCTGTCGAGATATTTCTAGTACTTTCTGCTTCTTGAAATTAGTGGAAGGCAATATGAGGGTCTAATTATGGTTACAGGCCCACCAGTGGCCGAGCGATAAAGTCGCTGAACACTGGTAGTTTGGTCCGAGGTTCGAATCCCGCGAACGGGCTGGCTGCATGGGTGTTTTCGTGGTTTTCCCCATGCGTAACGTGTATACGAGCCAGTTTCCCTTAGAAAGTCCTCCACGAAGGCATCCCTCCTCTTAGGCAGATAGCCCTTGAGGCTTTGCTATAATCACACACACACACACACTAATTATGGTTAGAGCTAATACAGTGATCAATTACATTTATTGAATTACAATACTTATAACAGTGATTCAGGGACCCGTCCAAAATGTTGCTAAATGGTCGCGAAGTCTGGAGACTTCTAGGTTTTTCATGTTACATTAAGCAGAAAAATATAACAATTTCACCTATAACTGCACTAAAATCATATATCTACATACAAAATTTGTAACGATATTTTGGACAAAATACACTGAATAATTTTCTGCTTATATAGATAGTAAAGCATAGAAATAATTAAAGAAACATTTAAAGGTTGATAGAATGATATAGTATTAAAGAGGGAAAATATAATACATGGATATTATTTTTATAAACCTAGATAAAGTAATTTAGCAAACAAAAAAGAAAAGGGTTATTATGTACATGGATAAATTTAATTTTGTTTTCTTTTATTTTAGAATTTGTACTTAATAATTTTTTCATTAGGATATTATTAATGCATTCTCAAATGGGTAAATGCATTAAATAACATTTATTTTACCAAGTGGTTTAATCCCTGTTTCTGAGTTTTAAAGTTATGCAGCATGTTCCTTACATAGATTGGATATGCTTATAAAGTGAAGGAATTCATGGCAACAGAGATGTGACAGTGTATTTTCTGTAAACTGGTTTCCTTTGGGATAATATTTCTTGTGTGTGACAGTTGGTAAAATTTAATCAAAAACGACTGAAATGGACCTTCAGGTCTAAGCTGTTACTTAACATTTTGGCTTCAATACTGCACCATAATTTTCACTCCCTATTCTGTACAAACAGGTTAAAGGTTCGCAATTCAGACAATTTATACTTTCATTAGAACTGTCTTCACATTTTGGCAGTCTGCTCTTTGAAATATTTTTATTTAGAAACAAAACCCTATTATTAGTTAAATCACAATACACTCATTTTATTACACTTCAGTAAATATAAGGCATTCAACTTAAAAGTGGATAACTCATATAAGCCATGTATCACACTTTTACAAAATTCCTATACTTTTTTCCAATGAGCATCTAATAAATGAGTCCTCTTATAAGCTAAACAAGTTACCCATATGTTAATATCCAAGGATTCGTTGTTTTGGTTTACTTTAGAACCAACTAACTAACCATTATAAAAATAAAACAGCAAATAGAAATAGGAAAAAAAATAATAGATAATAATGAAAAACCTAGAGGAAGTCAACATGCCTTGAGAAAGTTTAAGAAGGAAAAAAAATTAAATATAGTTAAAAGTTTTAGAAGTAGTTAGAGAGTTTTGAACCGATGACTTTTCAGTCAACAGCCTAGTGCCCTAACCATCACACAAGACAGATAACACAAAAATATTTCTGTTTGTTTTTATATTTTATGTTTTTTTAGCATTTTATAATTTTTTTAGTGTATGTAACATTAAATACAAAAGCAAACAGAAAGGTGATTAAGAATTCCTTGATCCCACGGCCATAAATTCAGAATTTAGCAATGTTGATTTATGATGCAGGGAATTTGAGGCAGAATTTTATTTGCAGGAAATGAAGTAATTTTGAATGTTAGCAGATTGATAATGACGGTGAGGATTCATCAACTGTTGGAAGGCAGAGAGATTGAAGTGATTTCAGGATTTCTATTACAATAAAGTATATCTCATGAAAAAGATGAAGCAGCATCATAATCATCATCCATACAAGTGGCGTCTGGGCTGAAACTGAACCCCAGCGAGGCATCTCTTTTAGGTAGCAGGAAAGTGCTGTATTTGCGTCCATTGATGGAGCTTGGTCTTTTGGATAAACTGGAAATTGCTAGATCATATGCAGGTAGATTTTGATGTGCCGTGATTATCAATCAGTTTGATTTCAGAGTATGAGTTTTGACTAAATCTCATAATTAAGACTTCGATGGGTTTAACGTTTAGGTCTCAATGAATCACACCGCTGTAAGCTGCCAGGTTGCTTTAGGGGCTCAATGTAAGATTTTTCTTTAAAAGGCTTGAAGTTTCATAATATGGTACATGTATACATAAAGACTGGTCTTAATCGATATATAAAAAGAGCTTTGTCTTTGGCTGACAGATACTTTTGAGCTAATTGTGGATATAACTGGGATATGGTTATCTTTCCATTTTAGCATAGTCTCAATATGAAGATGCCAGATTAATTCTGAATCAAGTATCACACCAAGATACTTATAAAAATTATGTCAGGGGATGCAATCATACAAAACTTTAAGGAGCAGGGTCATGTAGAACAAATTTTTGACACTTTTTTACTGCTTATAAAATTCATTTAACATCTGAAGAATGAATTTTTAATGCTTCAAACTCAAACTGGAGCCCACAGAGTCATAAACGTGATGCATTTCCGAACAGCACTGATCACAAGCATACGAGCAAATGCACAGAAATGCTTTACCTTTCAGAACAGAAGGAAGGCATATTATATGGCCCTGCCACTGCAGATTATAGCTTATACAGTGGTATGTTTACTTAACCATTATTTGAGTACTACTTTTTCTATTAAAAACTTTAAAATGCATTTTTCTCAAGATACAATTTTTCATTTGTGGTTCAACCTAGCTCAAAAATTAACTGACCGATTGACTTTAAATTTCACAAGATATTCTTTGACTTATTGCTCATACCTTAAACCCAAAATACCATTAAAATTTTATAATAAATATTATTTATAACAAATTGTTTGTAAAAAATATACCGATTTTTTTTAAAGTATCCTTTTTAATTTTGGAATTTTTCACCTTAATTTTAGGTTTAAAATCTGTGCAAGATCATATTTTAATGAAGCATTTTTAGATTCAGATAGTTAGAATGACCTGTAGCCAACATCATAAAAATAAATAAATTAATTAAAAAATAAGCCAGCTTCGAGCAGTTGCAGTGCCCTTATTTTTACCAAAGGGGAAAAAAATACTCTTTTGCTATTTATTACAAACATTGCGAGCTAGTGAGTTGCACTTTTTCTCTTCTTCTTCCAGAAACAAACTGCTTGTCAATAAGGACTTTCTGACTTGAGAAAATCATTCAGGTGTTTAAGTAACATAAATTTGTAAATTTTTGATAACACAGGAGGCTGATAGATCTGAAACTTTGAGGGTTTGAATGGCAACGGCTAAGTTTGAGAATAGGTATAATAATGAAAGTCTCCAACTTTGAGAGAAATAGCAGTGTAAACACAGAATTAAATAGCATCACCACGGAAAATACAAATTTGGTAGAAAGGTTTTTAATCATACAGTTGGAGTCCAATTCAGGTCCTTTAGTGTTGGGTTAATATTGTACAAAATATAATAAAAAGCAAACTGCATCTTGCTTTCACATGCATTTCTAATATATAGCTCATTATTTACATTTTTGGGGAAGAGGATATGAAAAGCAGCTAAAATACAGCTGGTAGTTAGAAAAAAGTTTTTTTTTTTTTTTTTTTTTTCCACATGTCAACAACTTTTTATTTTAGTCTTCTGATTTTCAAATTTGATTTTAACCTGTCAAATAAACTTTTGATGCCTACAGTAATCAATTAAAAAATTACTTTAATTTATGCAGTAGAATCAATAACCACCTTTAAAATTTTATATAAGCATAGATTCTTGTCACAAACAAAAACTCTGACATATGCAAAATTTTAAGGAATTAATTAGCTGGCTCTTAATTAATGTTAACACTGAAATTAAATACCTCAACAAATCCATCATCAAGATCAGGAAAGACATCCAGAACTGACTGTACAAGAAGTTTTACTTTTGACCCTGACAAATAATTTTGATCTGGCATGAAATCTGACTCTCCATTAGTTTTTTGAGACTCTTTTTCTTTCAGCATAGCGGCTAAACCCTAAAAACACACAACTGCTTAAAAAGTATTTTTAAAACATATAACATTTAAATATAAAAAGATTTTTATACTAACATGCAAATTTTTAACAGATTTGTTGGATACATCTGACATATTTGTTTTCTTTGCCTTTGGACGAGCTCCATTAGCAACAGAAGACGCGAAGTCTTCAGCTAACATTTCAGGACTATCATGAATGCTGCAAAATATATAACTCAACCTCTCAGGATCTCTAAAATAGTTAAGGTTTTAAGATTGTATGGATATAGAATTCCCAGTAATTCTGGGATTTAAAATTTCAGACTAATACCTAAAGCATTACATTAAAATACCAAAACTTAAGAAGGGTGTAAAAGCCCCTTTTATTTCAAACTCAATAAAATAAACAAAAGGCACTCCTGGTACTTACAAAGTCTGGCAGCACTTATGGCGAGAAACTCAAAGTAGAAATCCAATACAGAACTAAATTTAAATAACTAATAGTCAAGAGCTACACAGAGTAATTTAATCGCACAGCTGACTCAGAATTCACCCACATGAATTTAACTATCAGCATAAACCAATGCCAAAGACAAGAACTCTTATCTGAAACTGCAACACTAGTAATGTTGTCTTCAAATGGCAGAACATGCTCTGTAACAATCTCATATCCTCCCTTAAAAGACATGTAAGCTAATTTGCATTCTAGCATGAAAACCAAAAAGACAGAAGTAACAGTATAAAGATTCCAAACATAAAAACAAAGTAAGCGATAAACTGTCTAAACAACTACAGTCAAAAGTCGTTAATTTGGACACCCATAATCCAGACCTCAAAGCTACAAACTTTTTGCGCATAGGCGTTTACGCGTGTGCATAAGGCCTTTACGGCTGCGAATATGCATTTATGCATGCGCGTTTAATGTATAACGGATGGTATAAGCTAAGCTAAAATGATCTAATTCAGAATGGTTGCAGATTGTGTTTTAATCTCGAATTGGGTCCGGCTTATTTTTTTTGCAGACTGCTAGAGCAATTTATAAAAGTAGCTTGAACTTTCGATTATGTCAAATGAATTTCCGATATAATTTACTAATATGTAAAGGATCTACAAGCGAAAGTATGTTTCGAAGTCCCTTAAACAAAAAGTGGAATTGCTGCAAAAAAAATGGATAAAGGCATATCCTTTGTTTCTCTAACCATTCCGAAATCTGTTTATCAATTTCACACTGCTCTGCGGCAGCGGGAGGGGGGGGGACGCTGCGGCACGCAATGAATTGGAACTTGATCTGTCAGCACTATCCTTATCTCCTTATCTTCAGGGCAGATGTTTTTATTTTATTTGTCTTATAATTCCTTACTAAATGTAGTATTTCATCTCGATGTACTTCTTCTTTAATATGATTTAAATGAAGTTCCTCGTCATTATAATTCGCTTCCGATAGTGAAGAAAGTGACACACAGGTTATGAAACGAAAAAATTTCGATTGACAATTAGTCAGTAATCTCGACACAGCAATTATAGGACTTGAACAGCAAACTTTGTAACTAAACAATAAATTATGTCTGTTTAATAGAATTAAAGAGAAAGTATTGTCACATAAAACGAAGCAACTTAAACAACTTACATTGAAAGAAAGGTTTAATAAAGTAAACAAATAAATATTAAGCTTTTCTTTTTGTAAATTTTTGATACCCTTAGATCATAATTGTTCTTTATTTCATAAATTACGGTTTCATATTTTTAATTTTATAATTTCTGCATGCCATCTTACCAGATTTAAACTGATGATCTATAATCCGAATCGACTTTTGACTGTATTAAAATGCAATTTTTTACATAAAAGATAATTTCTAAACTTCTTTTTTTTTTTTTTAAGGATACAAATTTAACCCCACTTCATTTAGTAATTCCAAGTCGTTTTCAAAGGGATATAACAAGTTGTAATCATGCAGGAAACTGTAATACAAAAAGTTGAAAACAATCAAATTAACATAAAAAAGATAAAACTGAATTCTGAATATTAAATATACTAATTCATAAAAATTATTTAAAACTCACACTTTTTCTGCAGCTACTTCAGTAAAAATACCTATGAAATTTTCAACATATGAAACCACTGAAATTTTCGTACTGTCTTCACTATATCTATAAATGAATACAAATTTACAATTAAAATGTAAATAATTTTGTTTATTTGTAATATAAATCATTTGAATTAAATTTAAGTACAAATTTCTGCTTTCAAATACAAATTTATATACAACTTTTATGTGAAAAAAAATGTACATTCATAGCATATGAAACTTTTATGCAACTTATTACACACATACTAAAGAAATTAATTAATAATGTACATTTATGTGATAGAAAAAACAAAACACTTTAGATTAGAAAATTTCAGAAGCAGTATGTGTGGCAATTCAACAACAAGACCATATTTATTTTAACAAAAAATTGATATATTAAATTGATACGAGGGTAAGTTGAAAAATAAGTTTCCCCTGTCGACTGTGGTCAGAGTTGTGTATAAAAGTCAAAAAATAGAATGAGACATTAAAGATATGACATACCTTTATTTTTCCACATAGGTACCAAGTACATTAAGACATTTGTCATATCGCTTGATAAGCTTCAAAAAGCCCTCCAGGAAAAAATCACGGCTTTGTATATGGAAGAAGCATTGAACGGCTTGTTTCACTTCAGTATTGCTTCCAAAGCGCCTTTCCCTGAGATTTTTCTTCAAAGCCACAAACAGATGGAAGTCGCTTGGTGCGAGATCAGGACTGTATGGCGGATGGTGTAGGCGCTCCCAACCAAGAGTTGCAATATGGTTTTGCGTTGCCATCGCCGAATGTGGTCTGGCATTGTCATCCAACAGCAGAACGCCAGATGTGAGAAGGCCAGGCCGCTTTTTCCGAATCGCCTCTTTCAATTTCAACAGGGTGTCATAGTAGCACGTAGCATTGATGGTTCCAACCTCCAAAAAGTCCAGCAACAAAACTCCTTGGGCGTCCCAGAAAACTGTGAGGAGCACTTTACCTGCAGAGGGAGTTGTCTTGAACTTTTTTCGGATAGGTGATGACGGATGTTTCCACTCCATAGATGCGGCCTTCGATTCTGGCATGAAATGGTGGACCCACGTTTCATCCCCCGTTACAATCCGAAACAGAAAGTCATTGCCATCTTCATGGTAACGCACGAGATGTTCCAGGGCTGATCCCCATGCGTTGTTCCTTGTGTGTCGAGGTCAATTGTCAGGGCACCCATCGTGCTGACACTTTTCTGTATCGAAGAATGTCGTGGATGATGTTTTGAGCTCGCTCATGTGAGATTCCAAGTTCTTCCGCTACTTCATTGATGGTGATACGCCGGTTCACTCTAATCATGTCATCCACCTTCCTGACATTTGCATCTGTAATGGCTGTTCGCGTCCATCCAGCTCTCGGTATGTCCTCCACTTGCTGATGTCCATCACTGAATGTGCAACACCATCTCCGCACCATTTGCTTCGACATCACACCTGGCCCATAGACTTCCACGAGGCGGTTATGAATTTCTGTTCCTGATACTCCACATGCCCATTCATAGCGGATAACCGCTCTCACTTCCTCCAAGCAACTTCCATCTGTTTCCGGCTTTGAAGAAAAATCTCGGGGGAAGGCGCTTTGGAAGCAATACTGAAGTGAAACAAGCCGTTCAACGCTTCTTCCATATGCAAAGCCCTGATTTTTTCCTGGAGGGCTTTTTGAAGCTTATCAAGCGATATGACAAATGTCTCAATGTACTTGGTACCTATGTGGAAAAATAAAGGTATGTAATATCTTTAATGTCTCATTCTATTTTTTGACTTTCATACACAACTCTGACCACAGTCGACAGGGCAAACTTATTTTTCAACTTAGCTACATATATATTACTTGGCATATGGACAATAATACAAGCAGTGACACAATCAAATAATGAAAAGAAAAACTTAAATAAACTTTATTTTTGATATGACCATAAGATCAGATATCATTGGATTTCTTCAGAGTTGGGAGAAGGAACTTTCCTTTAAGAAACAGCTTTAATTTTGGGAACAGAAACTACAATTACCAGGAAAATTCTAGAAAATAAGGGCAATGACTGAATACACAGACTTGCTTTCAAGCCAGCAACTATGTATATGAACAAACTGGTGTGAAGGTGCATGCAGCAATCTTCTCCCTAATGTATTCTGAACTGTGGTTTCCAACCAATCAAGGAAAAACATAGCATTAAAAATTGCCTCTTTAATTTTATGTGTTAAAACTAATTTGCTTAGCCAAATGATTAATTATTTTTCAAACTGAAATACATGTAAGCTATTCAAAGAATCAAGCTCCAATGGTATGAAATAAAATAAAGAAAAAACTGCATTTATACTTCTAGACTATTTTTCAACATAATTGTCAACATATGTCATTATCTGATAACTTACAAAAAATGAATATTGTTTTCATTTCTGTATATAATTATTGATTATGTTTTATGGATAAATATATGTGCAACTTTCCCGCTGAATTTTGTGTCAATCAAAGCAGTATTTGTTGATTTTTTTGCATTTTTCATCTTTTTGTTTAACTTTTAGAAGTGAGTGTATCTACAGCTGTGCATGAACGTGCACTTTTGTGGATCAAAACAAAAACTAAAGTCAACATGTCTTGCCCCTAATTCTGAATTGCCTTTCTTAAGCTTTTTTAAGTTTTGCAATGTATATCTCTCTAATAATAACTGTAACAAATGTGACAGGGGTATTGTCCTGCTGGAAGATTCCATTTCCAGTTGGGAAGACAGACACTATGGGTGCAAATGATCTGAAAGGTACAACTGATTTGCGATTACGTTCAGATAATCTGCAGCTTTCATGGTCTGTTCTAGCAGAACTAATGGTCCCACAGCTGCCCATGAGAATGTCTCACAAAGCCTGATTCCACCACCACCAGCCTGTGTATGTATGACCTGCTGTACAGGTGAGAGCAAATGACAGAAATGGAAATGAGAAAGGCTTGCACTAAAGATTTTTCTGATGGTGATAAAAACGTTGAGGAAATGCAATTGCCCACTGAAAAAGCACATGAAAATGAAAACACGCTATGCTGAATGTGAAAAATATTCGTATTTTTTACACATGACAACATTTTGTTCAATGTGCTGCTAACATATGTTTTGGAAATTTTTGTCTGTGCTATATATAGTACTAATAAAGAAAATAAAGAATAGATACAAAGTAAAGGTATACTAAAAAAAAGGAAAAGAAGTTAAATAATAAATATATATAAAGGTTTTTTTCCTACACTAATCTGTAATACGATTTTCTCTCCCTTTAAGAAATTTTTTTTTCATAAAAGCATTTGGAGAAATTAAAAATTGTAATGTGCATATTTTTAATGTTTGCTAATAAAATTTATTATTGGCATAGATGTAACACTTTTTCTGAAGATTTACAATTTTTTATTCAAAAAACATCAACTGGGTCCACAGTGCACATGCTCCCAGGTTGATAAGTTTTTATTCACATAAAACTATAGAATCAAGTAAGGACCTTTTTAAGGTAAACAAAAGTATGGACAAAAGTTTACTGCAATTTGCAATAAGCCAGGAGAAAATTAAATTATTCTTATACTCAGGAATTAAACAAAAATAGATGTAAACTCATCAATATTTTTTTTACTAATTTTTATTCTTTTTATATTTTCATGGATAAAAGTAATTTCATATTTATAAATATGTAATTCAAGGGAAGGATTAGATCCAGGATATTTATGATAAGCAATTTATCGCATAAAATTATTTGCATTTAGTGAAACTGGAAATGAATGGCCAACAAATTTAATAACTGCACATAATGACAATTGTATTTAAGCCTTAATTTTTAAAAAAACATTATACAGTCAAAAGTCGTTAATCCGGACTCGTCGGGACTTCGGCGATTCCAGATTATCGATTTTTCCGGATTATAGATCATCAGTTTAAATCTGGTAAAATGGCATGCAGAAAATAAAATTAAAAAATATGATATGTAATTTATGAAATAAAGAACAATTATGATCTAAAGGTATCAAATTTACAAAAAGAAAAAGCTTTAATATTTACTTGTTTACTTTATTAAACATTTCTTTCAATGTTGAGTTGCTTCGTTTCATGTGATAATACTTTCTCTTTAATTCTATTAAACAGACATAATTTCTTGTTTAGTTACAAAGTTCCGCTGTTCAAGTCCTATAATTGCTGTGTTGAGAATACCTACTAATTTGTCAATTGAAATGTTTTCGTTTTCAATAACCTCTGGGTCACTTTCTTCACTATCGGAAGCGAATTATAATGACGAGCAACTTGATTTAAATCATATCAAAGACGGAGTACATCGAGATGAAATACTACACTTAGTAAGGAATTATAAGCCAAATAAAATAAAAACATCTGCCTTGAAGATAAGGATAGTGCTGATTGATTAGATCAACTTCCAATCCGCAGCATGAAATGATAAACAGATTTTGGATTTTGAAACACACTTTCGCTTTGTAGATACAAATTACATATTAGTAAATATATATCGGAAATTCTATTTGACATAATCGAAAGTTCAAGCTTACTTTTATGAAATTGCTCTAACAGTCTGAAAAAAATAATAAGCCGGATACAATTCGAAGATTAAGGAACAATGCAATCTGCAACATTAACTGAATTAGATAATATTAGCTTAGTTTATACCGTCCGTTACACATTAAACGCGCATGCGCACAAACATATTTGCAGCCGTAAAGGTCTTATGTGCACTCGTAAATGCCTGTACGCACGCGTGAACGCGACGCATGCGCAGAAAGTTTGTAGCTTTGAGGTCCGGATTATGGGTGCCCGAATTAACGACTTTTGACTGTATTTACATTTCATTTCTTGTAGCAGATGTGACAATGTTAATCAAAAATATTTTAATTCCTCATTCAATTTTTACACATTTTTGGAGGTGACAGACACACATTTCAGAAAGAAGAGGCTAATAAAAATTACATTTGCTCTAAACAGTCATTTTACTTTAATGATAAGTCTTCATGCAATTAGCAAAGCTGTAGAGAAGCATTTGTAGCATAAAACTTATTCTTTCATAACAGTGAATTTGATTGCATGGCATATCCTGTAACTCAACTAATCTCCAATTGGCCTAACTTAAAGTGTTGCACATATGCTTTATCAATTCAAGATTTAACTGGCCATAGACATCCAATAAACATGTAATTTTTCTACGAAACTCCTGGGCCAACTCAGCTTTGTAGACTATGCACTTGCACTGTCACCTTTAAAATATGATGTTTTACAGCATTCCCAAAAGCCTTAATATGCTATAAGGATCTCATTCCAAATGACATTGTACAGTTATACTTCTTTCACTGAAAATGAGCAGCCACACACAGCAGGGATTGTAAATTTACCAACTTTTTCAACTACCGGTAATATGATAAAACTACCAATTAAAACTGGATTACCAATATTTTTTCTTTCCAAAAGACACAGAAAATATACAAGTAAATAATAGAAAAAACATATGTTTTATTCAAAGCATAGTAAGCATTTTAAAAAAAGAATGTAATCTACTTTCTGAACATAAAATATAAAATGATGTAAAATAATTCAAACAAATCTGCGATATGTTTATATACTCACATGTCTTTATCACTGCAATAATAAAAAAAGACTTCAATGCATGCATTATTAAATATTTCTTTTACTTGCCAGTTTTTTCTAAAAATTATACTTGGAAATACATTATTTGTTTAAACATTGTTCTCCTAATTAAGATCTAATGTTTATACAAAATATTCCAGCCAGAGAGAAAATTCTCTTAAGATTCTCTCATTCATTTGCTAGTCAGTAGAAAATATATTATTTAAGTATACATTCCTCGTCTCCCTCCCCTGCTGAAAATACCTCAATCCTTTTTTGATAACATGATTAAAATTTACATCTTTGATCAAAGCTTTTATAAGATACTGCTAGCTTTTATAAGATACTGTGATTATGTTCTTTATCATAATTGAACTTTCCTTATTTAGCAATACATGTCAAAGACATTAGGTTTATATAATCTTTGGAATAAGCATCACACTTTATTTTTGGCAGTTCAGTAGTATTTACTTTGTTCATAAACATTTGATTAATTCCCTCATTTTCATTGCAATTATGGTTTTATTGAAAATTCCATAATCTCCATCATTACAATCTTTGAGCTCAGAAATAAAAAGAGGCATTGCACAACATCATTTCACTGCTTTTTTGGGGACAGATGTAATCCTTACTACTAATTTTATACTCTGCTTTTCACATAGTTTGAAACTAAAACTAAACAAGATACAATCAACAACTTTTTTAGATATATGTATAGCTTATTATTATTCTAATTACATGCTCCACCATTAGGCACTCCATGATAGGGAAGAGATGCCTCACTGAGGACTTTTTTATGGGAAACTGCCTCGTATCCACATTGCACATGGGAAAAACCATGAAAGCTCCCATGCAGCGAGCCCATTTACTGAGACTTGAACCCCAGACCAATTACCTGTGTTCAGAACCTTTTGCTGCTCGGCCACTGGTGGGCCTGCATGTATAGTTCGCCAGTAAAGACTGTGTGGTAAATGTTGTTTGGTAAATAAACATATTCAACTATCATTGCCTGCAAATGGACTCCTAGTCAATTTCTTTTTAATCAATAACTGCAGAAACATTTTTAAAATTTATACCTGACAATATAAGCCTTTTTTGAGTCTTGTCACTTCCATCACAATCAACTATGATTGGAAATCTTTCAAACAAATGTGTCTATAGAAATGGCACATATAAAAATCACTTAGTTAAAATTTTTGGAAAAACTGTGGTAATTCCTAAGTTCTCATGTTTAATTTGGATATCCCTGATTTAAATGACTAAGAACTGCAAATTATAATTTATCTGGACTACAATCCCTAACATATAAAGTATAAATTTCATCACTTTTAAATCCAATAATACCACACATCTGTTTGATTCTGCAATTTTCCACCATTTTTACATCAAACACTTTGAATGAAAATTGTCATTCACAAATATACATATTTTCCATTTTTAGATTTCATTTAGAGATACTTCAAGCTATTTTGAGAAAAGGAAAAAAAAAAAAAAAAAAAAAAAAAAACATGTTTGTAACCAAAATTTTGGACATCACTAATGGTCTAATAAAAATGGAATATTACCCATACTTTTATGAACAAACAATTATGAAAATGTAAGATTTTATATACTAGTTCAAAATGCCAAGATTTTACAATTTTAATTTTTTCTGATACATTTCTCTGTCTGACAAAAGTATTTTTAAAATGAAGTTCTGTTCAATTTTGATATTAATATATATAATGATTTTGACTAAAAACTTTATTAACAGTGTTATTAAATTTTGATTTGATAATTTACTAAGACCATGTTAGCAACTTCTAGATGCTCTAATAAGAAACTATACCTATGAAGCCTCATGGAATTATTACAATGAACATATCTGTAACAGGTTTCAGGATGTTTAATATGAAAATATTCAAATTAATTTTAAATAACATTCAAGTTCTTAGAAATTGAAAATCTTTAAAAATCAAAGATTTTGCGAATTTCAAAGCTAAAAAATTTCTGAGAATACTCTTTTACTTTCAATTACTTTTATAAACAACTTCACAACACTAATCACTTTGAGTCTTTCATTTAAAATGTATAAAAATTCAGTATTAAAGTTTTATTATAATGACAAAACATTTACTTACCTTGCATTTAAAATGGGCTCGATGCAACAGGAATTCACAATATTTCTGAATACTTTAACTAAAAAAGTCTTTGAAAGTACAATCTTATTTTTAACACCTTCAATTACACTGGAAAAATATAAAATTACTTATTTTTAAATATATATCATATACCTGAAAATGATTTTCACAGAAAACTTATGACATGAAACACTTATCTTGTACTAGACATATACATACATATAATAAGGTAATTATTAGTAATAAACTGCTTTATACTTTTGCTAAAGCTGCAAAGTAATAAAATAGTAATATATTTTCTAGTAGATTATTGAATACATTACCTCCTTTGAAAATAAAATAGCAAGAATGTTATTGAAATGAATTTACTCATTAGCATATTTAAAATTGAATTAATAAAGCAAAATTGGAACAAACTCAGTAATTATCCTCATTGACAACAATCAAACTACGTAATTATTGTCATCATACATATAATATATATATATGTGTGTGTGTGTGTATGTAAGATATAACAAAATACGATGGCTGCTTTAAGAAATAATTGGTGACCACAAAATTAACTCTTCTAGATTTGGTGCTCATCCCCTAAATTCATCTTTCTTCCAAATTCGAGATCTTTCGAGATTTCCATGTTACATAACAACCTAAAATTAACCAATTATAGCTTCGAGTACTTTCTGCATCTACTTAGTATAAATACTGCTTTGCGAAACAATTATATCATTCCTTTCCCTAGTTTCTGCCTTCCAACATCTGCAAACTGCTATGCCCACTTGCTTAAAATGACATTGTACCCCTTTACCTGTGTATATAAAAACTATTGAAATTGCTTATGTTCTAGAAGTATTTTATCAGCTAAGAAATGTTTTAGTATGAGTGAAAATACAAATTGGAATTCTTCAAATTCATTTGCGTCAGTGTCATCTTTCTGTCTTTCCATTCGACTATCGAAAGCTGTTAAAATTTCCATTGCCGTCTACACACTTAAAATACTGCATATATATATACATGTATACATATTTGATTTCAATGCAATTTTTATTTATGGTCTATAAGCATTTATTTTAGGATGAATAGCTTGTTTGCTATAGAGTACAGTTTAATCATTTTGACTATTTTTTGTATTTTTACTTAATAAATTAATTTGTTTAACATGACTTTCATTACATTTTTTAAAATAAAATATAAAAATTTTTGCTAGTGATTTTACAATTTTGGATTGTAACAGATTTTACTTTGTATGAATAAGGTGCCTCTGCAGGGGTTGGAGTGATAAGGACACAAACTGTTTTTGTATGTAATTGAAGTTTTTAAATTTAGTAAAATTGTGTCATTATCAGTTCAGAAACAAGCCAATTCATTTACTTCTCTCAATACCCCAACCCTCTGAAGAAAATGTACTGGTAGACATAAATTCTTCTTTCATTGTATTTAATTTTTTAATTTTTGCACTTGTTTATTAAATTTCAAAACTGGACTCAATTTCTTATTTTTTCATTTTGTCTTATTGCTTTTAATAATTTATTCAATTATTATCAACTCTTTATTCCAAATAATAAAAATAATAAATCACTAAGAAAGGGGGGCCTAGAAAATAGAAATGGAAGCTGAGATACAAAAAATGGTGTCACATGAGTGAGCTGAATGCATGATCTGAAAGCAGCTGAAAAGATGAAATTTTTGTAATACAATGAAAATACTTTTTTAATGAAATAAATGCTTTTAAAGTAAATTGTAAACTTAATTTAGTTAAATATTTATCAAAATATACATACACAGTTAGATGCAAAGACAAAACTCAAATTTTTAGTTATTTTCTGTGTGAAATCAAAACATTGGTATCTCTAAAAGGTTTCCCATCAGTGGCGTAAATAAGGATATGCAAGGAATGCCGTCGCATAGGGGCACGAAGGCTTAGGGGGCCCTTAAATGTTCTGCTGAACTACATTTACATGTTTAAACTCCTAATATTTTTCTAATACTCTCCCAAACTCTTTTGCTTGACATATCTGAACTTATTGATGATACATAAGACATCGAAGAATTTATATGCTCTGTTGTCTGACTTTCTGTGTCTTTGCCTTAGCCTGCTTATAGGCCAGAAGGTTGGAACCTGTAGAATATTGTGAAAAACATTTCACAGTTTCCTCTGTTTTCTGTAGGTTTCTTTGCTTTGGGAATATTTGGGAATCGAGAATTCAGCAGCCTACATTATGATTTCAGTTACTGTACCCACTATGTCTTCACTATATGTACTACTCACTGCTTTCTGACAAATCACAGCTAAGGATGGGAAGGTGACCAGTCTGCTCCATCATAAATAAAATGAGGAACCAGATCCAAAGTAGGTATATTACTTATACAGAAGAGGAAAACTGGAAAATGATCACTACTGAAAACATGTCGCCAACTACAAATGAAAAGTAAGGTATTAAGTAGTGAAGTTACAATGGATAGCTATAGCTAATGCATGAAATTCCTTGGTTGGTAAGTGAAAGAAAGTTTGCTTTCTACTATTCAGACACAAAGACAACCATTTTTTCAATTTGCTTCCCATGTGAATTTATTTGTTGGCTTTCCCACATGGCATTATGGCCATTTAAATCTGCAAGAAGAATCAATGGGACAGGAAGCTAATCTACTAAGTTCTTCAAAACTGATTATCATGAACTTCATTTGGTTGCAAGTACAAGCAACAAACTGTGATCAAAATCCTTACATTGGCTTCTATTTCTACTGCTTGGAGACTAGTATGAAAGGAAAGATGGTGAATAGGTAGGTAGTCATTGGATGTAAGTAAGAGTACACCATTACAGCCCTTTTCTGAAGCACAAAACATACAGAATGGTGGATATCAATAAAGTGCTTAAGCCTTTAGTGGTTGTGAGATTAAGCAATTCTTTCTTCCCAAATACATGCCATATCCTTCAGTCATAAATCTGGAATGCGAGCTGAGCTTGATGATGACTATCAAAGGGTTAATGTCCACACTGGTCGAAACTATGATAGTTCAATGACATGAAACTGGCCATCAGGAATGTTTACTCTTTTGCCACTACCCCTTTGTTTTTCATGGAAAACGGTGTTAAGGGATGGACATATCTTCTTCAGTCTCCATTTCATCTAATTCTTAAATTTCTCTTCATTCTGTCAGATGAGCTGAAAATTTCATTTCAGATTTCAAGTTTAGATTTGCCTTTATCTTCCAGGTTTGTATTAAGTGCTTTTTTACATCTTTCTGCTGCTATTTCTATTTCTTTTGAAATTAAAGGCATTTCCCCCTCCCCCCTTTTGTTTTTCAACATGATGACTACTAAAGGAAACTTACTAAGATTTGTTTTGAGATTTAAGGTAGTTTTGGCACTTAAAACACTAAATGAGATGACATAGATTTAACCAATTTTATGGCTGCAGAATAATACTTTCAGAATGGCTGAGTGTCAGAAAGTAGTCTGCGAGCTTCTGCATATGTGATCTTTTTGGTAACTTTATGGTGTTGAACCTCCTTTCCTTTCTGCCAAATGAGACAGAAGTGGGCATAGCTAGGATGATTTCCTTTGGAATTCACATATAGTAGAGCAGCAATGCAATTGTCCCTTTTGTGGCCAGCAACAAAACATTTTGCACAGGTGGGTCTGTCATAACAAGCTATCTTTGTATACCCAAACTGTTGGTATTGAAAGCAATGCACCAGGTTTGGCCCATATGGCCAGACTGGACAACACAAATAACCAGCCTTTACATTCTTTGGAAAATCACGGGTCTTAAAAGTTAACATAATATGCTTATAAATAAAGCAGCAGCTGGTCATCCTTTCTGAACTCTATCCTCATAGCACCACATACATTTTGATTTGGAAGCTTTGTTACAATTATCTCTTCAGGCAATGATGTAAGGTCTGAGTCAGTGATGACTCCTTGTGAAAACTTTAAAGATTAATGAGCTGAAACTGTAATTTAAACTTGTCCCACAGATGTTATCTTCAGCAGATTCACAGATTGCAGAGTGCTAGCTGTTTCACTTTATTAGTGTTAGCTGTTGCAGTGCTAGCTGTTCTCTTTGCATGTCCCTTGTTTGATGTTCTTAGTTCACCTGCCACAGATACAATGTATTTATTTATTAGGAAGGGTGAAATTTTTCTTAGCTTGTCCTCTGAAGTATTTATCACTAAAAAATATGTCATTACATAAATCACTGGCATCTGCTTCAGTGCAATGCATTTTAGTAACATCACAAACTTCAGAATTTTCATATTCCATAGTTTAAAGAATAGATTTGGATCTGACTGCTCTCCCACCATGGAGCTTAACAAGGGAACACAGAATCCTGTGTTAGAGCTAGCCAGACCTATAAGCAATATGAAGCTCTACAGTCAACTTCATCTAAAGCAGGTACTCCTGAAAGCTTATCCCCAAGCCACAGACAAATGGACAAGTGACCAGGTGATAGAAAGGAGACTAGAACAATGGGGCTCCAGAATCACGACACTCGTCTTACCAAGATGATGATCCCCTGAAAGCCTAAAGTACCTCAGGATTGCCACACTCGTATTCACAAAGAGTGAGTCTCTGAGGGCACATAACCTACTTCAGAGTGGAAGAAAGAAGATGTGGAAAATGGAAAGAACAAGCACTGATTATTCAATTAAATTTATTAAAATGAAAGTAAAATTACATATTGCAGTAATTTTTACTTTCAAAATCAACTAGGATATTGAAACAGTTTATCAGATTTAAAACATGATCAAATGCAACAAAATTTAATAGATCTTAAATAAGATACATATTATTTTTAAATTATTATATTTCCACAGAGATAGTAATAAATAATGCAATAAATTTTCTCCCTCCTTTACGTATGTAAAAATACTATAAAACTCTATATGAATACATTACATTCACATATTCATGAAATATTAATGGTACTACAATTTAATTCCTTCTAAAAATTTAAATCAAATTAATTAATTATTAAAAAAGGAAAAAGAACTTCAGCATACTCTCTATTTTCTTCTATTTTACTACGCTTCTTAAGTTCCTTTTCTATAGCAGGAAAAACTTGCTCATAAAATGGAACTATCCTACAACAAAAATGTCAAATTTATATGAAGCATGTGAAAATAAAAATTAAATTTTAAAATGAAACAGTATATGATGCAAATATATTCCAATTTTACACACACCCAAAAAAATACAGTAATGCATTATGGCAAATGATGAATGCAAAGCAAACAGGTTAAGACAAAGTAATTTTTATTTAAACTCATAAATGGCATGAAAGATACAATGTAAGGTTTATTTTTCTAATCAATTCAGTTCTTTTTAGCTCCCCTTATTTTTAAACTTTTCAAATTATATATTTTAACACAAAGTTTAATGTATTTAATTCTATATCACACAGACTTGTGAATTAGTTATTTTCCTCCATTTATGCAAACAATCACAGTTAGAGACCAGAATCTTTTATGCCTATAAAATAATATTAATATAAATAAGCTACTATACATTATGTTCCTATTTATTTGGTTGCAGAGATAAATCATAACAGTTTACACATTTTTACAAACTTCAATGTATATCATTGTTTTATGCACAAAATGAGCAACGATTGACAAATTTAGGAATTATTTTATCAACATATATATTTATGATGACTTATTTTCTTCAAATATATTTGTTTAAGAAAAAATACAGTAAAAGTAAAAAAAAAAAAAAAAAAAAAAAAAAAATCACAAAAACAATTACACTATTAAATACAGTTTTGGGTGCATTAAATATTTGTTACATCTGCAGTCAATTCAAATAACACAATCTGAATTTTCTGTAATCCAGTTTTATTGTGATATTGTTAAGTAGTATTTATTTATTTATTTATTTATTTATTAGAATTTCAGATAATGTTTTTAATAATCAATGCAAAGCAGTATCTTAGTTAAAAAAATCTAATTGATTTTGTAATATATATATTTGCTAACACATAAAATGAATTTAGTATATATATATATATTTCAAAAATTACTTATTCAATCTCAACTATATATGCACTAGATTTTACAGGTCCTAATTCCTAATCTTTGCTCAAATTTTTAAATGAGTTTATTAAAATTTCTCTCTCTTTCTGTACATGACTTCATAGACAAAAGTTGTGCATTGAACTAGTTTAACTAAATGATTAGCTACACTCATGAATACTTCTGATGTTAACTTACCCACATGTCCTATTCTAAGGAAATTAGGCATTATGAAAAAACCTACAAATACAGTACAAAGTCTGTATTCCGGACTCGTCGGGACTTTGGTGTTTCCGGATTAGGGGTTTTTTCAGATTATAGATCATCAATTTAAATCTGGTAAGATGGCATGCAGAAATTATACAATTAAAAATATGAAACTGGAATTTATGAAATAAAGAGCAATTATGATCTAAAGGGTATCAAAATTTACAAAAAAAAAAAAAAACAAAGCTTAATATTTATTTGTTTACTTTAGTAAACATTTCTTTCAATGTACGTTGTTTAAGTTGCTTTGTTTTTTATGATAATACTTTCTCTTTAATTCTATAAACAGACATAATTTCTTGTTCAGTTACAAAGTTCCATTGTTCAAGTCCTGTAATCGCTGTGTCGAGAATACCGACTAACTTGTCAATCAAAATTTTTCATTTTCAATAACGTTCTCGTTTACTTTCTTCACTATCGGAAGTGCGCATGGGTAAACGCGTATGTGCTCAGTGATGATTACAAGATGTAAAGAAACATCATTTATTCTACATTGCTCATCCACTATTCTCTATTACAGTTATGATTAAAGATAATAATAGATACAGTTACATATATAACATCTCCCTTTTTTATCAATAATAATAATAATAGTAAAATTAAACATACTCTTTTAAATAATAAGGTTTCTTAACAGTCCTACCAGATCGAGTAACATAGTTAGGTCCATTTGAAAAATTTGATGATACTATACCTCTTTCACTATTTGGTGACACAACACTTCTGTTAGGTTTTGAAGGACTTATAGGCACATCTAAATATGCAGTGCTCCTACTATTTTCATGTATCTCGGATTCATCTATAACTTCATTCTCATAGTTGTTTTGTATTGCAAACTCTTTCTGATTATTTCCTTTAAGAAGGTCTCTTCTGTTCCTTTCTACAATTCTTCCATCTGTTCTTATAATCTTATATGAACGTGGTCTTTCTGCTTCTTCTATAATTTCCATTCTTTCATTTAGTTTTTTCCCTTTCTCTTTTATGTAAATATGATCTCCTGTTTTCAGTGGTTTTAACGGTCTTGCATTCCTATCATAATAACTTTTTTGTAAGGTTTGTCTCTTCAGTAAATGTTGTTTATGGTCTTCATATCGTTTAGCTTGGACAAAATTTGCTTCTGATAATTCTTCTCTGAAGTTAAAATATGCTTTTGCCAGTTCTGGAACCATACATTTTTCATCTGGCCATCCAGTTTTAATTAATTTTCTTAAAACTTCATTCTTCTTCTTTTTCTGTTTCCAGTTGAAAAACTTCCATTTTACCATTAGACATTGGTATACATTCTACAACTAATCCAACATGAGCTTCTATGTCTCCTTCAAAGAAATCAGATCCTTTATCAGTGAATGATCTTGATAATGCATTCGTTATAAAAAGTTCTTTTCCTGGTTTATATTTTATCTCAAACTGGTATGGCTGTAATCTTATATACGCATTCTTTGTAATCTTATAGGGCATTTATTTAATGGCTTTTTGAAAATTAATTTCAGTGGTTTATGGTCACTTTCCACAGTAATATATTTTCCAAATATATACTGGTGAAATTTCTCACACGCAAATACAATAGCTAAAGTTTCTTTTTCAATTTGAGCATAATTCTTCTGTGTATCTGCTAATGCCTTAGATGCATATGCCACTGGTAAATTATTCTGCAGTAAGACTGCTCCTAGTCCTTCTTGAGATGCATCTACAGATAAAACTACTGGCATCTTTATATCATAATACTGTAAAACTGGTTTTATTTACTAAGACATCTTTTAGTCTTCTAAATGCTTTTTCATGTGTTGCATTCCAGTTCCAGATAACTTGTTTTTTCAACAAATCTCTTAAACATGATGTCAATTCTGATACATTAGGTATAAGTCTAGAAACATATGTAATCATTCCTACAAAAGTTTATAATTCTTTCACATTTTTTGGTGGTTTTATATCTAGAATAGCCTTAATTTTGTCTTCATCTGGTATTAAACCATCTTTAGAAAATATATGTCCCATTTATTTCACTTCATTCAGCCCAAACTTAAATTTAAATAAATTAAATTTAACATTCTTTTCTCTGGCTCTGTCCAGCAACTTCTTTAATCTTAAATCATGTTCTTTTTTATCTTTACCCCCAAACTAATAAGTCATCTATATATATTTGAACTCCTTCTATATCACTAAAAATTTCAGAAAAACTTCTGTGGAAAACTTCTGGTGATGAACTCAGTCCATATGGCAACCTCAAAAAACAATATCTGCCAAACGGAGTGTTAAACGTATAGTAAATTCACAACTTGAATCTGACAGTTTTAATTTGCCAAAATGCTTTTGTTTGCATCTTAAAATACTAAAGACCTTTGCATTTGTCATTTGAGATGGAAATTTCTTTCAAAGGTTGGTATGCGATAATGTTCTCTCAGTATGTTTGGTTTAAGGTGCTGAGGATCTAAACACACTCTTAAATTACCATCCTTTTTCCTTATTACCACTAATGAATTCATGAATTCTGTTGGTTGGGTAAATTTCTTTATAATACCATCTTTTTTCCATTCTTGCTAATTCCTTTTTTAATGGATTTAATAAGCTAAGTGGAATTTTCCTACAGGACTCTATTTTACCGAACAGCTCCTGGTTTTAATTTAATATGATAGGTATATATCCAGTTAAAATTCCCAGGTTCCTTTAAACAAATCTTGATATCCTTTTAAAGGATTCTGGTAACTTTTCATTAGGAATTCAGGATTTACTGTACAAATCCTTTGTAATTAGGTTTAATTTTTGCTAATGTAGGTAAACCTAAAATAGCTGGAACAGTTTTATCACATGCTTACGACTTGAAATTCTACTTCATTCCTTGTCACCTTTCGAATGTCTTTCACATAATAATTTGCATTTTCCAACTACATCAAATTGTAGTACCATTGTAATTACTTAAAGTGACTTTTGATTTAGTCAAACATCTTTCTCTTAAATTTAATTGTTTAAATTTAGGCAATGGTAACACATTACACTGAAGCTCCAGTATCCAACTTAGCAAATAATAAATATTTAGATATGTTTACTTTTAGTTTTCCAAACCCTTCTGTTTTGTTTTTTAGAAAAATGGATTTGTACCTTCTACTGACCCTAAAATATATTAAATACCATTATTAATGTAACTCATGCTCTAAATTATTCTGTACAACATTAACATTTTTTTTTATAAGTGCACATTTTAGAAAAGTGGTTTTTCTTTTACAGTACAAGCAAATCTTATTATAAGCAGGACAGTTGTATAACTTATGAAAAAGTTCCACATTTTTCTACATGGTTTTGGATTATTGTACTTATTTCCTTGATAGTTTGAAGAAGATTTAGTACTCTGTTGCTTTTGTTTTATATGATAGTTTTTCTTACAAGGCTGACTTTTTTCCTCTGAAGGTCAAAATTTATTACGTTTGATAGCTTCTATTTTATTTTCATCAGTTAAAGTTTTCAGCTGAAGTTCTGCTAATTCAGAAGCTTTACACATTTTAATACATTTCTCCAATGTTAACTGATCTTCCCTTAATAATCTATCTTTGAGATTTTTATTTAGAATTCCACTTACTATTCTATCCCTTATTAAACTATCTTTTAATTCTGCAAATCCAAGTTGCTACTTAATTTCTTTAAATCGGTTAAGAAATCATCAAACGATTCACCTACATGTTGTGTTCGACAGAAAAATATATGTCTATCAACACTTTCATTTGCTTTCGGTATGCAAAAATTTTTGAAAGCTTCAATTACTTTGTCAACATCCTTCTTATCTTCTTCACTTAAATTAAAAGTATTAAACTTTTCAAGTGCTCCTTCACCAATAATATGCAATAAAATAACTACTTTAATTTCAGGTGATTTAGTAATACCACCAGATGCTAACATATAAATTTGGAATTTTTGTTTCCATTTCTTGAAGTTTAGATTACTTGGTGGCTTTAATCCATCCATACTCAATATAGAACTTTAAATAGTTTATATATACCTATTTTTAGCCCCTTCCAATAAAAATAAACAATGCACTTACCAGTGATATAAGTTTCGATTTCACAGTAAACAACTTTCCATCATGTTTTTGTTTAGAATATCTTTAATGAGGCTACATGGTTCTTCAAAAAAGATTTTCTTGCTGGGCCATCTGTTGTATTTTATATATGTTGGGTATGTGCTCAGTGATGATTACAAGATGTAAACAAACATCGTTTATTCTTAACTAAACATTCCAACAGATTTCTAAAGGGTAATGTACGCATTTCTGCACTTGTAAATGGACAATCTAATTTTGTAAGAATAGTGCCTTTAGCTATAGGAAGTAAAGTTATCGGTATCTGGAAATGTTTAAATTTTTCAAAAATTTCTTCGATATATTTTTGCTGATGTATAAAAACCCCATTCTCGTTCTCTAAGAATTCAATTCCAAGTAACGTTTTAGTTTTGCCTAATACTTTAAGATCAAAAACCTTACTCAACTGTAAAATTACTTATCAATACTATATTGATCTTATACTAAAAATCACAATATCATCTATATATAACAAGAGAATTACATTTGAACCCTTATAAACACAATTACACCATTGTATTTTCTTAAAATGTAGATTTTCTAAAGTACTTTCAAATTCACAAAACCATTCACGGCCGCTTTGATGTAGACCGTAAATAGCCTTGTGTAATAAACACACTTTATTTTCCTCTTCAATAAATCCCTCTGGTTGGGTGATATATATTTTTTCATTTAGGTTTGCATATAAATATGTGTTCTTTACCTCTAACTGACAATTAGTCTAAACATATAAGCATACCAGTATAGTGAAAAATATTCTTATAATTGAAATATTTACTACAGGACTATAAACGTCATCAAAATCTTCACCTCTTTTCTGCCTGAATTCCTGCGCTACTAAATGTGCTTTGTATCTAACCACTTGATTCTTTTCATTTCTTTTTAGTGTATAGACCCATTTGTTTCCTAGCATAGTTTTATTTCCTGGCTTTTTGACTAATTCCCAAACCTTTCTTTTCTTCATTGTGTAAATTTCTTCTTTCATTGCCTTATCCCATTCTTAAATCAAATTGCTCGTCATTATAAATATCACGAATACGCATCAAATAGTTTTCTGGTTGCAAATAGTTTTCTGGTTGCTTTACGCATGCACGCATTAAAAGAAATGTTTAATAAAGTAAACAAATAAATATTAAGCATTTTTTATTTGTAAATTTTGATACCCTTTAGATCATAATTGCTATTTATTTCATAAATTACGGTTTCATATTTTTAATTTTATAATTTCTGCATGCCATCTTACCAGATTTAAATTGATAATCTATAATCTGGAAAAACCCCTAATCTGGAATCACCGAAGTCTCAACAAGTCCAGATTAAAGACTTTGTACTGTATTATAATTCTTTATTTTATTTTATTATCCAAAGGGGCTTTGTCCCTGAAGGACAATTGTTTTCGTTTTGTGATTTTGTGTTGGTTCACTATAAATGTCCGTTTCACTTTTCAAACTGTTGCCACCAAATGTTAGAGTCCTGATTATATTTGAAGAAATTAAATAATGAAAAATCTATTGAAAAATACTATTGTTTTCATTTTTTGATTTTGCATTGGTTCACTATAAATATCCGTTTCACTTTCCAAACTGTTACCACCAAATGTTAGAGTTCTGATTATATTTGAAGAAATTAAATAATGGAAAATCTGAATAAATGTATGTATATTTCTCACATTGTGATAAAACAACGGTACATAGAATTTGAATGATCGAATTTTGAATGACTTAATTCTGCCACGAATAATAATACAGTCAAAAGTCGTTTATCCGTACGTCCATAATCTAGAATGATCTATAATCCGGACCTCAAAGCTACAAACTTTCTGCGCATGCATAAACGCATAATGCGTTTACACATGTGCATAATACCTTTATGCATGCGCATATGTGTTTACGCGTGCACGTTTAATGTATAACAAACGGTATAAGCTAAGCTAAAATTATCTAATTATCTATTTCAGTTAATGTTGCTGATTGTGTTGTTCCTTAATATTCGAATTGGATCCAGCTTATTATTATTTGCAGACTGTTAGAGCAATTTTATAAAAGTAAGCTTGAAGTTTCGATTATGTCAAAAGGAATTTCTGATTCTGGAGCTGCCAAAGGATCTAGAAAGTGAAAGCATGTTTCGATGTCCATCAAACAAAAAGCGGAATTGCTGCAAAAAATGGATAAAGGCATATCCTTTTTTTCTAACCATTCCGAAATATGTTTATCAATTTCACGCTGCTCTGCAGGGGTGGGGGGAAACATCGTGGCGCGCAATTAACTGGAAGTTGATCTGTCAGCACTATCCTTATCTCCAGGGCAGATGTTTTTATTCTATTTGGCTTATAATTCTTTACTAAATATAGTATTTCATCTTGATGTACTCCATCTTTAATATGATTTAAATAAAATTCCCCATCATTATAAATATCACGAATACACATCAAATAGTTTTCTGTTTGCTATTTTCTAATTTCGACTATGCGTAATGTATGCTTTACCCATGTGCACATTAAAAGAAATGTTTAATAAAGTAAACAAATAAATATTAAGCTTTTTTTCTTTTTTCTTTTTCTTTTTTTTTTTTTTTTTGTAAATTTTGATACTTTTAGATCATAAATGCTCTTTATTTCATAAATTCCAGTTTCATATTTTTAATTGTATAATTTCTGCATGCCATCTTACCAGATTTAAATTGATGATCTATAATCCGGAAAAACCGATAAACCGGAATCACCGAAGTCCCGACGAGTCCAGATTAAAGACTTTTGACTGTACTCGGCATGTGGAAGTCCAAATTTGAAATTTGTTTTATTATCGATTTCATATTTTGTAAAATTTTAATGAATTTTTGATTAACAAACTCAAGGATTTCAAAGTGAGCAATGGCAACGCTGTACAGAAAAAACATTTTTATCTCTAGCGCGCGAGTCTCTGTATCAGAAATTCTAAAGATATGCTAACTATTTTGTGATATTGCTGTTGAACTGAATTTGCTCCAAACTGGTTTATGTGCAAACATGATACAGTCAAAAGTCGTTAATTCGGACACCCACAATCCGGACCTCAAAGCTACAAATTTTCTTCACATGCGTCTCTTTGACGCATGCACGTAAGACCTTTACGGCTGCAAATATGCGTGTGCGCGTGCACAAAATACGTTTACGAATGCGCGTTTAATGTATAACGGACGGTATAAGCTAAGCTAAAATTATCTAATTCGGTTAATGTTGCAGATTGCGTTGTTCCTTAATCTTCGAATTGGATTCGGCTAATTATTTTTTGCAGACTGTTAGAGCAATTTTATAAAAGTAAGCTTGAACTTTTGATTATGTCAAATAGAATTTCCGATATATATTTACTAATATGTAAAGGATCTTCATCGTATGTTTCAAAGTCCATTATACAAAAAGTGGAATTGCTGCAAAAAATGGATAAAGGCATATCCTTTGTTTATCTAAACTTTAACGTTTGTTTATCTAAACTTTGTTTATCTTTAACGCTGCGGTGTGCAATGAATTGGAAGTTGATCTGTCAGCACTATCCTTATCTTCAGGGCAGATGTTTTTATTTTATCTGGCTTATAATTCCTTACTAAATGTAGTATTTCATCTCGATGTACTCGTCTTTGATATGATTTAAATCAAATTCCTCGTCATCATAATTCGCTTTCGGTATCGAAGAAAGTGACAGAGGTTATTGAAAACGAAACAATTTCGATTTACAAATTAGTCGGTATTCTCGACACAGCAATTATAGGACTTGAGCAGCGGAACTTTGTAACTGAACAAGAAATTATGTCTGTTTATAGAATTAAAAAGAATGTATTATCACATAAAAAACGAAGCAACTTAAACAACTTACATTGAATAATAAAGTAAACAAATAAATATTAAGCTTTTTTATTTATTTTTTATTATTATTATTATTTTTATTTATTTATTTATTTATTTATTTTTTTTTGTAAATTTGGATACCTTTAGATTATAATTGTTCTTTATTTCATAAATTACGGTTTCATATTTTTAATTTTAAAATTTCTGCATGCCATCTTACCAGATTTAAACTGATGATCTATAATCTGGAAAAATCGATAATCCGGAATCGTCGAAGTCCTGACGAGTCCAGATTAACGACTTTTCACTGTATTTAATAAATAAATGTAACACACAGAAATGTTTTAAAAGCACCCTTTTGGACGTAATTTAAAATCTGAAACCCTTCAGATTTTTTTAAAAATTTTTTATCCTCCTCCTCCCCACAGTGAACATGATCATAAAAGAAGAAACAAGTTAGAAATTTAAAAATTTTAAAGACAAGAATTGTTCACATTACTCTCAAGTCATATTAGTTGGCACTTGTAACTGCTTACCTGTTAACAGCTCCATGTTGATAAAATATTTGACAAGCAGGGGAGTAAATTTCCAGGAATGTATAAATTGTTGCACTAGTATCACATACATAATTTATTATGTCACAGAACGATGTCAACGACAATTCTTTAATACCTGACTGAGAATTATCTTCTGATGCATAGTATCCACCATGCTTTTCAGGAATATTCATGAACAACTTCTCTTCAGCACTGTTAAAAGCCTGCAAATATATTCCATAATAGGAATTTTCTTTAAGTATAATCTACTAAAGCATTCATAACATGTAAAAAATATCTACAGGATCAGAGGAGAAAAAAGAATTAAAGCAAAAATATTTAGAATATAAATTCAAATACAGTCAAAAGTCGTTAATTCGGACACCCATAATCCGGAATGATCTATAATCCAGACCTCAAAGCTACAAACTTTCTGCACATGCATCGTTGTTCACGCATGTGAACAGGCGTTTACGAGTGCACGTAAGACCTTTACGGCTGCAAATATGTGTGTGCGCATGCACGTTTAATGTGTAATGGACGGTATAAGCTAAGCTAAAATTATCTAATTCAGTTAATGTTGCAGATTGCGTTGTTCCTTAATCTTCGAATTGGATCCGGCTTATTATTTTTTGCAGACTGTTACAGCAATTTTATAAAAGTAAGCTTGAACTTTCAATTATGTCAAATAGAATTTCCGATATATATTTACTAATATGTAAAGGATCTACAAAGCGAAAGCATGTTTCGAAATCCGAAATCTGTTTATCAATTTCACGCCGCAGCGCGCAATGAATTGGAAGTTGATCTGTCAGCACTATCCTTATCTTCAGGGCAGATGTTTTTATTTTGTCTTATAATTCCTTACTAAGTGTAGTATTTCATCTCGATGTACTCCGTCTTTGATATGATTTAAATCAAGTTCCTCGTCATTATAATTCGCTTCTGATAGTGAAGAACGTGACCCAGAGGTTATTGAAAACGAAAAAATTTCGATTGACAAATTAGTCGGTATTCTCCACACAGCAATTATAGGACTTGAACAGCAGAACTTTGTAACTAAACAAGAAATTATGTCTGTTTAATAGAATTAAAGAAAAAGTATTATCACATGAAACGAAGCAACTTACATTGAAAGAAATGTTTAATAAAGTAAACAAATAAATATTAAGCTTTTTCTTTTTGTAAATTTTGATACCCTTTAGATCATAATTGTTCTTTATTTCATAAATTACGGTTTCATATTTTTAATTTTGTAATTTCTGCATGCCATCTTACCAGATTTAAACTGATGATCTATAATCCGGAAAAATCGATAATCCGGAATGACCGAAGTCCCAACGAGTCCGGATTAACGACTTTTGACTGTATAAAGTAAATTAAAAAGCCTATAACTTGCGCAAAAGCTTCAAAATAATAAACTAATAATTCACAATAATTTATAAGAAAACGTTCCATATACCATCTCCAAGGAACACAAGTTCAATTTAAAACCATGAATGAAAAAAAATTTTTAGTCAGAATTTTAATTAGTATTTTAAATACTAATTTCAACTTCTTATTTAAAAATTTGTTACGAAAAATCTTTACTCGCAAAAATACCAAAACCAAAAGTAAATTTTAAATATTGAAGAGTAGCTATTGTCATTGATTGCAGATTAATCGACTTATGAAGGGGATAAATCAACCATCAATTAACAACAACTAAATTAAGAGAGTGTTTCATCTTGCTTCAGGGCTTAATTTCTAAGATTAGAAGTACCTGAGCCCTATGGAAGACCGTCAGCAAAGAGGAACAAGAGTAAATAAATAAATAAAATGACTATTACACTCTTTAATAATTTTAAAAAGAAACAGTTAATTATTATCAAATTAATTAATAGCTATTTATTTAATGTTTATAAATTGTTATTTAATCAATAATTATTATATAATTAATTAATTATAATTTAATTGATAATTATTAGGTAATCAATTATTATTTATTGAAATAATTAAAGATTGAAGTAATTAAATAATTAAAATTAAATAAAATGTAAAGAGATGAATTGAAATTTAATAAGCAATTTTTAATAAAATTTTATTATTAAAATAAAAATTGAGATAAAATATCTACTGAAATTGTTATCCAATTACATAAAAGAAGTGCCGCAGCCTTCTTTTTCAGGGCTCTGGTGCGTTCCGGCTAGAATTATGATTTATTAAAAAAACTAAGAAGCACCGGTGCCGATATCCGGTGGGCTCCAGCCCTATTTAATCTCTGATCGTACGGGGGGGGGGAGTTCTTTTATCATCATAAAAATTAAATATACTTAAAGTATAGCTGATGAAAATTCCAGGGCGAAACGGAATGAGGGTATAAGTGGGTGGAAACAAAAAACGATGGGAATCTTGGTGAGAGAGAACGTTCTCTTTGACCGTGGCTCTCTGCTGATATAATTATAGCCATCAAGCAGATGTGTGTCAGGGGTAAAATGAGTCCTTAATCTGACTTCTAAGGATGAATGTAAAGTTGCTGGTTACACTTTTCGCCCCCCCCCCCCCCCCGCCCCGTATTTGGTTACATTAGTGGATACTGTGGGAAGATGATGTATAAGACGTGCTTGAGCAGTTTATATCAGTATTTCCCTCTTATTGTACTCGCACATTTAAGAACACAAATTTTCCTTCCTGCAAGGATAACTAACTATAAGCATTGATAACAATACACTAAATACGATGGCATGACGAGAAATTTACGCATTCCTAAACAAACTCCCCCAAATTTATTGCCCTTCTTAAAGGGAAAGGTTTCCGCATGTGAGTGAGGGGACTTTACTTGAACGTCTTATGTTCTCATGAGTTCGTATTTCTAGGGAAATAGAGTATTGCAAAGTCTGCTTATTGTTAAACAAAAACGTTAGGAATTCTAAATTTTGTTTCCTTTTAAACTGTGGTTCAGTTTTATGAAAAGAAGTACCAGAGCTCCATCTTATTTAGAACTCCGGTGCACACCGGCTAAAATTGTAATTTATCTTAAAAATTGAGAAGTAGCGGAGCAGTGCTCCGGTGGGCTCCGGCGCAATTTAAGCACTATCTTGCTTCCAAGTAAGCACCAAATTATTTGCTAGATATGTTATTTTTTCTTTTTTACAAATAATAGTTTTCCAGGAAACATTCTGCTAGATAATTCACTTAATACAAATCTTCAGCTGTAAACAGACCACAACAATTAAATAATAAAATACACTAAAACCTAAGCTCACTAGCATGTTAGCTGCTTTTTAAAGTATTTTCTCCAAAATTTATTTGTACCTTTTTTATGTTAAGAATTTTATAAGAATTTCAAAAAAAAAAAAAAAAAAAAAAAAAAAAAAAAAAAAAAAGCAGAATTAAAATTTATGCCCCCACTCAAATGATTAAAGGGCACCACACAAACTAGAATAAAAAATTATTCCAATATTGAACAATAAGAATAAAATGATAACGACACTCCAGTAGTGAATAACATAGGAATTTTAGAGACAGCTGAAGTTTCTCAGACACTCTATTGACTAGTGTACATATACCTTGCTAACAACCTTGTTAAGAAATTTCTGTTCCAAACAGAAAAAAATGAAACCAAAAGATATAGAACTGTCCCATTTTTTTTTCGTAGTATACATGCAGACATTTTAATCCAATATTGCTTCTTATGAAAAACTATTTTAATCTGTATTATTTACATTATTAATTGAACATGAGAAATTATCTATTTCATTTACCCTACACCATGTTCTATTTCTTTTTTCCTTCATCTGTTTAAAATAAGTTTTGAATCTGAATTACATTTAAATGCTTATAATAAACTAAAATTGGTTTAAAATTGGATAATTATAATTTTAATCTCAGTTCTTTTTGTACTGAAGTTTTACTCCATGATTTGCAATCAGTGCCATATTTTTGATAAAACTTGGCACTTAGACAGGAGCCTGATTGAAGAAATGAAAGCAACTATATAACACATTTTCTCTCTCCTTTCTGCATGCCTTTGAGGTATAACAGTAACACAACGCATATTCAAGAGATTCAGGTTCGAGTCCCGGCGAGGCCATTGCTCCTTTTTCATGTCTCCTTCAAAATAACCTAATGTATCTACAACTAATGTTCATTCCTAGGAATGTAAAGCATGTAAAGCTTAAATGCATTCCTTTGGATGACATTTTATCAGAATTTTTTTAAATTTCTTAAAAGAAAGATTAGAAATTTCCTACTAGATTTGAATGTTATACAGCAATGCTTAAATCCATTATGAGCTGAATGATTTAATGATATCTTAAATTCTATATTAGGGGCTAAAATTTCAAAAGAAATTCTGAAAATATCACAACTATTATGGCTAGATGTATGGCAGTAAATACTGTAGATATTATAACTATTCATTCTGCATTCAAATTATATGAAATAGCATTAAAGCTGTTTGAAGGACTATTTCAATACATGTTTAAACTCTTAGAAAACATTCAAGACTCATAAAGTTTCACTATTACCTAATAATGAATCTTGTCTTATTCCTTTATGATTCAGTTGAGGCATAAATAATCATGCACACATTCTTATGCCTTGACTTCTAATGATTTAAAATTAAGATCTAATAGCATGCTTTATATTTTGGCTTACAGAGTGAGCTCGGTCAAAATGCTGTTCACTTAGCTTTTGTATTGAATTACACTTCATCCCACTGCTGATAAGACCATTTCTGAATTATTTATAACAACAATTATTTTTTAAATTTGTTCATTTTTTTTTAATTAAACACTTTTTTTCATAATACACATCCCTATACATTAAAGTTTAGGTAGTTACAAGTCTAGTATAATCCAGGACTTGCTAGTGAAGATCAATTTATTATCACTTAATGGACTTTTTGCACATTTTTAATTCTCCAGCACAGACTTTATTCATATACATATTACAGTGGAACCCCAAGATAAGAGCACCTCTATATTTGAGAAACTCAAGATACAAGGAAATTATGAGCAAAACATTTGTCTCTAAAATACGAGCACTGACTCGAGTAATGAGCAATGAGCCAGGCTACTGGTAGGCGTGGCACCAAATCCTGATCCAGCTCAACTCGGGGGAATCCCCTGGTCAGATCACTCAGTTCCTTTAATATACGTGTTTGTGCATTTGTGAGTCAATTGTTTATTACATTTAACATGAAAATAATTATTTCACGATGTCTCCCAAGAAGATTGTTGCCTCAGATAGTGCTTCAAAGAAAAATACAGAAGCCACAGCCATTGAAATTAAGGAAAAAACTCATATATAAACACAAGCGTGGTGTAAGAGTGACAAAATTGGCGAAGACTTACGGCCTTTCGACATCGACAATCTGCACTATTCTGAAGAAGCAGAAAGAAATTCAGAAACTTGATGTAACCAAAGGAGTTACCGTTACTTCCAAGGACTGTCCAAAACTCCTATAAGATGTTGAGAAGCTGTTGTTGGTGTGATGGTGTGGATTAACGAGAAGCAGTTAAAAGGTCGGTGTCGGAAGCTATCATAAAGATAAACTACAGTTATATTATTTACCAGTGTTATTTATTAGAAAAATTGTTTTTATATATATATTTGGGGTTGTGGAATGGATTAACTGGATTTCCATTACTTTCAAAGGGGAAGCTTGTTTCTAGATACGAAAAATTTGCTATACGAGCTCAATGCTGGAACGAATTGAACTTGTATCTCAAGGTTCCACTGTATTGCTTTTTATACATATTGCATAATTAAAAAAAAAAAAACATTTTAATCAAATTTTTCTGAATTAATTTTGATAATCTTAATTAACTGTATTCATTATAGAAAAATTATCTTTGTGTACTGCTGCCTAAGCTTCAACATTTGAGTTTTATCTCATTAATTTTCTTTATTGTACACATATATGTATATATAATGTACTGGCATGCATATATGAATTCAAAAGTTACCTTAACTTACACACACAGATATAATATGAATAGTTTAAATGAACAATTATGTTAACAAAGTACTTACTGCTAATACAGCACTAGAAGTTTCGACAAGATCATTTAGATACTTTGGTTGAGTGTTGAATATATTTTGCACCATTTTACACAATAAGGAACGATTTCGAAATCCATACAACACACATAGATCCATTAACTTTGGCACATCAAAAATAAAATTTTCATAAATCATTTCTCCAAAAGCTTCAGGTCTTATGTGATGCTTCTACAGAAAAAAGAATTCACAAAATATTTCATTTTAGTGAAAGAATGGAAAATTCAGCTGTACAGAATATACAATAAAATAACTAAGATTTTATTAGTTTCTTTGAAGTTGATTTTTAAATAAAAATAAGATTTAGCATTTGTTTCAGCCAATAATATTTTTATCATACAAAACATATAGCACAATTCAATACTTTTTAATATTCTTCTAATGAAAAAGTGAATTTAAAGGAGGGGAAAGAGAATAGTTTGAATTTCTACATCTTTTCTTTAATTTCTGAGATTGTCAAATAAATGAATTCTTCAGAATTGCTATTTTATTACACTATACAGCTTATTTCTTAAAAAGAAAGAAAGAAAGAAAAGAAAAATTAAAAAGCTATCCAATTTAAACTTTAAAATTGGGAACACTGAAACTTTAGATAGGCATTATTTTTGGGTTTAATTAATTCCTTATCTAAAGTAAGCTACCAGACCTTAGGTTTAACTACTTATTTTACATAAACATCAGCCTCGCTAATTGATTTTAAAAGTGCTCTATGTATACGTTGAAAGGATTTGGCAGTCTTAGTTCTTCACATGAGCAAATACATCTTTTTTTACTTTTTTTTAAATAGACAAAAACAGATATTTTACGAAAAATTTTATTCTGAAATTTCCTTAATTTTACAGTTAAAAATCCTGAAGTTTTAAAACTATAGTACTCTCTGAAAGATTATACTCAGATTATGCAAATATATTTCATCTTTAGTGACATTTTATCAGTTATATTGAGAAGTACAAATAAGTCTCCGCTGTCACTACCAGTAAGTTATAGTTCAATTTTCATGATGTAAAACATATCATAAGGTTAGACATCTGCTAACAACATAATCTTGAAATATTATAAATTTTTTCCCAGCATCATATATTTTTTATGTAAAAATGTTGAGTCGAATGAGTGTCATTGATTTATTTTTTTAATTTGAAGAAATCTGCAGCTGAGGTGCATCGATTGCTTGTAGATACATATAATGAAGTTGCTTTATGTGAGAGAAGTTGTCGCGAGTGGTTTCACAAGTTTAAGAACAATTAATGTAACGTTGAAGACAGAGAACACAACAGAAGGATGAAAGTGTACAAAGACATGGAATTGGAAACATTATTGGATGCAGATTTGTGCCAAAATAAAGTAGAACTTGCTTTTACATTAGGAATGATTTAATAAGTAATTTCACATCATTTAAAAATCATTGGAAATTATTCAAAAACAAGGAAATTTGGTTCCACATGAGCTGAAGACAAGAAACATTGAATGCCGATTTTTTACACGACATGCTGTTTGTCAGGCATAAATGAAAGGGTTTTTTGAATAGATCACTGGTGGTGAAAAAATGGATCCACTACGATAACTGAAAGAAGAAGAAATCATGGAGACCACCTGGTCATGCTTCAACATCAACAGCAAAACCAAATATTCATGGAAAAAAATCATGTGGTGTATATGGTGGGATCAACTTGATCTCATGTATTATAACTTGTTCAAACCGAAAGAAACCATTACTGAGGCTCTCAGCCGAATACAACTGATGAGTCAAAAATGCACCCACTATTACTCCAGACATGACAAAATTGTTCTCCTGCATGGTAACACTCATCAACGTGTTGTGGCACCACTCAAAACCTACTCATAGACACTCAGATGAGAAGTTTTCCCCTTCACCAGACATTGCTTCTTCTGATTAGTACTTTTTTCGAATGATGATGCGTGGCCTCCCTGAACTCCCAATTTTTGGTATCATATGAAGATACCAAAAATTGGGTTGATTTGTGGATAGCTTCAAAAGATGAAGTATTCTTCCAATACGGTATCTGTATGCTGTCAGAAAGATGGGGAAAAGTAATGGCTAGCAAGGGACAATACTTTGAATAAAACATAATGTACCGTTCTTTCACAATGAATGCCCAATTTTTTATAGAAAATGATGGAGAATTATTTTACTCTCAATATATCTGAAAAAAATAAGTGTTTTATGAATTCAAGTCAGTTTTTTATGACAGTTTTCTACACTGAAGGATCTGATAAAAAGGTACAAAAAAAGAATTATGCGAACAAAACAATAAATTAAAAAAAAAAATATTCACTCAAAATCTTTATAACTTCTTCCAAGCAGAAAAAATATTTGGTATAAATGTTAAGTTTTAATACATAAAAATTTTTAAAATCTGAATGCAAACAAAGAATAAATAACATTTTTATGATTAAAATATGAATTTATTTAATTAAATCCTAAATCAATTATATTTAATAAAAGTTTTTAAATCTAGATGCAACAACAAAACAAGTATTCAATAATGCATCTCATGTCGTACCAAGATGATCTTACTTTAGATTCTTTATAAGTAGACATTCTCAAAAACACTACGAAAACTAATCTGTGGACTTTCTTCAGAGCAAATAAAATGTCTTCTTTAAAAGCTATATTGACAAAATCATAGTCCCTGATAAATAGAAAACAAATATAAAATATTTAAAATTTATGATATAATAATGAATCTATTTATCCAAATATGTTATGAATTTAAGGAGAAAAAAATTCAAATAACATTACATACATGCAGAAACATGTGTAAAACTATATTTTAATTTAATATTAAAACTATATTTTAATTTGAAAATGTGTAAAACTATATTTTAATTTTAATTTTAAAATAATTAATTTTTAATTTAATTATTTTAATTTGTTAAACTATATTTTAATTTAAACATGTGTAAAACTATATTTTAATTAAAACATGTGTAAAACTATATTTTTAAATTTCCACAACAGTGATGCATATTTGGTCCTGGCAGTGGGGCATGCAGTAGCACAAGAGCACAAGATGACAGACACCTCATCTGCATGACTCTCACTGACCGTACAGCGTCCTCTCAGGTGTTAGTAGAATGTTGGAGCACTGCTACAAATGTTGTGTTGTCTAGCTCCTTGGTTTGTCGCCATCTGCTGCAGTATGAACTGTGTGCAAGGGTTCTTCTATGCAGAATTCCCCTGTTGCTGAATCACAGATGCCTTCAACTTCAGTGAGCACAGCAACACAGTGCATGGCATGCCCTGTGGCAATGAGTTGTTTTCTCCGATGAATCTCACTACTATCTGGAATACAACAATGGAAGAGTATGCATCACACGTTATTAAGGGAAACGTCTGCCCCCACAATGCATCATCCAACGCCATACTGCACAATTGTCTGGCATTATGGTGTGGGGAGCTATTGACTATAATTGTTTATCCCAACTAGTGCAGATTGTGGGCAACCTAAACAGTGATTGCTACATTTTGCTTCTTCCGTGACTAGCTTATTTCCCGGCTATGTCGCCCACTGAGCATGTCTGGGATTTTAATGGTCAGCAACTCACTTATACAGCTGGTGGAGTACTAAGACTGAACAACAGCATCGAATTTAAGCCATACGGGATGCCATTCCCCGGGATAAAATTCAAAACCTGTATGATTCAATTCCATGATGTATACAAGCTCTCATCGCTCAGCATGGCCGACACACAAAGTACTGATTTCCGATATTTGTTTTATTTTTTGCCTAGTAAACTTGGTCATTTATTTGTACCAGTAATATATATGTGAAATAAATTTCATTCATATCTGACAATTGCTTCATGGTGTTGCATTTTTCACAAACATTAGTGTATATGAACTACTCTGCAAAAAATTATTTAAAAATTATTTGAAATATTCTGATGAGCTTGCTATGTACAATACAAGGAAAGCTCAATCATACATCATTTGAGAAAGTGATAAGTTAGCAGGAAATGTTTTGCTTCATGAAAAATAAGATTATCTTCAAGTTAAGTGAAGGGAAAGAGATTTTAAGTTCCCAAACTTTACTCCCAAACTTTATTTTAAGAACAAAATCTTATGTACAGGTACGTGGTACATACCTCAATACCCCTGTTATAATCCAGATTCAGTCTCTAGTCTCCAGTGTCAGGTATAATCTCAGTTGTTCAAAAGTGGATATGCATTGAAGGCAGTAGAATAAAACGGTTTCCAGAATGGCACAAAAGATGAGCTGCAGAATAGATTTTCTCCAAAGAATACTATGTTTTGTAAATTCATAAGCCTTCCATTTTTTAAATCATTTCATTCATCTGGATCATGCTCCAGTATTTTCAATGACTTGGTAAGGTTCAGTCCGACATGTTGTCACAACTATACTGGCAAATCTATGTAAAGTTAAATCTTTGTGTTTATTACCAATTCATTAAAATTTTTGAATTTCCAGACTCATTTAGATTTTTTAAGCATGGATTTGAAAATTTGAAAATTTTAACATCTATGGTAGAGTGATGAAAGATTTATATATGCAATTATGACTTAGCAATTTTTTAATTATTTGAAAGAAATTATAAGGTTTTTTTAATTAAAATATATACATTAAAATATATCAGTTTTCATACATTAAAGTCTGATTCCGTACTAATCTGGTATCATATCAAAAAGCAACATTAAGTATTCTGATATAAATGCAGCATGCTAGAACCAGAATTTTTTATTACTTATTCTCAAAAGATATGTTGTACTCTATATTTGAAAGAAATATGAGAAGCCTTAATATATTTTTGATAAGCAATATTGGTACTTAAGTATTATCCCCTCGACCATTAAACAGTCAGTCAGCAGCATATCACACCAATTATGGATTAGAGTGATGTCATAACACCTATGGTTCCATTTGGCGAAACCCCAACTGATTCTTGATGAGCCACCTTTTGTTTTTTGTGTACAAGGATATAAACTAACTGTTATCACTTATTTTCTCCTTGCCTTTTTTTAAGGGGGGGGGCAAAGAATAAAATTTAGTAGGTGCGTAGAGCAGAACAACTAAGCAGTGGATTACTTTTAATGTTATGGGATCCTACCATCAAAAATATCTTCATTAATGGACATGATATGGTCAACTAACTGGATATAGCTGACAAAATAGTAATAGATTGGAACAATTAACTGTGGGAAATCTGTATTCATAGCAATCTAAAGAGAGCCTCTGGAGGGCCTAACAGAATACTAGAAATCACTGAAAGCCTTTACAAAGAGCAAAAACGAAGCAGATTGAATAATGATTGTTTACTGAATAAAGAGATGTCATTTCCTTCAGAATTCCGCATGAACAATTGATGCAACTTTGGCAAGATCTCTGCGACCTTTCATGATTTGATAAAGCCAGATTTTATGGTCAATTGGATAATACATAAGTACCACAATATTTTATGATCAGTTTTAATACATTCTGCACATAAATGAAAAGGGATTGAAAAATTAATAATGGTATGCAAAAGACAATAAGCATAAAGCATAGTTAGAAGTTGATAGTGAATATTACTAAATTTTTATGCTACTTTTTGACAAGTCTGGTTTAGACAGAAAATTAGAACATTTCTCAATATTCCCCCCCCCCCAAAAAAAATTAAAAGTTAACAATACATAACAAACTCAAAGTTTATATTTTGCAGTTACTGGAAAATAATTTCATGCAGTAGTGAATAAACTAACCTTGGAGCTTGTGACAAATAAGATTCTAAACATTTATGTAAATTTTCATCGTAAATAATTTGAGACCAAAACCTAAAATTAAAAATAATGATTATTAATAATGTATATAACTTCTTAAAGAGAAGTATGCCTTTGTTAGGAAATTACAAACATTTATTATGCAGTATTTACATACATTTTTTCAATAAGAGAGTGAAAACTAAATGATCACTTAAAAAAAAAAAAAAAAAGTTCATAGGACCAATATAATTAATGTCTGTTTACAACACAATCAACAGAAAAGCAGCATTATATGAAATTAGGCTTTCAGTGCACAAGTACATTTACAAAACTGAAATCTAACAATATTAAAATTGATTTCAATTAATAAAATAAATCAGTTTTGAATAAAACTCATTTATACAGTTACCTCATTTAACTTTAGCTTTACCTGAAAAGTGAATAAGAATGCCACTTTGCATTAAAAAGACATATTTCATTATATTATTTTTAATTTTCATCATAATGATAAGAAAAGTATAACTAGAAAATATTTTTTAAGCAAAAAACATTTATCAGCATTTACCCTTTCAGTCATTTTTTTTTTAATCCCTGCTGCTGCAGATTTCATAACAGATTTATTCCTATGTCTAAATGTATTGCCACCAGAAAAGTCTTATGAATCATGTGAGATGAGCCACAGCATGTCTCATACTGGCAACAGGACCTATGATGACTCTGCCCAATTCTGCCCCTTATTTAATCGAGAACACTCAGGGAAATGGAATACGAAGATCCTATCACTTCTTTTGATAACACAAACCTCTTCGAGGCAACTTCTAGCTTGATGCCTCCCTCTTCTGAATACAAAAGCCCTATATAGTTTCAAAATTTAATCCTTTCTCTTGGTTTTGAATCTAAATGCCATGATACCCATATAATACCCATAGTTGCTGTGAACATTACAGCGACTTCTCAACGTCACATTACATTTGTGACCATGAAACAATGTCGCACTTTAATGTGGATGTGCAAGCAAACATTCAATGTAACTAGCAGAAAATTCTTAGTGTCTCCTACCCTGCCTTTTCATGACCTTGCTCATGAATTCTTCAGTGGGAGTTATTCTTGTGCTCTAAACCTTGCTCAAATTCTGATTACTTAGTAATCCCCTGCTTTAATTTCCTTCGATTCATTGTTAAATACTTCAATATTTTTTTTTTATTTATTTCTTATTCTAATAGCTCAAAACTTTATTTAGTTTTTGTTTCATAAAAATATTTATAGTTCATAGCATCCATTTTCTTGATGTGATAATAAGAAATCGTGAAAATATATTTTATAATAAATGTGTATACATTCTACTATATCTGGTATTAACAGGAGAGTCTGACTAAAAAATTTCATATAATTTTTTTTTTATCTGAAGATTTTCATGACTTATTTTAGTTCCGTTCTTTCTCCTAGTTGAACATCCCACCACTGCTAAATTTTCGGGTAGGCACTGTTTATTGTACATTGATGTGGATGATATCTGTAATAATTAATGTACAATAATAAAAGCATAATTTAAAAATGGTAAATTGACAATCAATTCACTTTTATTTATATTTACAAGAGTGCAGAAGCAGCTGCATCAGAAGAATGTTTACTCTCATTTTTGCCTTGCTGCTTAAAACTTTCAGTTTAGGGAGTCAGTTTTGTTTGGTAGAAATAATTTAACTTCTATTGCTTTTAATATTAAATGAGAATGTAAAAAAGTAATTTATTTTATACATTTTATTGCAGTGCTTTGTATTGAGCTCTGCTATTTTTACAAATTCATTAGTTAGTTTCACGTACGGTACTTTGTGTCACGTTACAAATAATGCCATACATCCATAATTCTCTAAAAATAGGTTCCAGTTATATATAATAAGTTTTTGAATGGAGTTTTTGTAATTGTTATAATTTCACAAATGGCACATTACTTTTCGATGTTCCACTTTTATATGATTTCTTTATACATCATAAATAATGATTTGAAAGGCAATAAAAATATTTAGGAGAAGTTATTCTGGGATTTGTGTCAGATATTAAAATGCGATGGCTTGGATCTCATGCTTTTTTAATGTAAATATTGTAACCACACAGGTATTTTCAATTATTAATTATGACAGTTATTCATAAGCTGTGCATTATATTTATATCCATCATAAGAAGACACCTTAATGAATTTTATAAAAAGAGAAGTTACTTATTCCTTACATTAATTTATAGAACCAATAGGTTCTTCAAAGAAGAAAAAAAATCAGTGACGTCCTCACTGGGATTCAAACTTTAGACCTCTTAATGTCAGCCAAACTTGCTTTTAATTATACTACGAAAGCACGGAGTAACCAGGGAATAAGAACAAATTTTCTCACTTTTCCTCTATCTCACTGTCATTTAAATTTTGCGATACATTAATTAAACACTCATATTTAAATTATATAAATATTTATCATTGATTGAAAGTAAAATGTGATTATATAACAATTTATTTTATTTGTTAAATCTATTTTTGTTAAAAGTATTTATTATTTCAAGTGTACATTTCAATTCACCATTCCTGATCAGCCTTCCATAAAACTCCAGCACTTTTAGTTTAAAATTTTACCACTGAATGCAAAGAAGAACACAAAATTACAGAACGACAGACCAGCAAAAACGTGCAAACTATAACTTCATCATACGAAAATTCATTTGAGCTGTAAGAAAAACTTCCTGCTACTCAATACATAGTCTTCTATCATGACACTGTACAGCATGTTACATTAATTAACACGTTATTATGGATTTTGGTCTTTACTATACCTTCTCCTTTCTGTTAAACTCACCAGAAAGAAAATTAGTTGTGTGAATGTTTAAGATGAGGTTCTTAGATCTTGAGAAAGAGTGTTTCTGTGTGCACTATGCAGTTATTTTCTGCCACTCTAACAATTATAATTATTCAGTTTTGTGGTCTCTCACTGTCAATACTTTAAATCTGAAACACTAGTAAATTATTGAGCCAGCTTCTGACACAGTATTTAATTGTGTAGTCTTAGACTACTACTTAACATTTAAATTTATTCTCTGTTTTTATTTTAATTTTTGCATTTCCACAAGCTGTGATTATTGTAGCAAAAGGTTGTGCTTTTACATACAGAGTTCTGTTTAAATAAAAAGGTTGTTTATAAGGTATAATTAGAAGTAAGTACCTTAGTAAGACTTCAACATTTATCTCGGACATAACGATAGCTCACTTCATATCTGTTAGGATTACAGGATTAAAATAGCAGTAGATCAAGTATAATCTTATAGCATCATTGACCAGTTAGCTGCTTATCCTCTTTTTTAAAATAGTGTTGGGAGAATTTCACTGGCATTTATCACCATGTGCCCTCTTCCACAGCTTTATAATATTTGATTCTTTCCTTAGCAAAGATCAGCACTTAAGGAGGGATGCAAAAAAATCTAACCGTCTGTTTAAAAAAGAGGAAAAGAAAAATTACAGGATTGATGTTCATTCCTCTCGTTTATTTGTAATGATGCTACTCATACACATTTGTAACTTTCGAGTACAATTATGATGCATGCTTCATTACCATAAAAGAATCAGCTGTTTTAACAGAATCAAAGTCCCCCAGGCTTTTGTATTGTTCTGGGGTTATTTCCTACACAATTGGCAATATCAGTATGACCCCTAAAACCATAGACCCCTTCAGAGAAAGTCCCATAATGCCTATATATTAAAATGGGCTGTCTTGTGAATACGATGAATATGCTTGTGTAAATTTATATTCATTCTTCCCATCTGTGTGTCTACCTATATTTAGCAGCTCAGCCAGTATAGTGGTTAGTACCACTGACTGTCAAACCAGGGAGACTGAGCTTGAATCCCAAAGAAGATGTGGCTGTTTTGCAGTGTCTGCGTGGAAAGAGGGCTCTTAAATTACACAGCAAGATAAAAGTTCTCTTGAAAAGTTGATGTTAGGGGAAGAGAAATAAAAGACCCTTTAAACGGGGGCAGAACTACACAGTTAATATGATGAGGCTATACAGAGGCTGTTCGCACATTTTTTAGACGATTTTGGTAAGTGGTAGTAAATACTCGTTTGCTGCAAAAGAAGTAATTGCAATTGTACTATGTTTTTAAAAGTCAAAATTATCGTCTGTGGCTTGAAAGTTTTGTTTTTATTCAAAATGGCGAATTTTAACAAAGCAGTGGTTCGAAGGCTACATTTACGCTCTTTTCGAAGAGAAATATGCCTACTCCGTTATCCAATAACGATGTGAGAGTCATGGTTTTGTGATATCTAAAGTGTCGATAGGTAATATCATCAACAAAAAAGGAAAAAAAAACACGTCAAATTGGAGCCTCAAGTGGGACAAAAATTCCAAACAAGTATCCAAGGAAAAAACATACATCGTCGACTATTGCAAAGGTACATTGTTTAATGTTAAAAGAAAATCCCCCTAGTCAAAGGACAGTTGCAAAATCATTAAAATGCTCGGTGTTTACTGTAAACAAAATGATAAACGTTGATTTAAATCTTAAGAAAGCGAAAAAACGCAAGGTGCATCGTCTTCTTCCAAAGCATATCACTCAATGCAGGACACGCTGCATAATTCTATATGAGAAACACTTATCCAAAGAAAAATGGAAAACAATTGTCACAATAGATGAAGCATGGGTGTATTTAAATGATTGTAACAATAAAAGAGCCATTTATTATTATAAAAGGGGAGAAAAAAAAATTAAGTACATGGTTCAAAAAAATCGAAAGAAAGTGTTTCTAAGGGATTCATGATTGTTGCTGGTTTTTCTTATAATGACAAGTTAAAAACAAAGAGAGTGCAAAAAAATGTCAAGGTTAACTCCAAATACTATCAGAAACATATTTTATCGCCAATTTTTCTGAATGAAATACCATCGCTTTAACCCACAGTGCCATCAATCTGTGAGGACTCCATCAGGACAAAGCTAGCAGTCACACATCAAAATCCACTGTAAATTTTTTTAAAAAGAAATGGAACAAAAAACTGGTATCAAGGCCATACCTTTCAAGACACATCGGGAGATTGTGTAGACCGATATCCCTACTAAATCTCCTGATGAGTCACCTATGGATTTTTGTGCTTTCGGACTTTTAAAAACTGCATTATCCAAACGTTATCCCAAAACCCTAACACAGTGTTTCCCAACGTGGGGCCCACACCCCACAAGGGGGCAATGCGACTGTTAAGGGGGGGCAATTCGAAAATGGACTCTTCAGAGTTTAAGGGGACAATGGAAGTCAAAATTTTTCGAAATTTCATTTTTTTATTCCCTAAAATAAAGAAAAATGTAAGTGATGCATACGTAAAAACATTTTAAATTTCAGTGCATTTTAAATATTTTATAAAGAATTTTCGCTGTAGACATGGACATTTAAATACTTTTAAAGGACATTTAAATAACTGACACATTATGCTTTCGAGACGTTTTTCGCACATTTCAGCCAATGATTTTATTTTATTTTTTACTGTAGAAATGGCAATCGGTATATTATTTTTTCCTTGACAGGCAACAGCAGCTGCTTTCAGTTTTGTTTATATTGATCTTATATTTATTTCTTTCAGCCCTTAGTGAAATGAGGGGTGCAAGCAAGAAAAAATGTTTGTCAGTATTCAGAGGTATAAATTCCTAATATGATGGTTCAAAAATAAAATAAATCACAGAATTTGAAAAAAGGTTGCTTAAAATTGATAAAAGATGAGAATCCAGAAATGTATCTTGTGCATTGTGTTATTCATAAAAACCTGGTTAAAGTGTATCAATGCTATAAAAGCTAGGGCCAAATGTGAACGTCTTTTCAAGTTATTTTATGAAAAACAAAATGAGGACTATATGAGACTTATACTTCACACTGAAGTAAGAAGGCTGTCAAAAGGGAACTGCTTGGAAAGATTTATGGAACTATTTGATACTCTTAGTTATTTTTTAAGTGACAAACCTGAAATGAAAAATTCGTTAACGGATGATAACAAGCCATTTGTGAGTTATTTAGCCGATATCTTTGAAAAATTAAATATACTAAATAAACAACTTCAAGGAGCAAATAAAACTTATTCGATGCAAAAGCGAAGATATTCGGTTTCATTATCTTTGTTGAATTAAGTCAGGCATATACTATTTACCACAAAAATTTTGAAAAGTTTCATTGGCCCTAAAAATGTGACATGACGGATACCGCTATATTTCTTATTGTCGATCATCTGAAAAATTTCTCGGCTGATTTAAAAGATTTTGTTACTGAAACAAAATTGATTTCCCAACTTGGATGATGCAGCCAGAGCTAGTGGGTTTGGCTGATATTTCAAATATGCAGTAAAATGAAGAACTTGCAGAAATGCAAAATGATGAGTCAATTAAATCTTTATTTAATATAAAAGGAGCGATGACATAGCTTTGTGAGGAAACCAGAGTCCATCTTAAAAATTATCAGATTCTTGAAAATCAGCATGACAGAAATACAAACAGCTGCATTTGAGCGTTTCAAAAATCAGTATTAATTATAAAAATCAGCTGTTCACTATATATTGTTTCTTTACTTAACAAGAATTATTTAACACATTTGGCTGTCTATCACATCTCCCACTGCTAAGCATTACAAAATCACTCTGTGCCTTGAGTTTATACCACAATTTATAATTTAAAAACTTTTTAATAAATTTAAGTTCTTGTTGGAATGAATGGCTTTTAGCTAGTGTGTATTGCATCTCATACAATATTTTTAAGACATTCCTCATCCCCCCAGATAAGAATATACAATATCACATTTCTTTTACAAATGTAAACCATAATTTTCAGAACAGTAATAATTGTAGTTTAGTTAATCTATTACCTGGTCATATATTAACAGCTTCACATTGATAAAGAAGACAGAATTATGATTTTTTTAATCCAGTAGAAATAATAAATCCCAATATGTAGACTTAAAATAAAAATATAAACTAATACTATAAGTTAAAAATTATATTTACCTATGATGTGGCAGTTTAAGTAGCCACTGAAGATCTTCTTTAAAAAACGACATACATTCTAACCATTCTTCTTCATCAGCATTTAATGTCGATGAATCACTACTACTTGCAACAACTGGTGGAGGTTTAAAATAGATATAGTTCCTAAGTTCCATAAAACCAATATTCTATAATAAAAATGTAAAAGAAGAAATATAAGATATTATATATATATATATATGCAAACAAAAAGAGACATATATATCATATAGCTTCTAATTATCATAAAAATTCAACCATGAAAAGAAACAGTACTTTTCTGTTATTGGGATTGAATTCAGAAATATATGTACATATATATACACACAGAAGGAATGAACAGCAGAAATCTTGATTGCACACAACATTGATCCATAATGAATAGGAAATTTGGCAGCCAAGCCAGATAAAACGTTCATTTTTATTTCAGTAAACACATTGCGGCCACAAAAAGCTTGGCATACTACTCATGCCTGTTTCAAAATGTTTACATTCTGTATAGCTTTGCAGTTAGATGAGAGCAGCCATCCAGATTGGATGAAGTGTAAAAAAAGCAATTTCAGTTGTGTTCAGAATGAAATCTTAATTCGGAATGACACTTAATTAATCTTAATTCGGAATGAAATTTAGTTTTGGATACCAATGCATTTGACTGGATAATTATTATTGCTGTAAAATTATTATTAATTTGAGCTTCAGTTCAAAGTACATCACCAGCATTATGCAAGAGTCATATAACATGGATTAGTCTCAAAATGACACAGTGCAGAAAAAGATTACTCTTTTTAGAAAACAGTGGCAATATACCAAATTAAAATTAAGCATCAAGGGGCTACAGCTAATTTAAATTACAATTTATAGTTACAATTTACATATTCCCCCTTCAAGGTTAAAGGCTTAATAGTCAAGAAGCTGTTTAAAGAAAAAGTGTTAAAGCAGCAAATGAAGAGACATATAAATCATAAGATTTTAGCCAACATAATTAATTATATAATTAATAATTGTAAAGTACAATTTTTAATATAATTTTTTTTAAAGAAAATTAAAGCAAACTTTAGAGTACTATTAAATTTTCCAGTATTTCATTTTCTAAAAGTAATTCTATTTTAGAGGCCACATAATCCTAATTCTTCAAGAAAGAATTTTGTTCTCACAAAATATCACACATAAAAATTTCTACATAGCCATTACTCATTCTACTTAATGGTACTATAACACATATAAAAACTTATGACAGTAATTTTCATATTGATAAACTATATTTTAACATCATAAATATAAGAGTAATACCGCAGAAATTATGATTTTAGTGTTATCTTTCATATGCAAATCCTTATTTTACCAGACTGAAGGCCCTGCAATACTTCTAAACAAAAATTTCCACTAATAAAGCATATCCACTTGAATTAAGTGGATATGCTTTATTAAGTGGTGTATTTGTTCTGCACTAGTGTCTCATGGATGCTATAGAATAGGGTTTCTTAAACTGTGGGTTACTGCAACAGGGGGTTGCCATTTAGCAGTTTTGATATTTCTTTAACTTATTATAATAATTTTACAATTACCAAATATTTTCACACAATGTATCTGAAAATAGATAAAGATATAAAATACAGACAATACAGACAAAAAAATGAAAACGTTTTGACGCATTCTTTTGATGCATAATATAAACGTTCATTTTCCTTGCTTTGCATGTGATTCTGTCATTTCGTCTGTTACTTATTGAAAATTTTCACATTGTTCTATGTCTTAATATTAGAAATTAAAGTTAATGACCTAAAACTGCAATAGTGTATTACAGTACAAGCGGAAAAAATTGACAGTTTCACTCGCACGTGTGTCAGATTTGCACAATATTTATGGGGTCCCACAAAATTTTTTAAAAATATTATGCAGTCCTGGAGTTCGCGTAAAAATCTCAATGATAAAAAGGGGTTACTACTGAAAAAAGTTTAAGAAACCCTGCTTTAGAAAATAAATCATCACTCTCATCCATGTCACTAATTGGCTCGTTTACCATATGAATATATCCTTCTTCTGATAAATAATACTTGCTCACCATAAAAAATTGAAGTCAAGGCTTTTCAAAATAAATAGGGAAATACATAAAATATAAGTGATAAAAGTAATGCAAAGCATGACAGAACCTCCCATAGTAACGCTGAAAGATCCTACTCAGAAACAAAAATAAATAAATAAATCTGAAAGCACTCAGATTTTCTATTACACCCAAAGGTAAGTTTTTTTTTTATTTACACACACATACACATTTTGAAGGGCATTTGGCCTAATGTAGCTTTGAGTTTAAAATATTTAAAAACAGCATATCTTTAAAATTTCTGACAGACAGTCTCGCATGCTGGAGATAAAAATATTTTATTCCATACAGTGTTGCCACTGTTTGCTTTGAAATTGTTAAGTTTCTTAATAAATTTTTTTAAAAAGTTTTACAAAATATGTAACAGATAATAAAACAAATTCAAAATTTGGGCTTCCAGGTACCCATATTTGGGTGGAGGACTATGTTATTCAAAGTTTGAAGGCTCCTGGTTTTTCACAATGCAAGAAACTTGCATACATTTATGCATTTTCTTCATTAGTTAATTTATTTAAATGTAATACAGGGTGATAATATTTGGTGGCAACAATTTGCAAAGTGATTCATAGCTTTTACTGATTCAATCTAAAATGCCGCTTTGCTCAAACAGCCCTTCTGGGCTAGTATTCCTTTGGGCTAAAAATAAAAATTTAAAAAAATAAATAAATAAAAAGTATGTAAATAGCATTGAATATTTAAAATATGGCTTTATTCCATTACAGGATGTATGTACCTATGTGCTTTATGCCCTTTATGTAACAATATTTGTCATATGAATCAATGAAGTTTAAGAAACATTTGACAAAAGCTCGTATCGACAAAAAAGATTTAACTTTTTTTAAAAGAGTCAAAGAAAAGTACAGTACAAAATAAAATTTCGATTGACAAGTTAATCAAAATTCTCGAAACAGCAATTACAGGACTTCAACAATGTAACTGAACAAGAGATTATATCTGTCTACAGAATTAAAGATAAAGTATTAGCACAATAAATGAAGCAACTTAACTTACATTGAAAAAAAAAATGTTTAATAAGGTAAACAAATAATTATTAAACTTTTTTTTTTTTGTAAATTTTGATATCCTTTAGATCATAAATACTTCATTATTTCATACTTTTAATTTTATATTTTCTATATGCCTCCTTATTAGATTTAAACTGATAATATCCAGAAAAATCCAAAATCTAGAATTGACGAAGTTCCGATGAGCCTGGATTGTGGACTTTGTACTGTACCATCATTGCGACAACATCTCAGTGAGATGACGATACACTGTATGCTCCTTATAACATTTCTTTACTAACTGCAAAGTCGAAAGGCCACACACACCATAGGTAAAAACTTATTCAATCAGCTGTTAATAAAATATGCACCATGCTGCATAAACAGTTTTGACAAAAGGAATTCTAATGAGTAATAATACAGTACATGGAAGGACTGATGAAATGTGGTAAAAATATATTTACGGGTGCCCCTTGGCGATAGTTGGTAATTTTTTATGGTACATAAACACCGAGTTTGTGCAATTCTTTGACTTGTTATTTTGGCTTTTGGTAGACACAAATCCAAAATAACAAGTCAAAGAATTGAACAAACTCGGTATCCATGTACACATCAACCTATTTTCATTTAAAAAACAAACCAGAGATTTGCACAAACTAGGCATTGTGCATTTCCTTGACTTTGTCCATGTACACATTGATCTACAAGTATTCACTGTATTCAGAAGTATTGTATATTCACTTAAAAAGCCAAAGAAGCAGCCAACAAAAAATATATAATCTTAATCAACTACATTTTAAGTCAAACAATGAAATAACATAAAAAAGGAAATTCATCCTAACACTACACAAAGGAAATATTTATAAATTTCACTGTCTTCACTCAACAAAATTCCTTAACAGCATCCAAAAACTAAAATTATCTTAACTAGATTCTGCATACTGCCATCGCCACATAAATTCACAAAAAGAAGAGTAAAAAAATATCTTCCATTGTGCCGGTATCCTCCGATGTTCGACCATATGGATTTCCTTCCTTCAAACAAGACACTTATAATGGCTATTAAGTAAACCTTCATTTACACACCAGTCAATTAATGCTTTTTTCTCTTTCGTTCCAAATCGTACAGAAACTTCAAATTAATCTTACATTCACCCATTTTATCATGCAAATCACAAAATAACAATGTACTTCTTATCCAAAATCTGGCATGCAACAGGCCTTTCCAAATCTTTTCCCATCATTCAAATTCACCGCAATCACGCAGCCAATTACATCATAATAGGGTTTCCATAGCATTCAATTACTCAGATTACCAAAAATGAAACAACAACTTGGTGTTAATGAAACAACACTTAGCGATAATACAAGGGGCACCCTTAAACCTACTCTAACCCGAAATGGCTGAGTGCGTAGAAAATTCTTTATACAGATTCATGCAGATTCTTCATTATTTAATTTCTTTAAATATAATAGAGGGCAATAGTATTTGGGGGCAACAATTTGAAAGTGATTTAAAGCTTTTACTTATTCAATACAAAATGCTGTTTCGAAACTAGTTTTGGAAACTTCTGGGCTAATGTTCTTTTGGAAGAAAAATGATTTGAAGAGTTCTAAAAGATGTGAACATTTATAATCAGGTGGCAAGTGAAAAAGCTGAGCTCTGTTTGTTTACACCATGCTTTTCGTCCTCTCCCGCTAGAGCTGACACAAAGTTAGGCAGAATATGATCACACTACAGGTCAGGATTTTAAAACTATGTTCAGTTCAAAAGTAATGGATACAGGATGCAATCTAGTGGATTTTTAAAAAAACCGTTTATAAACTACACTAGAGACTAGAGAATGAGTTTACACTAGAGAATGAGTGTAAGAGACCGTCACCAGTCTCTTACACTCATTCTCTAGTGATGTATGGGTGTGACATCCAGCGGTGACAGATATTCGTAGGGAATGTATATATGGGATGCCTATCTGGAAAAGGTTAACCTAAAGGATAGAAATGTCCACTCCCATGTTAAGCAAAAATTTCAATTTGGATACAG